TGACTGAGCTGAGAGCAGGTGGAAGATAGTAGCTGTTTCATTACTGAATATATATTTGGATTTCATACACGATCATATGTTTCTACCTCGTCTTTCCTGCATGAGCTCCTACTCTTGGCACTTGGTGCTTTGTGTTCATTGTGCTGGCAAGTGACTAATTTGCTCTTAACAAGCAGGATAATTCACAACATTTTTCACAGAAAAATTGAGGTATTTCTTTTAATAAGAAATGTGGGCAATAGTTTTAGTCGAGCAATAAGCAAGCAGGTTTTCCTCAGACAAAATGAAGTTTTTAACCCCAAGCAAATGAAACTGGGATGCCTGAAAGGGCATCTTACCCCATGGAGGATAAGACTTGCTTTGGGGGTTTTCTGTTTTTTTTGTTTTTTGTTTTGCTTATGACAATCCACTTACAAAGGCATGTAGATTAACTGAGTCTTATAAGCAATGCATGAAAAGTTAGTAATATATAAATAATAGTTGTAATATAGCAAAAATAGGAAGTTTATTAAGATTAGCTGGGCTTTGCATCTGAGCTTGTGGAGTGAAGCATAAAAACTATTTATTTGTAAGATCTGTATGGCTGCCCATCTTAAACAATTTTGACCAGCTCATAATTCACAGTACTGGGGGAAAAAAACCTGAATTAAAAGGCAGGAAAGACATATAAAGCCGAAACACAAATTATAAGCCAAAAGCATCACCTGGATAAGGACTATTTATTGGATTTACAAAAATGGTTTGCTAAAGCCTTGAAGAAATCTTTGGGATGGGAAAAAGAAAAAATGAAGAGAGATCAAATCCTATCACAATGTCTGAATGAATTAAAGGTGAAAAAACTATTAGGAAGAAAAGGAAGGAATTCAAGGTTGGTTTGTTAGACCAGGGTTAAGATATACTTCTATAAAGCTGTGATAATCCTTTACAGAATCCTTTATGTTGATGCCATGACTGAAAATGATTTACGGATTTGCATATGGATAATGGGTAATGGGAAAAAGAGGTATTTGTTCTTAACCTTAGAGACTTTAATCAGTTTGTTTATACTTTATTTATTTATTTATTTCTAAAATTTATATGCCGCCCAATCCCGAGGGACTCAGGGCGGCGTACAAAATTAAAACAATAATATAACAATAAAACAGTAAAATAAGTACATTCATACAGCATGTCCAATTGTATCCCGCCCCCCCCCCCCCCGGGGACATCAGCCCCAGGCCTGCCGGAACAGGAGAGTTTTAATGGCTTTCTTAAAGGCCGGCAAGGTGGGAGTAGTTCAAATCTCGGGGGGAAGTTGATTCCACCAGGTCGGAGCCACCACAGAAAAGGCCCTTCCCCGAGGGCCCGCCAGCCAACATTGTCTGGCCGACGGGACCTGAAGGAGGCCCAATCTGTGGGACCTCACCGGTCTCTGGGAACTATGCGGCAGTATGCGGTCCTGTAAGTAACCTGGTCCTATGCTATGAAGGGCTTTAAAGGTGATAACCAACACCTTGAATTGCGTCCGGAGACCCACAGGAAGCCAGTGCAGCTCGCGGAGGATAGGTGACACGTGGGTGTACCTTGGCGCACCCACAATCGCTCTCGCGGCTGCATTCTGAACCAACTGCAGCCTCCGAACGCTCTTCAAGAGTAGCCCCATGTAGAGTGCATTACAGTAATCCAGTCTTGAGGTGACAAGGGCATGAGTGACCGTAAGTAAAGCCTCCCGGTCCAAATAAGGCCGCAACTGGTGCACCAGGCGAACCTGGGCAAAGGTTCCCCTGGCCACAGCCAATAGATACTTGTGAAAAAGATTGGGAGTCACTTCTTTAAATATTTTTTCTTACTTTCTCTTTTTTCCTCCTTGCACCTTTTATTCTTTCTTTCTCTCTTTTTCTGAGTTTAGTTTCTATTTGCTTTTACTATTAAAATCAAATTTTTCAATAATTTTTTTAAAAAAAGAATCTCAGAGAGTTGTCTCTTTGGGGATCAACCTGTTAGTGCAAAAAGCTTTGGGGCTTAAATAAACACATGTATTGATTGGAAACTTTTATAATATCTAAACTTGACTTAATCATCCTCCAATATTCCTTTTATTTTGAAAAGTTTTGATGTTGATGAAACAAGAAATAGTTCCTTTTCCCGCAAAAGGGGAATATCAATTAATTTTCTCTGATGATTCTTCAGTTTCTCTCCACTTACTTACAATGTTGCTCGTGTTGGGGGGCACCTGTAGTGGCCTTGGGGAGGGCTGGGGGGGATCCATTGTCTCCAGCCGAGGAAGGCGAGACCAGGGCAAGCACCATACCCTTGTCCACCAGAGGAGCCTTGTTGTCCCTCTCAGGCCATGCAGAGGACCTGCCATGATGCAGGCTTCCCAGAGCCCTGGGCAGTGGAGGGCAAGTGCCCAGTCCAGCCTTTCCCAAGGGGGCACCCGACTGCTGCTGATTGGCTTGCTTTCCTTGGTCAAATTGCTCGTGGTGTGTGTGGGAGGGCAAAATGACTGGGTCAGAAGGAGGTCCCTCTCCCCACAAGGAGACCCGGCTTTGTAACCAAAGCATCTTCAGCGATAGGATAGGAGACCACCAGGAGAGGTCAGGAAGAGGGGACAAGGAGATGACAAAAGGGCAGCAGGGCTGCTCCTGGCCAAGTGTTAAGGCAGGACTTCTCAGACCCTTTCTCCCTTTCATAATATTCCTCCCTCCCTCCCTCCCTTTTCTTCCTTTTTCTTTCCCTCTTCATTCTCCTTTGCTTCTTCTTCCTTCCCCTCTTTCTTTCTTTCTGTTTGTCTTCCCTTTTTCCCTTTCTCCTTTCCTGTCCCTTCTTGGATGCTCAAATGCAAAAGGGGAAACATTTCTCGATGCCTCCTTGCCTTGTGATCAAATGCCACTTTTGCTAGTAGTCTGTGGCCACGTAAAAGATTGAGAACAAACCAGGCTCAGTTTATCCAATTTAGTGGGAGCATCCACAGACAATAATACAGCAAAACTGTCAAAATGGTGGTTGCGATAGTTGATCAGAGCTTTTCCATTTTTTATGTGCAACAGCTTTAGCATTTAGGAATAGAGGTATGTTAGTTGCTTTTTTATTGATACATACCGTAAATGCCGGCGTATAAGGCGACTTCCGCGAGCGCTGAAATCGGCGCCAAAGTGGGGGTCGTCTTATACGCCGAGTCGTCTTATACGCCGGAAATACTGGTAGTTTCCGGCGTATAAGACGACGTTCTAGGAATGCGGCCCGGCTATAAAGACAGGGGTCGTCTTATACGCTGGGTCGCCTTGTACGCCGGCATTTACGGTAATCCTTAAAAAGAATCCTCTGTAGGGACCCAGCCATGGTCTAATTCAGACTGGAAATAGAGCAAAGGAAAATATTTTCCCCCACTCTGCTTTATCCTTTTTCCTCCACTGGAAATGGCTGTTTGCAACACAGAAGGAGAGGATACTTTCCTTATAGTTCAAGAATACCAATGTTAACTTGGATTGCCAATAAAGTCCTGTCTGTGACGAAAAAACCACAAAATTGCTTTCTCCTTTAAGCCCAAGTCTCAATGGATCCAGGATTGAATCAGAACTGCATGAACTGGGACATCTCCAACCAAGTTGCCTCTCCTTCCTTCCTTCCTTCCTTCCTTCCTTCCTTCCTTCCTTCCTTCCTTCCTTCCTTCCTTCCTTCCTTCCTTCCTTCCTCCCTCCCTCCCTCCCTCCCTCCCTCCCTCCCTCCCTCCCTCTCTTCCCTGCCTCCATCTCACCCTCCCTCCCTCCGTTCCTTCCTTCTTCTGTTCCCCTCCCTCCCTTCCTATTCTCTTCTCTTTCCTTCCTCCGTGCTCAGGAAGGGGTGATGGGAGAGGGAGAAATTGCCAGTGCTGTTGCTGTCCATGCTGCCGCTGGCTGTCACTATCCCAAGCAGGTGGTTGGGTGCGGTCCCGGTGAAAGGGAAGCCTCGTGGCTGCGAGGCTAGGTCAGCGAGCAGGCCATGGAGGTGCTGGTGTGGGGGTGGCACTGATCTACAACCTGATTGCATCCATCAAAGCCAGAACGCGATCAGCCTTAGATCTACGAAGAAGCCCTGGAACCAGCAAGGAACTGCCCCACTGCCTATGCTCCACTCCCTGGGTGTGCGCACAGGAGATGGCCAGCGCCAACGTCCTGGGTGAAGTCAGCTTGTGGGGCAAGCCAGCAGGGACGTCAGGGAGTGGGGTGCCTGTCACTGGTTCCAGGGCTGTCCGTGGATCTAGGGCTGAGCGCATTCTGGTTTTGATGGATGCAACAAAGTTGTAGATCAGTGCCTGGTCAGCCTGGGCCGGGCCAAGGTGCTCTGGGCTGGTCCTTCACTGTTTCCAGAGCAGGTCCCTAGGCCAGATGGAACCATGTGGTGGGCCAGATCTGGCCCTCGGGCTTTGTGTTTGACATGTCTGCTTTAAAGAGACATATTGCAATCTTTGACATTTAATAAATTGTATTCTTCCAGACAGTTTTATAGAATTGTGAAAGGCGCTGAAGCATTGCAGCTTTTTTTATAGCTCTGCTGGTTCTCATACAGTAGCATATTTTCAGAGTTGAAACTGATTCAGAGCAAAATTTAGATTCCCACTGATCAATACTAAATTCTATGCTTTGGTGGAATTGTGGACCAATTGTAATTTATTCATATATTTACTTGATTTGTATACTTCTTGTTCTAAATGGCTTAATTCTAATAGCTTAATTTAAAGCTTTAGCAACAAGGCATATCTCCTGGATAAAAAGCTTTATAAACTAAACAGTTTATGGAATAAATAGCAGATTACAATTGATTCCTTTGCAAAGCACTGCCAGGATCAAAAGAGAGGATCAACTTCTATTCATGCTGCATCGACTCAGCCTTATGATCCACTAGGCCCAATGAAATTTATTCCCAGTTGCATAAGGTTCTACTGTACCCTAATTTGTATGATTAATAATGACTGTGGAGTTTGGCTACTAAAACTGCATCATATTATGGATTAAGATTCCAATCTAAAAAGATCTGCTTACCAGCCTTTTTGAGGGGAAGAAACATCCTAACCTCTCAGCAAGTTCTTCCAGCGATAGGACCATGGCTGAGAAGGTCTGCTTTGGGCTTTCATATCTTTACCAACCTGAGGAGATATTCACAGCTTGGTTGATCAACCCATACAGGACAGATAAATTCTACATATGGCTTGAATGAAATTGGCACTCAGCCATTTTGGACTTTGAGCAATAGTCAATGTGGATGAGAAATAAGTTCTTGAATAATCCAGCTATAACAACTCTTACCTACCAGAAAATGAACAGCTATACTTTGAACCTGCTGTATATCAAACCTCTGAGTAACTTTCAAGAGCATCCCTCTGTATGGTGTGTATCAGTAGTCCAAAGGAAAGTTGAAAAGGGCATTGGTAATTCTTTTTTTACTAGAGGTTACACTTAATAACTAATAATTATTTTGGTTAAACTACAATAACTAAATATTATCTGTTCCCCCAAAAGGAATGCACTTCTGGAGTTATAGTGGTGGCAATGTAGAAAATTATTTGGGCCTGTTAAATATTTGTTGGGAGGACCATTTTCAAAGCCATTGAGGATAAACAATATTTCAATATATTCAGTCATATGAGAAATTAGCTATTTGAGGATACCAGACTTGAAAACAGACAAAGAAAGGAAGAATAATATATCAACAAAAGCAGAAAAATATGTAAGATTTTTTAGGTTCAGTGTTTTTATTCTCAAAGGAAGTAAGTAAACAGAGAAGAAAAGATGGAGAGGAAAAGCAATGATCCAGTAAGTGGAGAGAGAATAATGGAGCAAACCATTTTATTCATTCAGTAATTCATTTTTTCATTCGATTTATTTCATTTCAAAAATGTGATTAAGTAGCTAATACTTTTTTTTAAAAAAACTCAACCTCCCAATACAAAATAAATAAACAATCAGCACCCAAGGTAAACAAAACAGTACACATTATTTCAATAAAACTAACGTGTAAGATCTAACAGACACTGTCTCCCCTCCCAATGGGGAATTAAGTTAATTAGAAAATATGGGAAAAGAGGTCTTTGGGAGTAGGACTTCAGTACAATTCTTAGACTATAGTGGTGGTTGTTATGACTCCTTATTAATGCTAGATCTATCTAGAGAAAAAGTGCAGCCTTCTTACCAAATGGAAAATATGAGAAATCTCATTGTATTTTATACCAGCATTCACTTTCAAGAAAATCATAGGCAATGTTTTTTCTCTCTAGGAATAGATATAGTGGGGTGGGATGGAAGGATAGGTATCTTGGCCAATCCATTTGGAACGTTTGTGTTGCTGTGTTCCGTGCTGTCATAGTAATGATAGTCATGTGGCCCTAGGAAAGGGAGAAAATCCAGTCAAAGCAGTATCTTTATTATACAACTGTTTTCCCTTCCCCCATCTAGCAATCTATATTTCAAATTGTCTAAAAGACATGCTGAAGAAATAGTAAGTTCTGAAACTGGCTTCTGATACAATATGCATGTAGCTGGTTGGGTGTGTGGAATGGACCCCAAGTGTTTGCGACTTGCATGAAGAGAGACCATAGCCTAGGGACTAGATTTGGAGTCTTAAATCATATTAGAAAAAAGATAATTCCTCTTTCTTTGTGGTTTCACACCTGTGCTGAAGACAAATGATGACATCGTACAGGAATTTAATTTCACAGGTAAAAAAACTCATAGAGAATGGATTAGTCATCTTCGGAGACCTTCTGTGTTAACATTGGATATTTATTTTGATTAAGAAGTACAGTGCTTTGTAGGTTACGCAAACTATTGAATTCCAGGCAAAATCCAATTAATCCTTTTAGCCATGGAAAGGCTTCGGTCAGAGAACGGAGAGAAGGATAATTAATAGTTCAGTACTTTAATCAAATATCTTTTCCCAAGGTCCTTATAAGTATTCTTGCCGTTAATTTGGTCAGTGGCAAAATTTATTTATCTGTTTTTAAGGGTAGGCTTGTTCCCAGTCATAACATTAAGTTCATCTAACCTGCACTGAAACAGACCTATTTGCAACCTGTTTGGTATACAAGAGGTGTGATACAACACAGTATCATCCCTTTTTATCTCAGATTTGTTCATTACTAATTCATGTTTGTACATGACACTCTCGGCCTTTTCTAAGCTTTTTGTGTATTACGGGGAAAAAATTCCAAAGAAAAGGCTAACCTTAAAACATCTCTGCATGGGTTATAGGTAGTCGAGTTACAACCATAATGGAGCCTGCCCATTACTGTTGCAGGTTGTGACAGTTAGTAAGCAAGGTGATGTGATCACTTGTTTAATGACCTCCCACCCTACTCTCCGTAATGTGGTTGTTAAGCAACCAAACAAGTCATTAAGCAGAACATGGGGTGCCTTGGATAGGGAGGCCCTGGAGGCCTAGCACAGGCCTGCCCCAGGCTTCTGCCAGCTATTGAGGCACCATATGCTGTGCTTCCTGCCCCTCAGCATCCTCACAGGCCTTGGGCCTACTTTCCCTCTCCATCAGGTCCTACCCTACTTCCCTACTGCCATCACTGATCGCTCACTTACCTTCTGAACATCTCTGGAGCTCCCACATCCACCACACTCTCCTTCCCACGTACTTCTATGCTATATTGTACTATTTCTACTACAGGGATACTGATATTACTGTTACTATGCTGTACTATCATCACTAATGTGCAACAGTACTTTAACTTTTACAGCCCCCTGATCTGTCTCTAAATCCTCCCTGCCCCTCTGGGATTTCTTCTATTGTTTTTTTCTTCTTTATTAATGAGCAGCAGATAAAGACCTGGCATCTTCTCAACATTGGGCTGGCCTTGGATTTTCCTTCAGGACCCTTCCACTCAGTGAAAAAATAAACTTTTTTTTTTTTAAAAAAAAAAATGGCTGCTTTGCTGCTGCTGCTGCATTTCAAAACCACACCAGTTTCCTCTTATCTCTTCCCTTCTCCTCTCGCACCTGCTTCAAGATTAAGCTTTTCTTAAATTCTGCCCTGCTGATCCTGGGGCAGAAACAAGAGGGGAAAAAGTTAGCACAGGTGCCTGCAATTATCTCAGCGGCCTGCTGTTCCACAGCTGTTTCCCATTAACTACATTAGATAGACCTACGCTGCTATGCCTTGGAGAATAAAACAAGTTTGTGGAGATACAGCTTTTCCTTCCCCGTGCATGGCAAGCTATACTCTTCAGCTTCTGCTCTTCTGTTCCAGGGGCTAGAAATTGTGGTCTCTGCTCCCAGTAGTCCCAGATGGACAGGAAGGCTGGGAGTTGTTGCTCAAGTGACTTGGAAGTTATAGAGGTGGGCCTAGATACTACAGGAACCTTAAGGATCTAGTCATTGTGTTGAGTCCTGTTTTTAGATTTGTTAATGATACATAAGCTAATATATGTATGGCATTTCTCCTTGCTCTTTGGGCTGCTTATACGTCTTGCCAGAGGCAACCTACAGAAAAGCTGTTGCTAAGATAGAATAAATAGTATTTGGAAATGCTGCAGAAGTAATTAGGAAATGGAAAGTCAACAGTGATTACAGTAATAAACTGGCTGCTAAGTTACATACCCAGTAAGTTCAATTCTGTAGCAACATGTTTGATTTGACGTAATATCTTTCAGAATAAAAAAGTGGTGTTTTTCTTCAAAGCCTTGTGGGAATAGTAAATCATTGGTCATATAGGAGAAATGCAAAATTATCTGTGTTATTTTCAGCACAATCCTGTACCTGTATGTTCAGGATAATTATTTTTCAAAGAGTAGATTTTATTAAGCACAGAGTGATTTTTGAGCTATGACTGAGCTACAATGATTTATTGCTTGCTCTATAAAATAGGAGTGGCAAGGTGAACTGTCATGCTTTAGACTGCATAGCCTATGGAAGCAATTGTCAAATATTGTCTGCAAGTAAAACATCCAAATATTGAGCACCATTAATAAGAGGCTATACTCTTGTATGATTAGTTTGCCAAATTTCTTAACACAATGGTACCCAACCTTGGATCATGTGGCCAGTTAGGAACTGGGCTGTGCAAGTGAGTGAAGCTTCATCTGTGCATGTGTGGGACTGACTCTGGTTCAAGCCCTCTCTTAGCTATGGAAACTGACTGGGTGAGTTTGGTCCAGTTATTCTCAGTCCAGTCCACCTTGCGGGGGTGATGTTACATTGAAAAATGGGAGGAAGGCGTGCTCTGTATTTGTTGAACTCCTGAATAAAAGGCAGCATAGAAATCTGAAGTTTTTTAGGAGACAATCTGTGGCCTGCAACTTCTGCTGCATAATAGCTGTAGCAACTTCAGTTATTATGGCCAATAGTGATGGATGTTGGGAGCAGCCATCTTTGAATTCCCCATACTGCTTCCAAACTGGATATTTCTGTGACAGACTTTAGGGCACACTGAGAAAACAATAGGAGAGAAATAATATATTCTGTGTCTGTACTGTTCGGAAAAAAACTAATTATTTCCCACTTCGGTAGGAGTAAATAAATAGACTTTGGAGTCCTGCTTGGGGAAAAAATGTTTCCTTAGAATACCACAATGCAGCAAGTTTCCATTCTCTCTCTCTCTCTCTCTCTCTCTCTCTCTCTCTCTCTCTCTCTTTCTGTCTCTGTCTCATGAACTTTGCCTGTATTTCTGCAGTAGAATAGAACAGCCGTGTGGCCATGGGTGCAGCTGCCTCTGCGGTACCACAGAAGCCCACTCTGTCTTGTTTACAAGAGAGATGCTCAGTTTAATACCTGCTGTGGCTTATAGATGTGTACAATCTGTAATTTCAGTAAGATCATTGAAACTTTCTGTTCAAATTCTTGGAAATTCACCTTAATTTTGCTAATGTTTGAATGTTGTGATGTGTGTACTTGCAAAATTAGTAAGAGATCTAAGCTAGAATTAAGGAGAAATTTTCTGACAGAACAATTATAGTGGAACAGCTTGCCTTCAGAAGTTGTGAGTGTTTCATCACTGGTGGTTTTCAAGACGAGATTGGAGAGCCATTTGTCTGGAGTGGTATAAGGTCTCTTGCTCAAGCAGAGAGTTGGACTAGAAGACCTCCAAGGGCCCTTCCAACTCTGTTATTCTATGTTCTATATTCTGTAAGGCAGTGCACTGCCTTCTTATTTTAGCCTTCATTCTGTAAACAACTATCCTGTATTTCCCCTAGGAGCAATGGTTCAGTATTCACTAATTCAGTGTTTGCATCAACTTAATGGATATAATTATCACAAATAATGAGAATCAACTGTATGTGTATGTGTGCGCGTGCGTGCATGCGCGCATAATTTTTGAATTCTCTAAAAACATATTTAAAAGTGAATCCAGTTATTGTTAGTATCTCTTTGAAAAGATAAAGAAGGGATAGGTCCACAATATTGTTTGATTGGTCCCTCAGAGAATCTTTGGTGTGGAAGCATCATAAGCAGTGCTTTTTTTGTAAAAAAAAAAAAAAAAAAAAAAAGGTGCACACAGATTATACAACCCTCCTTGCCTACCCTATAAGGCTCCATCCAAAAAAGGTGCTGGAACTCCGTTCTGGGTGTTCTTTGACAAAAACAGCCCTGATCATAAGTATTTTATAGATATTTTGCTCTCTTGGTGACTGCCTGGACAAGACATTTTCAGAAGTGTTTGTCATTTCTGTATGTGCTTCCTAGGCAAGAGATAGGATAACTGGCACAAGGTCACCCAGTTAGCTTTGTGCCTAAACTAGAATTTACAATCTCCTAGTTTGTAGTTTAGTGCTTTAATCACTACACCAAACTGGCTCTTCCAAGTCTAAGTAGCGTTCTATCATTTTGTTTGGCAAACCTAATGCAACATATAAAAATAGGAAGCAGAGTATCAGGTAAGAAAAAAATATTACTAAAAAAAGAATATAAATGAGATCCATTTGTATAACATATGCATATGACAATTTATCTGTTTACATAAAAATTGGAAATAATTTCTATATTTCAAAAAAAATGATATTGAGCAAAGGGGACAGTGTTATCTATTGAAATGTGACAATAGGCTTAAGGCCTAGATTCCTGCTTAAGGATTTTTTCTGTTCAGATTCTTCTTGGACCAATCTATCTTCCATGCAGAAGATGCCTTCAGAGATCTCTCCTCTGATAGCTACAGGAACAAGATTCTTCTTTATAAATTAATAATCATGGCCACCCAAATAGGAATTAATTAAAAATGAAAGTACTTACAAATGAAAACTATAAAATAAAATATAACTTTCATTAATATGAGATAAGTAGAAAGAGCAGCAATTTAAACATTCAAAACAATATTTCCAAACTAATACCGTATATGCCGCCGTATTAGGCGACCCGGCGTATAAGACGACCCCCGTCTTTATAGCCGGGCCGCATTCCTAGAACGTTGTCTTATACGCCGGAAACTACCAGTATTTCCGGCGTATAAGACGACTCGGCGTATAAGACGACCCCCGTCTTTGGCGCCGATTTCAGCGCTCGTGGAAGTCGTCTTATACGCCGGCATTTACGGTATGTGTTTTAGAAACTGACTTACTGCCTATGGGTAAATAAAAAAAAAGTGAAATTGCCTAATGCCTAAAAAGAAAATAATATCAGATAAAATGGTTCTGCAATTAATTATGCATGTGTAATGCTACCACAGAGAAGCCCCTGTCTGCATATTATTGCTACTTGTCTGAGCTATGGAGAAAGGACCATCTGGAAAAACAGAGCCTGAAGCATTGGCTTGAGAAAACAGGCAGGTCTGTTATAATATAGGGGCAAGGCTGGAGCTACGTTAATTTATTGGATGATAGGAAAATTGGAAAATATTAGACTTGTGAACTATAGGTGTAATCGAAATAAAAGCAAAACAGAAGTGTAACCTCATAGCTATGCTGGCCTCTAAGAAAGATGATTGTCAAAAGAAATGTAATGGATTCTGTAAATTCATTTACTTTTAAAGCTTTCCTTCCATTCTCTTATGCTTTTTAAGTTAAATCTTTCTGTTCCTTTTCGTTTAGTGGGGAGTATTCTGCCTCAGGCAGAGAAGGCTGCTAGGTTCCGCTTGAGACAGACAGATAACTCGGTGAATAAATCAAACAAAGATTACTTTTATTCCAGGTATCCTCAAAACATTAACTCACAGTTATTGTAGAAATTCTTCCAGAATGTAGGCAGTAATTTGGACTCATCTCACAGGTAGAAGAACAATGGATTTCCCCCTTCTGCATAAACCTTACATGTTGCTAGAGATCTCAGCTTAGCCACTACATGGCTAGGACTCATGCAGGCAAGTAAGTGGAAACCTGGCACCTAACAGGATGTCTGATCATAAACACAAGACCCTCCCAGTAACCAACCAGAACACAGATATAATCATATAATAACCAAAACTACATTTCCCAAAAGCCATCTCTTAAGGAACCAGCGTTTAACCCTTTAAATGCTACATGTTCTTACATACAGTTCTCTCAATGATACAACATTAACCTTGTAAATGCTAGATGCTCTAACACAGTTCTAGCTGGCTACAATCCCGTCCAGCACAGGGAGGAAGCATTGCAACAAAAGCAAATCTGGAATAAGACAGGATTTCAGATTCAGATAGGATATTTGAAGTCATGATTAAAAGAATTCATGGTGCTTTTGGCCTAAAATACTTTAAAAAAGGCTTGCAGGAGCATTTAAACCCAATCAGATTAAACAAATCCTAAATCCTGGTTTTGCATTATGCACAGATCATCTCCAGTATTGATGGAGGAACCACAAGTAATTGCAGAGGAACTAAAAAGAAAAAAATATATATATACATTTGAACTTGGCTAATGACCATTCAGTTGCTGATATGAAACTGAAATTTAAGAACCTAACTGGAATAATCAGGGCAGAGACAGAATTGCATTTTGTTGTTTTTATATTGGAATTTGGCTTCATCTTGTTATGGCCCATTGATGAGAAAATGTTTTGGTTTTCCTTGGGGACTATCTGCTTTCAACAGAGTTATATGAGATTGATATGCATAATTTATGTTTCTAGGTTGAGGAGAGAAATAAAAAGAGGCTGCATGACTGCTTTTATTGAGTGGTTTTTCTTTCTCTTTGAAGGACTATTAAAATTTTAATAAATACAGTGAGGCATAAGTAGCAGTGTGTTATTACTTTAAACCAAGTAGTAGTTTGTGTGTGCCATTTCCCATTTATTTGTCAGGAAAAAAGATTCCTCGTTGCTAAGCTAAATCTCATGGATTTTTTTAGAAATCTGACAATGAGAATTCCTGCATGTTTTTCAGAATCTCAGCTTTCATGCTATTTCAGTCAGTTGTGTGTTGATGAAATAGCAGAAACAACATTCAAACATATGACTGGAGCTTCCTACAGGTTCTCAGAATCTGATAGAATATCACTTTAGACTTTCTCTCCCTAAGAGATCATCTAGTGCAGCGATTCTCAACCTATGGGTCGCGACCCCAATTTGGGTCAATCGACCATTTTACAGGGGTTGCCAAGCCAAGGCTGTCCGCCATTTTTCCCCCTTTTCTGGTGGGTGCCTTACCTCCCTTGGGCTGGGCCAGCTGGTGGCCCAGCCGGTGGTCGGCCTGCTCCGTCTCTGCCGCTTGCCAGCTACGCCTCAGCCGGCGGAGGGGGCAGCACCACGCATGCGTGGCGCTCCTGGGCAGGGAAAATCCTCGACTTACGACCAGTTGGGTAGTCCTAGACTTATGACCAGTTTAGTCCTCGATTTACGACTGGTTTAGTCCTCGACTTATGACCGGTTGGGGGTCACGGCATTAAAAAGGTTGAGAACCACTGATCTAGTGCATTCCTCAGCAAGGCTATGCAAGGTTAAGTATGGCTCTCCCCTATTTTCTTGGCTGCTTTTACTGATAAGCAGAAAAAACTACCTAAGTGGTGTTCTGGGGTATTTTTTCCCTTTTACTAAATAGGGACCCAAACGTTTCTCTAAATATGTATTTTTCAAGATATAAATGCAAACTGGCAAGATAAGAACACCAGACTAGAAACCAGGAGAGCGTGAGTTCTAGTCCCAGCTTAGTCATGAAGCTGGGCTAGTGACTCACTCTCAGCCAAAGTACCTCGTAGGGTTGTTGTTTTGAGGAAAATAGGAGGAGGAAAAGTGTATTAGGTATGTTCATCACCTTGATTTATTTATAAAAATAATAAAGGTGAACATAAATATATTTGTAGCTTTGTTACATGTACTCTTTTATGTTTTTAAATACTTTTAACCAGGTGTATGGGATTGCTTAGAGATATTGGCTAACAGTTTCTCCCTGTCAATCAAGCTGACAATTGGTTTTCTTTCTGGCTGGTAAAACTTGTTTTTTTCTGTCATTTTCAATCCCTGGGGGATCATCTACAAAATGTATTGTAGATTTTTGTTCCACAATCCCGCCAGCCCTTTCTCTTCTCTCACAAATCTTCCAGTTTGTGCCCTGCTTTGTTTCAAATATTTTCTGCTATCCCAGAAACAATATAAAGCGTCAGAAGTTTAACATTGCACAGTAGAATTACCAGCCATCTATGTATTTTTCTAAAACAAACAGCTAATCAAATGCCAAAATGGTCTATGTCGATCTTAGATGCCAGCCTTTACATGTTTTCATCTAATTCACTTTCCTCAGTTCCCAGAGTTCCCCGGTAATTTAAGACTGCACCTCTGATGCCTGTGAGAAAGTAAAATAACACCTAATCTCAGTTTCTGTTGTCAGAAGCATTTGTCTGCTTTTCCAAGTTGATATATGAGCAGCTAACAAAAAGTCATAGAACACAGAACAAGGAAAGATAGGGTTAGAAAGGACCTTGGAGGTCTTCTAGTCCAATCTCCTGCCCAAGGCAGTAGACCTTATACCAGGGGTTCTCAACCTGGCTGAGGAATTCTGGGAGTTGAAGTCCACAAGTCTTAAAGTTGCCAAGGTTGAGAACCCCTGCCTTATACCATCCTGGACAAAGGGCTTTTCCAATCTCTTCTTCAAAACCTCCAGTAGATAGAGCATCCAAAAGTTCTAAATGGCAAGCTGTTCCACTGATTAATTGTTCTCTGTGTCAGAAGATTTCTTCGTAGTTCTAGGTTAGGTCTCTCTTTAATGACCTTCCATCCATTACTCCTTGTCCTGCCCACAGGTGCTTTGGAGAACAGGCCAACTCCTTTTGTCTGTGGCAGCTCCTCAAGTACCAGAAGACTGCTATCATATCAACCCCTAATCCTACTCTTCATTAGGCTAGACTTGCCTAATTCCCTCAATTGATCATTGTACAGTTGAGCTTCCAGACTCCTTATCATCTTTGTTGCTCTTCTCTGCATTCTTTCTAGGGTCTCAATATCCTTTTGGTATTGTGATAAACCAGAACTGGACACTTCCAGTCATTCATGCAGGTTGTCACAAACAATTGCTGGTAACATTAGAAGCTCAAACTTGCCCAAAGGTGTAGTAACTAGACAGAATAAATGTTTCTGCTCCTCCATTCTGGAAATGAAACTGATTCTCCTATGCTGTTAATTGAATTCTCAACAATACAAAACAATGAAAGAAAAATTTGTAATAGAAGTAAAGCTATAAGAAATATCTTGCACAATCCATGTCATCATAAAGAATTGTCAAAATATTTTGTTAGTCTCTCTATTGCACAAGATTCTGAAATCTATCCATGCCAGAGAAACTAAGTCCATTATACTGTGAGGAACAATAGCCACCCTCCCCCCCCCGTGTTTGGGGGCGATCCATAGTGATACATTTATGTGATATACCATGTTTATGTTTCCAACAGAGGCCTGAGGATGAGGCAGTTGTTGATTTGGGAGGCACCAGCAATGTTGTTAACATTCATTATGAACCAGAGGAGCTGGAAGGTAAGACAATTATTTCCTAGTGTTTTTATCTCTTCCTCCATTTTTCTGTTATACCATGAATAATTATTAAATATTTGAGAATGGAACTAAATGTATTTTCTATTTGAAACTGCCTGTGAATAATGAAAAGTATTTTATGTATCACACAACCAAAGCATTCTACATTTGTTTAAAACAGAAAATCCACCAAAATTATTACCAAAAAATAACAAGATTTACTTTTAGAATGTTGATTTGTTTCATTTTTAAAATGGTAATTCCTTTATTTATGCCATGCAGAACAGTTATAAGGGTCTTGAGGCAAGAAGAAAACCATGGTAGATCTTTTTCATACCCAAAGAGCATTATCTGCCGAATATTATATCTGCATATTATAAAAGTATATAACAGCTGCTGAAGTCATTCACTGGAGAACAGGATCAGTTCTCATCAGTATGTTGATGATTCAGCTGTATATGTGGACCCTTAGTCAATTGAGTGATGATGTTAAGATCATGTCCCAATGGCTGGAGGAGATGGTGGCCCCGGTGGGGAGAAAAAAACTGAGACTCAATCCTAGCAGGATATATTGGCTTTTTGTACTAACTAGACAATCCAGATCAGGGACTTTTCATCTCTAGTTCAGAAGGGGGTTGCACTCTCCCAGATGCAACATGTACTCAGTTTGAGAGACTTCCTAGAGGCCTAGACTCTATTAAAGAGCATGTTGCATCGGTAGCCACCAAGGCCTCTGTACAGATTGCTAATTGCATCCGTACCTGGATAGGGAGGCCCTTCTCATGGTCACCCTTGTCTTGATTACCTCAGTACTGTACTTTGCTTTATATGGGTTGTCCTTGAAGACTACTCAGAAGCTGCAACTGGTAAAGTCAGCAATTTCTAGCAATATCTAGGTTAATATGCAGTTTATTCAAAACTATATTTGGGGAAACCGCATTTTTTAAGTATATAGCAGCTCCTATTAATAGCATACAGCAGCAGAAGCATGTTCTTTAATGATTTAGGAAAAATGCACAGAAAGCATGTAGTGGACAAGTCACTGAAAGACATCAAACTTAAACTGAGTCATGCTATTGAATCAAATAGAGAATTAAATCTATACAATAGAAAAGAATTTTCTGAATCTATACATTTTTATAGAGGTCAACGTAGTGGATTGAATGCCACTAAAATATACAAACAAAAGGTGTGTGTGTGTGTGGAGGAAGATAGAGATATATTCATTTTAAACTTGTTTTCTAGCACACATGTTGTAGTCTTTAGTGTGTAGTTACTTTTGAATTCTGCAGATGCGATTATGGCATACCAATAGTGATTAGATCAGAAGGCTGATTATATTCCCTCCTATGGGGGTTGATTCTGATTGGGAAAGCACCTCTACTTAATAAAACATTCTTGTTACGGGATTCAGAGTGGTAGCAGAATGGTTGCCCATTTCAAGTTTTTAATCACATCCTCAAAAGCAAGCAGGTTGTCAATTCCAATAAATAATTCCTTTTATGCCAAAAGAAGCGTCACTCTTGAGAGTCAATACAAAAGGGAAATAAACAATTATTTCTGGCTTATAGTTTATTCTCTTTGTACTTCTTCTGGATCCTACCTGGCACAATGTGTTTAAATTAGTAATAAAGAGCAGAGCCACAAAATGTCACAAAACCTTTCCTCTCTTGTGAATTCAGGCATGTGTTTTCACTGCTAGGGTGCAGGCAGTGGAATAATAATGAAGGAAAGAGAGTCCACGTACATAAACTGAATGAATTTTCCTCATCCCTAAAAAGGTACAACATGAATTCCGTGAGATAGATTTTACAAAGTCAAAAGAGTATTGCTTCCAAGTAGATTTGCATGCACTTTGCTTTTTTAAATGTTTGCTAGAAAGTTAAACTCTGGATGGATAAGGTATATGGAATTGTATCTGAACAAACTACCACCTTGGTAGAACAAAAGACAGCAAAAAAAAAAAAAAGCAATCTGTATATTGTCTTGGAGCCAACTTGTTCCAGAATACATGAAGGGAAACCCCGCTATAGGTAGTCCTCGATGTATGACCACAGTTGAATCCAAAATTTTTGTTGCTAAGCATAAGATGACCAACCATCCTCCTTTAGGGAGGACAGTCCTCCTTTTTAAAGTTCTGTCCTCCCTCAAAAAGTGTCCTCCTACATGTCCTCCTTTTTGATATTTGAAGACTAATCTGCAGGGCTTTTTTTTTCTCATAGAACGCTCAGAACGGCATTCTGGCATCTTTTTTTGATGGTTTTTTTTTAACTTTTGCGTGAGCTGTGCTACTTCCCCTATTAGCTTTTGAAAGCCAATAGGAATTGCTGCTGAGCACGCCAAAACACCCAGCCGGTAAACTTTGCACATGTAAGTTGTCCGCCGCGAAGGAAAATTGGCAGGAACTTTGCACCCCTCCCTGCTATCCAACTACACCATCTCCTAGTTAGTCCCAAAGATACCTGGAAGAGACTGGAGCGGCGATGCCACAGTAAATTTCTCTTGATCTTCAGCCCTGCTAGGGCAATAAAGAAGCAGGGGCAGCGGGGCTGCTGCAGGCGGGGTGAGGGGCAGTGGTGGTTGGCTGCCCCCCGTGCTGTAGGAGCCATGGGGCCTGCTCTACACGGGCTGTGCAGGGTGGGCGGTGGTGCTGGCGGGGCGGCTGCAGGCGGGATATGTCGATGGCGGGCTGCCCCCCGGGGCCAGAGCCGGCACAGCTGGTGCTTTGGAAGCTGCGGGGCCCACTCTACACAGCAGGGCAGCAGTGCTGGTGGGGCGGCTGCGGGCGAAACGCGGCATGTAAGCATAATTACAATATAAAATGTTATTGTTACAGATGTTTTTTATTATGCATTTATCATATTATAGTGTATTCTGTATTATTGTTGCAATGGATAAAATGTTTCTTTTATTTACAATATTTTTTTCTTCAATTTATTTGTGTCCTCCTTTTCATTGTAAAAAAGTTGGTCACCTTATTACTAAGCAAGACAATTGTTAAATGAATTCTGTCCCATTTTATGATTTTTCTTGCTACTGTTCTTACTGATTTGTTTGATTTATATGGTGGCCCGTGGCAAGCAAGTGGGTGGTAAAGAATCAATTAAAATTACAATCACAATACAAAGAAGAAAGTTAAATACCTACATCAGTTGAGAAAAATAACAATTGTTGAAAAGTATAATTCACAGATGTTAACATAACTAGAAAACAGAGCCCTTCACATTTTTTGTTTTTTTGTTCCTAGCTACCTCAAACTGCAAAAGCAAGGGATTACCCAAGAGGTTATTATGTGTTAGACAGTTAAAAGAATTGTTTTTAACTTGGCAACTTATAATGCAGGTGAAAATAGATCTCTAAAACAGGGTTGTTCAGAAAATTGTGGTCTCCTTTCCTGCTTACAAATGCTGATCCTAATCTACGCAGGTAACTGAATTTTTTGATCAGTATGCACCAAGCATAGTTTTAATTGTCTTTTCTTCCAGTTCAATTCTCCTGAGTGTACAGGCCTTTTTACAAGAAATTTTCTTTGCCCTTGTGCAGCGGACATGGAATTACAAATGAGACTCCTACTCTTTCATTTCCTATATTAGTATGATTTCCCCTGAGCCTGCAACATGTTTACACCATTAACATCAGGGAATTCTCCCCAGGGGCAAATGTGAAACTCTTGGTAGCATAATTATCCTGGCTAAACTCATGCCTGAGCAGAGACAGAGAAAGAACGCTTACTTACAGTTTTCCTGTCAGTGGCGAATATCAAGTGGTATGAACATAACATAGAGAAAGGCAAGTCAGAAAGATGCAGCAAACAGATTATGTTCTCAAATGAACAGTTCCTGGCAACAATCTAAAAATCTAAAAATGGACATTTCCTATATGGGAACTATAATTTATAGTAATTATTTAAGTACTGTCCACATGGTAATGCTGGATTAGAGCTTTCCTTCTTTCAGTGCTTGTTTTCATTGTAAGGCTTTGGCTGGCTATTTCAGACTCAGAAACCAACAAGCTTGATGTATTGACTTAGTTTGTACATTACACTATAAACCGTTCAAAATTTAAAGTTTAGCAGATTTAGAGTCAAATCAGAATGCAGATAGACAAAATCTCATATGGAATTCAACTGAACACCGATTACTAGGCTTACTTTGAAGCTGTGATGGAGGCCAGAAATATTCGCTCCCACCATTTATTCTTTCACTGTCAATCATTGCAAGTGTTTCCGGGTAGTTGTGGTGCTTTTACTATCCAGTCCTGTTAGAGATCATACAGAATCTTTGGTAGCTTTCTGTGACTTATTGGCAAGAAACTTTGAAGACAATTAGATCAAATATGTCAACATTGGCTATAATTTTAGCAGTTTGGCCCTGCATGGATTAATACATGGATACACCAGTCTATCTCATTGGCCATTTTCCATAGAGGTCCAATTAGTAGCTTGATATTGCCCATTTTTGATATTGGAGACCCAAGTATTTTTTTTTTAATTGATGTATTTTCCATTAGCTCAGCCTTGGATAGAGATAGCTTCACTACAAAAATCCACCCCTTGGAAACTTCTTGTTTAGATTACTGTAATGCATTATTACTGGAGAGGACTCCTGCGAGTCCCCTGGACTGCAAGGTGATCAAACCGGTCAGTCCTAGAGGAGATCAACCCCGACTGCTCTTTAGAAGGCCAGATCCTGAAGTTGAAACTCAAGTACTTTGGCTACCTAATGAGAAGGAAGGACTCACTGGAGAAGAGCCTAATGCTGGGAAAGATTGAGGGCAATAGAAGAAAGGGACGACAGAGGATGAGGTGGCTGGATAGAGTCATTGAAGCAGTAGGCGTGAGCTTAAATGGACTCCAGAAGATGGTAGACAACAGGAAGGCCTGGAGGAATGTTGTCCATGGGGTCGTGATGGGTTGGACACGACTTCACAACTAACAACAACATTATACGTAGGGGCTGCCCTTGATGATTTAAAAATGTCACTTATTACAAAATACTGCAGCAAGATTTGAGCTGTGAAACAAGTTCATCACTCAGTTCTTTATTCTCTTTACTGGCTTGCAGATGAACCCCAGTCCCAATTATAGGTTCTGGTTTTAATCTACAGTATATAGCCCTTTATCATTTGGGACTACAATGTCTTCTTTTTACACTTCTTTTTATATGTTCCTATCCTTCCTCTGAGGGCATCTGGGTGCTCTCTCATGCTGAAGTATAACAACTGGCTGAGAACTGGTATTTTCAGTCTTTACCATTTTTATTGCCTTTTTTGCCTCTGGCAAAGTCATTTTTATTTACCAAGCTTTTAAGAACAAGATAATGTTACTGTGGGTTTTAATTGCTTTAGTACTAATTTTACAGTTTCAACACATATTTTTATCACTTTTAAAATTCTTTTTGGTTGTAATTTTTAAGTGTAAATTAGTTTAGAATTTCTTTTAAAGGAAAGCAAGAAAGCACGTAAATAAATAAATAAATGCACACTTGTTCTCTTAATGTAATTAGCAAACTTCATTGTTGTTCGTTTTGAGTCAGGGCTGCTTCCAACTGCAGGATGGCATGTTTTCCAAAATTAGATAACTTTTTATATTTCTGATGGTTATAAAGAGCAGTTACAGTGATGTAATTTGGACTGATGTAATTTCAATAAAGTCAAAGCCATAAATACTGACAGTTTGCTTTTGTTCCAGGGCACAGGACATTATATGTTGGGGTACGGATGCCTTTGGTTAGACAAGGCCATAGACATCACAGAACCCACGGCCCCAAACACAGGAAACGAGATCGGATAAAGGAAAGTGTATTGGAGGAGCATGAAACTTATGGTAAGTGTGTGTTGATAATAGAACCCAGTGAGAGAGTTAGCCAGAGACTCATATTTGCCATACTGTTGTCGTGTATGGTTCCTTATGATTTTAGAAAGGCATTCAGAATATGACTGAAATCTTTTAGTAACTCCAAGTGCTGAATCCTCAACCTTCAAAAGATTTTGAGATGGACGTAAGGACCTATGGCAGTGCTTCTCAACGTTTGTGTGACGGCGACCCCCGTCACACAAACGTTCTGCGCATGCGCCGGGCCGCGCGCATGGGGGCGGGCCCCCCTCGCGCGGCGCGCATGCACGGCGCCCCCATGCGCGACGCACATGTGTGCCCCCCCATGCGCGGCACGCGTGCACGGCGCCCCCATGAGCGGTGCGCATGCGCGGTGCGCATGCACGGCACCGTGAAAAATGGCGGATCGCCGCCTTTGGCGACCCCTGAAAAATGGGCGATCGACCCCAAATGGGGTCGCGACCCATAGGTTGAGAACCGCTGACCTATGGTCTCTGGAATAGTAGCATTCCCCTAGAGCTGGGATAGGCAACCTTGGCTCTTTTATGACTCGTGGACTTCAAATCCCAGAATTCCTGAGCCAGCCATGCTGAGGGAAAAAGGTCAGGTTTCCAAGTTGAGTTTTGCTGGCTCAAGAATTCTGGGAGTTGAAGTCCACAAATCATAAAAGAGCCAAGGTTGCCTACCCCTGCCCTAGAGTCACACAAGCACAAAAGAATTTATAGGCCATTATTCTATTCCAATATTTGATTCAGAAACTAAAATATTCAATTGATGGCAGCTCACCCTCTGCTTGAAGATCTATCCTAACGGAGAAGCCTCCGGTCAATCAATTCCATTATTGAACTGCTGTTATAGTATCACACTTCTCTTAATGTTCAACTAAAAATGGCCACTTGCAGCTGAATTTTACTGGATCTAATCCCTGCCTGCTTGGTAGCAAAGGATGTGTTTGCATGTTAGCCTTTCAGGTATGTTGAAAAGTATTGGTATGCCCTCCTCCATCAGATTTCTGTCTATTGTAACTGTCTTTCATATGTTGGATCATCTGTCTTGCCCTTCTCTCAACTAAAATACATTTCTTCTTAAGTGTCAAAGCCAGAAGTGGTTTCCAATCTCTAGAGGGTTCTGAAGGATTGCTTAGTGTGGAATAAAGTGGAAAAGTTCCTTGCCATGACTTGGCACTATGATTTTATTATTACAGCTTCAAATCCTCATTAGCCATTCTTACCTTCCAAGCCTAGTGCACTGCTAACTCATGTTCAGCTTGTGAATGAGCACTTTTTCAGACACACCACTGTGTATATGTGATCATTAATTTAGGAGGGAGGTTTTGGCCTAAACCACAGAAGTGAACAATTACAATCAAATAGCTGCACAAACTAACTTCTGGCGGTCTTGGGTTCCTCTCTAATAAGTGTTAAACCTTTACACATGACTGTTTCTCACAATTTGATGTAGTTAATTACAGTGTAACCCCTAAAATAGATATCATTCTAAGTATTTTTTTGGCAAGTTGTAAAACTCGCCACAAAAAGAAGAAAAGGGGAGATCCCATCTGTATTTCAGTGTGATGTAATACCACACACTTTGCATCTTTAAGCCAGTACAGTAAAAGTACATTATATGCGATGCTTAGCTAGCAAGAGATTCTCCACCTTGTTACCTCGAGCACAGCTCATAGGGTGCTACCAGGGACTGAAGATTTATATATCAGTCAGAAAACTGACTGAATCCAGTTAAGACATTCAGATAATATGTTGCCCAGAGTAAGGAATCTAAAAAGTAACTGAAAGATTAGCATGGCACATCACAAATGAAAGAAACTTGCTAAGAATTTACACAGCAAAAACAAATTGCAATATAATCTAAAGTGCAGGAAGTGGGCATCTTTGCTCATAGGTTAATTATTGGCTAATCTTTTCTAAGCTCAGAACTAAGTAGAATTGGTCTGATTAGAAATCTCCAGGAAACAGAAGGCTGCAAACTACACAGGGAATTGAAAACAAATCCCAGAAGAAGGCAATATTAATCTACCTCTATATAGTTATCAAAAAATCTATATGGCTGGGTCCGTGAAGTGAAGTTTCATTTAAAGGTGACTTTATTTTTGTGTAACTTGTTTTTTTAAATGAGCTTCTGGTCCTGCAGATTCTATTTACTTCTCCACTAATAGCAAAATTACTAATAATGATTTTCAGTTATCAAAGAATAAAACGCTAGAAACAATACACTAAAGGAATCACATCTTTGACTGATATTTTTGGGGAATTGATGACTTTGCAAGATCTTTTCTAGAATTTACCCCTTTTGACTATTAGCTCTCTCCCTGTATACAGGTGGTGTGCAACTTATGACCACAATGGAGCCCAAAATTTCCATTGTTATGCAAGACAGTGCTCCATTTTATGACCTTTTTTGCCCAATTGTAAGTGAACCATACAGCTGTAAAGTGAATCTGGCTTCTCCCACTGATTTGGCTTGTTAAGCCAACTGGGAAGGTCATAGAGAATGATCACAGGACCCTGGGACAGTGCAACGGTCATAAATACAGGCCGGTTGACAGTGCCCAAATCTTTTTTTTTTTTTATTGAAATTTTTTTAAATTTTACAAAAACAAATCCCCTTCCCATACCCCCCCCCAACCCTACCTCACCCCCCCCTTCCCAACCTCCCAAACCCTCCCCTGGACTTCCCAGAGCTGAGTACAGGCTTAATTAAAAAAAAAAAAACAAACCTTAAAACACTTTTAAAACCTAAACAAGTTTAAATACAATCATCATTCTATATAAACTCCCTCCAAAAACACAAATTTAAACATTACTTTCTTTGAATATCTATATCTATAGTGTAAAATCTAATTTCTCCCTCTTTCTTTATCCTAAAACAAAAAAATAAACATATAAACCTTTGTTATACCATTAAAACTAAATACTCTTAAAAAACTTAAAGTAAATACATATTTCCTTCAATCTTCATAATCTTCTCTCCTATCCAAAAAGAAAAAACTTAAAAAACTTATAAGTCCTAAACAAATCTAAGCACATTTAATTAAACAAATTATTTTCTCTTAAAAATATTAATAATAATATTTAAAAACTAGAAACACTTTTAAATCCTAAACAAATCTAAATACAATCATCATTCTGTATAAACTCCCTCCAAGAACACAAATTTAAACATTACTTTCTTTCCTAAACAAGTCTAAACATTTAATTAAACAAATTATTTTCTCTTAAAAATATTAATAATATTTAAAAACCAAATTTAAGCATACTTAAAACTTGAACAAGTTGTACTCCCTTCAAAACACGAATTTAAACATTACTTAAAATTTAAAACATTAGAATCCCCTCACTAAAATGAACAAATTATAATCCCTTCAAAACACAAATTTAAACAATATTATCATTAAAGATTCAAAACTTAAAACAACAAAATTCCCTTATACGCCTATCCATAATAAACACATTAAACATTTCAATCTTCACCAATAACCAATTCCATCCGTAAGAAACTGCATCCTTATCAGTCTCAATTATATTAGTATTATTATTAATTATTCACATTCCAGTTTTTTCCATTCTCCATTCTTCCATTCTTCCATTTCCATTCTCCATTCTTGTATCGAACTCGTAAGAAATGCTGCAAGTTCTGCCTTAGGAGACTGCTCCAAAATTCCTGAATCTCCCATCAACTCCGAAGCCAATACAGGTAAGGGTTCCTTAAATTCCTCCTTATGTTGATCTTTACAATTGTAAGTTGTACAAGTTATCCTCTGCCCGTTCCTCTCTTGTTGATGCCCCTCAAACTGAGATTTCCCAATTTCCATTTCAGGCAGCAATTCCACCCTTAAAGATTGCTCCAAAGACTTTGTAGGTCTAACATCTCCCAGAGATTCAGAGACCACTGAATATGAAACTTCCTTAACCTTCTTCTGTTGCTGCTTTTCTTTGGAATTGTATGCTACACAAGTTGTCTTCTGCTCCTCAATTTGGACTTGTTGAGACCTAATAGATGGCGATGCACATACCCCCAGGACCGAAGTATAAAAATCTTTTGCTTGAGAAACAGTATTAAGTCTATGACATGTCCCCAGGTAGTTCACCACCATTCCAGTCGGAACATCCCATCTGAATAGAATTTTTCTCTTTTTAAGTTCATTTGCTAGAAAAGCAAACTCCTTTCTTCTTCTTAAAATTTTAGATGGGATCTCCTTAAAAATTATAACATCTTGTGAAGCAATTTGAAATCTCTTCTTATAATAGGCTTGCACAATTTCATTGCGTAAAGATCTTTTACCAAAGTAAATTACCACATCTCTTGGCAGATTCTTCTGTGCTGCCACCACAGAGTTAACCCTAAATAATTTTTCAATTTCACTAAGTATTCCCTCTTTTTCTTTATTCAAAATCAATGCAAAGTCCTTTGCAACCATCTCTTTCAGATCTCCTTGCAAAGACTCTCCCAGGCCTCTAATTCTTAAGGCATATTCCATTTGTCCATATTGAAGCATAAGAATCTCATTTTCCATTTCTTTTTCCATACTTTCAATTTTCCCCTCCATTATGTCCACTTTTTCATCTACCTCTTCCACATGGGAGTTCACCTTTTCAAGAACAGAAGCAACTCCTTCTAAAGTCAGAACAAAATCTTGTCTCAAGATCTATTATTTTCCTCTAAAATCTTTTTCATTTCTTCCCTAATTTGAATTATAACATCTCCCATCATGTCTTGCAAATCCTTCATAGTTATTAGCTGACCCCCGGAAGAGGGTGAAACTGTTGATTTAGAAGCTGTAGAAATCCCTGGACGCTTTGGAGCCATCTTAAAGAAAAACCTTTAGTCCTTCTTAAAAAATTATAAAAATTCCTTCAAAAATCATAACTCCCTCCAAAGAAGGTCATTATAATAAAAAGAAAAAAGGGGGGAAAAAAAGGAAGAGAAAAAGAATTTAAAAAAAGCTTTACTCCTTCTTAAAAATTGCAAAAAATTAAACAGAAAAAAGTCCTTCAAAAAAGGGTCATTACAATAAAAAGAAGGGAGTTCAAAAAAAAAAAAAAGGGGGAATTAAATAGAAAAAGTCCGTTCCAAAAAAAAATACTTAGAGATACCAAAAACAACCATTCCAATCATAAGAAAATAAAAAGGGAAAGGGAAAGGAAAGAAAGAGAAACACCAAAAAGCCTGCCGGTCAGCATTCTAACTTCAGAAAAAAAAAAACACCGAGAGATTTGCCGATCGCCATTTTACTTTCCCTTTCAACAAAGAAAGAAAAATAAAAAAAGAGAATAAAAATAGAAGCAAGTCTTAAAACTTAAAATCCAAATAAATCAAAGAAAGCAAAAACTAAATCCTCTACTCAGCTCTGTCCGTTTATAAAAAAACTCACCAGTTCTCTTTAAGCACGGAGGTGTTTGCAGCGGCTCGTTTTGTCCCTGAGGACAAAAACAGCTGGGAAGCGGAGACAAGTCTGAACTCCGTGGGAGCACTCCTTTCACCCCCCCAAAAAAAACTTGGGGGGTGCAAAAGAGGCTCTACCACTATTCAGACACTCTCTACCCCCTCCCTTTGCCCGGGAGGGGGATTTTGAACCGCTGAACAGCTGATGTCTGCTGTTCATAGCGGTTCTTACACTTACCCAGGAGAGACGGCTATAAAGTAGCCGCCATCGCGCGCGCAAAATCCACCGGAAGTCGACAGTGCCCAAATCTTGATCACGTGACCATGGGAATGTTGCAACGGACGTAGGTGTGAAATAACACATTTTTTTCAGTGCTGTTGTAACTTTGAACAGTCACTAAATGAATGGTTGTAAGTCAAGGATTACCTGTATGTTTTTTAATTCTTTTTCCTTGATTCTGCTGTCTCTGGGCATTTCCATATCCACAAAGAATACATTACCATTGTCTTTGTCCTTACAATTATTAATACAGTGTTCCATCTTGTTAGATACCCCATCTCAACGAGTTCACTTTATCCTTGGTATGGAAGAAGATGAGGAGCATGTCCCCCATGACTTATTCACAGAAATGGATGAAATCTGTGTGAAAGAAGGTGAAGAATCAGAGTGGAAAGAAACAGCAAGGTAATAAATAAATATATAAATGCACACAGACATATTCCAGCTTCCTGTACAGTAGGTTTAACTTTAGAATCCAGAAAGAAGGCAAAAGAACCAGGGAATTATTTTTTTCTGCACATTGATTGTTAATGAGGGACAGACAAATAATCTTTTAAATAGAAAGGGAACTGGTACAATAGTTTTCTGTATGTCTGTTCCAATTTTACTTGGACAGAATTTGTCAAATCAGGATATCTGGTCTAGAAGCAGCTTCTGCTCTTGTGCAGAATCTGTTCTTGATTCCCCAATTTTACCTGCAAATCTCTAGATTTGGTAGTCTGTTCAAAATTTTCTCCCACTTTGTGGATTATTTTGAAGTGTACAGCTGGTTTTGTGTCAGCATGAGAAAAGACCATGTCAAATCAGGTGACTTCTGCGGCTTTCAGTAGCTCACCTTACAACTATGAGAAAATCTTCAAGCTTACATCATTATCTTTGGATTCAATTAAAATCAATTTCTGGAGTAGTGCATTTATATTGAGTATGGTACTGATAACTATTGTGCCAAATGCCACTTTGAACAGAGTTCAGAAATGGTTTTAAAGTAATTCCAAACTTTATTCAGGAATACATTTAATGCACTACCGAACATAATTCAAAATATATGAGTAAGTAAATGGAAAATAACATTTGGAAGCTCATAGAAACCTTACAATAATGCATTTATTATTGGCTTGGTTGGTTGTATAATGATGCCATCTTCTGGCAGATGGAATACTAATGCCTGCAACTACACAACATACAGTAGTTTATTACTTCTGTAGCTACTGTTGCTACTATGATTGTAGCACAGTCAGCCAAATGTTTAGACTTTGTCATTATTATTATTTAAATCAGGAGGTTGAGCATTCAGTCCTAGGTAGCAGCAGATGTTTCTCTCCTAGGGCATAAAGAAAAAAATATCTGCATGGCATCAGGAAGGGCATCTGGCTAGTCAATGCTCAGCTCCATCCGAGTGCCCCAAATCTACCCCAAGTGAAAAATAAATAATTTTTTTATTATTATTTAAATAAATAGGAATTGGAATGAAACAATAATGTCTCCTTGTAAATTTAGCATTGTTATATGCTGAGATTGAGGGCAAAGCCAGAAATCTATTAAGGTTAATTGCCTGGGTAAATTTCAGTCAGTCAGCATTCTATGTCTCCTAAAGAATCAAAACCTTGAAAGAAACCTCATTATTCCATTCCTATTTCATAGTCTGTTGTCTCAGTAGTTCAAGTATATGCAGAAAGGGATCTGGGGAAAACCTTCCCTAGTTACTATTATTTTTCTAGCTCTCTTCAAAGAGAGACACGTTACAATGTGAAAACATATGCTTTTTGGGAAAGCCCGCACCGTGGGGGGGGGAGTAAGGTAGGTTCTTTATCCATGGTAAAGGATATGTTTTGTAACTGAAAGATCCTCAATATTATCTGATATTCTTTTTTATAGGGCCTTGAATAACAGAGCTAGAAAAATTTCTCTGTGAAACTTTGGAATTACGTTGTATAATCGGTCTAGGGCAGGGGTTCCCAACCGGGGATGCGAGACAATATTCCAGGAGGTGCGAAAACTTGGGTTTTCACAATTATAGTGTGTAGGCATAATTCATTGCCATTTGAACTTTTGTAAGGGGTGCGAGAATATATCAGAAGCATTTTAGGGGTGCGAGGTATAGAAAAGGTTGGGAGCTGCTGGTCTAGGAGATATTCATGTAGTCTGTAATCAAGCAGGGTTCATTATTATTTCTAAACTGGCATATATCTCCAGCATCAGAAAAGCTACAGTAAGTGTTTCTCCATGCAGTTAGCAGGCCCAAATATCTGCTATGTACGAAATCCAAAAGTGAACTCAGTTGGATTGTTTATCAAAATATATTTCTAAGTTAATTTCTCTTCTTAAAAAAAAAGTTTGCATAATTCTTGGTCTGTACTGATTCTTCTTTTTTAAAATGTGTCTAGCTCCCTGGAGTATGTATATGTGGCTGTTGTCCAGATCAGAATAGTTTGTACCAGGTAGTAAACACGGTTTGCTGCAAGATGTCTTGTTTTGAATTTCTGTCACTGACAGATAGGAAATACCTTTTTTTACAGGTATTCCTTGACTTATAACAGTTCATTCAATAACTGTTCAAAGTTACAACATCACTGAAAAAAGTGACTTATGGCCGTTTTTCACACTTAATGACCGTTGCAGCATCCCCAGGGTCATGTAGTCAAAATTCAAATGCTTGGCAACTAACTCATATTTATGACTGTGGCAGTGTCCCGGGTCCATGTGGTAACCTTTTGAGACCTTCTGACAAGCCAAGTCAATGGAGAATTCACTTAACAACCGTGTTTCTAATTTAACAATTGCAGTGATTCACTTAACAACTGTAGCAAGAAAGATTGTAAAATAGGGCAAAACTCGCTTAACAACTGTCTCACTTAGCAACAGAAATGTTGGGCTCAATTGTGGTCCTAAGTTGAGGACTGCTTGTATTCATTTGTGATTTCCATGGGACCCATAGGCCCTTCTGTAAATAAAGATAATGAAAGAGACAAGTGTTGCATTGCCTTCCTTGATGTGGGACAGGGAGCCTGGCAGATTTTGAGAAATATGTCCACCAACTCCACATTACTATTCACTAATATTAATGCATAAAAGTTTGCTTGGCTTTTCTATTTTGCAGCTGGGACCTTTCAAGCCTTCTGGAAAAATAAGTAGTATGTACTTGATACTGAAACCATTTGTTGCAGTATTTGATTTGGGTTGTGTTGGTTGCCTCACTTGCAGATGGCTGAAATTTGAGGAAGACGTGGAAGATGGAGGAGAACGATGGAGTAAGCCGTACGTGGCCACCCTCTCACTGCACAGTCTCTTTGAACTGAGGAGCTGTATCATCAATGGGAGTATCCTTCTGGATAAACCTGTAAACTGCACTGAAGACATTGCAGGTGCTAGTTTTTGATAATTTATGAGAATAAAGGTCAATGAATCTGGGAGGGGTCCCCTATGCCTTCTTAATAATAATAAAGTTGGAAGAGACCTTGGAGGTCATCTAGTCCAACCCCCTGCTCAGGCAGGAAACCCTATACCATTTCAGACAAATGGCTGTCCAGTCTCTTCTTAAAAACGTCCAGTGTTAGAGCATTCACTGCTTTTGGAGACTGGTTAATTTGTTCCACTGGTTAATTGTTCTAACTGTCAGGAAGTTTCTCCTTAGTTCTAGGTTGCTTCTCTCTATGGTTAGTTTCCATCCATTGCTTCTTGTCCTGCTTTCAGGCACCTTGGAAAATAGCTTGATTCCACTTCTCTGTGGCAGCCCCTGAGATATTGGAACACTGCTATCATGTCCCCCTTCATCCTTCTCTTCGTTAAACTACTGTAGATATACCCAATTCCAGCAACCGTTCCTTATATGTTTTAGCCTCCAGTTCCCTAATCATCTTTGTTGCTCTTCTCTGTACTCTTTCTAGAGTCTCAACATCTTTTTTACATAGTGGTGACCAAAACTGGATGCAGTGTTGCAAATGTGGCCTTACCAAGGCATTGTAAAATGGTATTAACACTTCACGTGATCTTGATTCTATCCCTCTGTTAATGCAGCCTGGCCAGTGTATAGAGAACATCCTCCCCGGATATAACCTGCCCAGGTGCAAAATTGGATTAGACAGAATTTTCCTCAAATTATGTAAATCTGTTTCAAGGCAGAATGTAGTAATATAGCAATGTTCCTTAATTTGGTGCCCTCCAGATGTTTTAGGGATATGATATTGGGAATATCGAGCCTTGCACATGATGACTAGGGATACTTGGAGCTATATTTCCAACCATCTGCAGGACAACAATTTAAGGGAAGGTTTTGTTTAATTTAAAAATCAAGCTGATTTGCCCAGTTCAGTGATTCATTATGTTTAGAGAATATTAATCCCCATTAATGCGGGGGCTGGGAAGATAGGATGCCAAAGTAGCACAAAGGGTTGGGGAAAGAGCGTTTATTGTGCCTGCTGTTCCCCCCCCCTTTAACTATTTTTAAAATGTTGGATAAAAAAAAGTGTTGTGGAAGCCAGAACAGACTTTTTATGAATCTCCCTTCTATCACCATTATTCATAGAATTGCATCATGGATAGCTATTCTGAGAATTAAATATGGCAGCTAAGAATTTTCTTCTGATTGTTGCTTTGGGATTATTGTTTCTGTGTTAGATTTTTTTTCCTTAGAAAGAAATAGAATGTGTATTTCAGTAATCTTTACTCCATGCAGGCTGCTCCCAATCCCAGGGTATGAGAGTTAATTTAAGAGAAGACCAAGCATGAACTTCTAAATCAAAAGTCAATAAGATTGCATAATAATAATAATGATAAAGTTGGAAGGGACCTTTGAGGTCATCTAGTCCAACCCCCTGCTCAGGCAGGAAACCTTATACCATTTCGGACAAATGGCTGTCCAGTTTCTTCTTAAAAACTTCCAGTGTTGGCTCATTCACCGCTTCTGGAGGCAGGTTGTTCCACTGGTTAATTGTTCTAACTGTCAGGAAGTTTCTCCTTAGTTCTAGGTTGCTTCTCTCTTTGGTTAGTTTCCACCTGTTGCTCCTTGTCCTGCCTTCAGGTGCTTTGGAAAATAGCTTGACTCTCTCTTCTTTGTGGCAGCCCCTGAGATATTGGAACACTGCTATCATGTCCCCCCTCGTCCTTCTCTTTGTTAAACTAGACATACCCAATTCCAGCAACCGTTCCTTATATGTTTTAGTCTCCAGTCCCCTTATCATCTTTGTTGCTCTTCTCTGTACTCTTTCTAGAGTCTCAACATCTTTTTTACATTGTGGTGACCAAAACTGGATGCAGTATTCCAAGTGTGGCCTTACCAAGGCCTTGTAAAGTGGTATTAATACTTCACGTGATCTTGATTCTATCCCTCTGTTAATGCAGCTTAGCACTGTGCTGGCTCATATTTAAATGATTGTCCACTAGGACTCCGAGATCCCTCTCACAGTTACTACTATTGAGCAAGGTACCCCCTATACTATACCTGTACATTTGATTTTTCGTGCCTACATGTAGAACCTTACTTTTTTCACCATTGAATTTCGTTTTGTTAGATAGCACCAGTGTCCAAGTCTGTCCAGATCCTCCTGTATCCTAAGCCTGTCTTCTGGAGTGTTGGCTATTCCTGCCAGCTTGATGTTGTCTACAAATTTGATGAGTTCCCATCTATCCCCTCGTCCAGATCGTTGATGAAGATGTTGAAGAGCACTGGGCCCAGAATAGAGCCCTGGGGTACCCCACTACACACTTCCCTCCATGTAGATGCGGTTCCATTGAGGACCACATGCTGAGTATGGCCAGTCAGCCAGCTATGGATCCATCTGGTGGTGATGCTGTCTAACCTGCATTTTTCTATCTTCTCAAGTAGTAGGTTGTGGTCCACTTTATCAAATGCCTTACTGAAATCCAAGTAAATTATATCCACAGCATTCCTCTGGTCCACTAATTTTGTCACTTGGTCAAATAATGCAATAAGAATTGTCTGGCATGATCTATTTTTGACAAATCCATGTTGGCTTTTAGTAATGACTTTGTTTGCCTGTAGGTGTTCGCTGATTCGTTGTTTGATTATCTTTTCCAGAATCTTCCCAGGTATTGAGGTCAGGCTGATAGGTCTGTAATTTCCTGGATTCTTTTTTTCCCCTTTTTGAAGATGGGAACTACATCAGCTCTTTTCCAGTCCTCTGGTAGTTCCCCGGTGCTCCAGGATCTCTGAAAAATATAGTTCAGTGGTTCTGAGATCACGTCTGCCAGTTCCTTAAGAACCTTGGGGTGTAATCCATCTGGTCCTGGTGATTTGAACTCATCTAGTCTGGACAGGTATTCACTTACCATTTTCTTGCCTATCTTAACTTGTATTTCTGTTTTGTTTTTTATGGCACTATTTTTGATAGGTTGGTCTGTTTTTTCCCTTTGTGTAAAGACAGATGCGAAAAATGAGTTAAATAGTTCTGCTTTCTCCCTGTTGCTTGTCACCTTCTTGCCACTTTCACCCGCTAATGGACCAATCGTTTCCTTCACTTTTTTCTTGTTTTTTACATGTTGAAAGAAGCTTTTTTGTTATTTTTGACTTAGGTCGCAAGCCTTAGTTCATTTTGAGCCTTAGCTTTCCTCACTTCGTCTTTGCAGGCTCGGGCTATTTGCTGATATTCTGACTTAGTTATGTGTCCCTCTTTCCATCTTCTATACTTGTCCTTTTTATCTTTCAATTGAACAGAGAGTTCTTTATGCAGCCATGCTGGTTTCTTTTGAGAGCTGTTATTTTTCCTCTTTGTTGGTATTGTGCTAGTCTGGGCTTTATTATCTCACTTTTCAAAATTTCCCAAGCCTCTTGAGTTGTTTTCCCCTGGAGGATTCTCATCCATGGAATCCTTCCCAAACCCTCTCTAAGTTTATTGAAAGTAGCTCTCTTGAAGTTCAAGACTCTAGTTTGACTGTGTTCTATTGCTTGTGCTTCCATAATGTTGAATTCCAATATTGCATGATCACTTCCTCCCAAGGTTCCTATGGCTTCAACACCTTCTATCATTTCATCTCTGTTAATGACAAATAGGTCCAAAATGGCTAATCCCCTAGTTCCCTTCTCTACTTTTTGGGAGACATTATCTGATGATTGAATCCTTCTCACATTGAAATAAATGCCAGCGTCCCTGAAAGAAGAAACACATTCTCGTTCTTGAAATAGTATTTTCTTTTAATGGACTAGTTTTAAAATGCAACTAACAGTAAGTGCACAAAGAATTATCAGGTTTGCTGCTATAATAGGAAAAATATATATAATAAAACTTTCTTTCCTCCCTTACAAAAAATATACTAGTGAACCTTCTAACCATACCAAGTTTAATTAATATAATTTTAATTCGGGATCACTGGTTGCAGTGTAATATGTATTGCATTTGTATAATTAGGCGGTTTTGTCTTTCAGAAATGATCCTGGATAGCCAGGAATCTTGTGATGAATCTACACGTAAAAAATTCTGGGACACCCTCTTGAAAAAACACCATCATCAGCATGAAAAGAGGAGAAACATCCTTCCAATTGTCCGTTCTTTTGGAGAAAGTGGCCAGAGAAAGTCTGATCCTCACTCAATAGATAAGACTGGTAAGGATCTCTGTCCTATGGCCATTTTGGCCCAATTTCCACATTATATTGTGCAGGCTTTCCTTGACTTAGTTTAATATACAGAAGGAAAAAGCCAAAGCTGAGGTGGCGCAGCAGTTAGGGTGCAGTACTGCAGGCCACTTTAGCTGACTGTGTTCAGCAGGTCAATGGTTCAAATCTCACCGGCTCAAGGTTGACTCAGCCTTCCATCCTTCCGAGGTAGGTAAAATGAGGACCCAGATTGTTGGGGGCAATGTAAATATATATATATACATTGCTTACTGGTGTACACCGCTTAGAGAGTGCTTGCACTTAAAGCGGTATATAAGTCTCATAAATAAATAAATAAATAAATAAATTATAAACCCTATGTTGAGAAATCATTGGGAATATATAACATATCTGGTTCTAATTTATGATTTAGAACTACCAGTTGTTCCAGACCACAAATGTTTATGTACACATCTTGTGATCCCTTCTTAATCTATCAATACCTCTGCTTTTTTTTCTGGATTGTCTCTACTCCATGCATACAAAGAACATACAAATTACTTTGGAGAATACTTGCTCCGTCTGATAAAATTTATTCAATCTATTGACTTCCGGTGGTTAAAGCGGTGGAGATGGCGGCTACTTTGTAGCCGTCCTCCTGAGAAGGTGTCAGATCCGCGGAGCACAGCGTTTACCAGCTGGCCCGCGGCTCGCAATCCCCTTCCCGGGCGAAGGGAAGGGGCAGAGATCGCATGAATAGAGGTAGAACCTCTTAACTCTCCCTGGATTTTTATTTTTAGGGGGGTAGAAAGAGGGTTCCCTCGGAGTTCATTGCCTTCTCCGCCTCTCAGCTGTCTTTGTTTCTTCGGAAACAAAGCGAGACGCCGCTACCATCTCCGTACTTAAAGAAACCGTGAGTAATCTTAAACCGGACAGAACTGTTTAAAGGATTTTATTTATAGTTTAGCTTCATTTTATTTTTTTTTAGTTTATTTAGTTTATTTAGTATATGCTGATTTTTTTTTATTTTTTTAAGCTTTCTCTTTTTTTTCGGGCGGAAAAGTGAGAGTGAAAGTAAAATGGCGTTTTGAAAGTTTTTTTTTCCTTTAAAAGACGGATCGGCTGAATTGTTGTTTAATACTGCTTTTTTTTTTTTTTTTACTTTTTTATTCTTGGGGACTTTTAGATTGATCTTATTTTATTCTATTTTATCTTATTTTTAATTTTTTTTTTGGATTACTTATTTTTATCGGTATTTTTAAGAAGAAAGGAAGATAAATTAAAATGGCTTCAAAACGACAACCAGCTACTGCAGCTTCTAAAGTAACTTCTTCTCCTGCTACTTCTACTGTGCAACAACAACTTAAAATAATACCCTCAGTGCAGCAACCTAAATCCACTCCACCTTCACCTCCCCCATCTGGCACATCAGCACAAGACATTAAAGAAATAATGGTAAGTGCTGTCTCACAGTTTAGGGAGGAAATGAAACAACTTTTGGACCAGAATAAATCTGAAACTAAGGAGGAAATGAAGAAAGAGATGAAGGAGCTTTTAGAACAGAATAATGCTATTTTGAGGGATGATATACTTCTAGCTCTATCTGGAATGGCCTCAGTGGTTGTGAAGCTGGACTCCAGAGTAGAGGAAATTGAAGAAACAGTTGAACTTTTGGATTATAAATTTCAAGATATGGAGAAAAAAGTGGAGACTTCACAAGATGATATTCTTATGTTCCAGTATAGACAGATGGAATATGCTTTGAGAATAAGGGGTCTGAAAGAAGATAAAACTCAAGATTTGATGGAAATGGTGATTAATGACTTGGCTGTTATTTTGAATATTGATAAAGAAGAGTTACGTGGGGATGTGGAAAGAATTTATAGAGTTAATTCTTGGATTGCAAAACAGAGGAATTTGCCTAGAGATGTGGTGATATATTTTGCTAAGAAGTCTTTGCGAAATCAGATTCTACAAACTTTTTATAATAAAAGATTTCAGATTGCTGCCCAAGATATTATTATTTTAAAGGAAATTCCACCTAAAATTTTAAGAAGCAGAAAAGATTTTGCTTTTTTAGTAAATGAACTTAAAGCAAGACAAATGCCATTTAGATGGGAGATTCCGATGGGCATTGTTTTGAGCCATGCGGGGACACGTTATAGACTTAATACAGTTGCTAAAGCTAAGGAATTTTATAAAACGGTCCTGGGAGCAGGCTCTCCTTTGCCCATGATGCATAAAGTCTTGAGTGACAAAGAGATGGAACAGAAATCTGAAGGTACAGGGATGATGACTGCTGGACAGGTGGTATGGATGTCTCAACCAGAGGTTAAAGAACAGAGAATGACCCGTGCAGCACATAAACGTAAAGAAAAAGAACAACAGAAAAAAGAAAAAGAAAAAGAAATTGAAGAATCTACTCAGCAAATTGCTTCAGTGCCGGTGGGAGGAGCAAGACCCAAAAGCTCTGCTACATATTCATCAGCAGCAGAATTTGAGCGGATCTTCTCCAGGCTGAAGGCCAAGGGAGATGGCAAAGCTCCTGTCCTGGAATGTTAATGGATTAAACATTCCTCAAAAGAGAAAAAAAATTTACCACTATTTGAAACAACATAACAATGATATTATTTGCTTGCAAGAAACTCATATTACAGCTAAAGATCAAAAATATTTAAATAATCCTCGCTTGGGATCTCATTTTGTATCTCCCGCCCCTGGGAAGAAAGGGGGTGTGGTAATCTATGTTAAACAGAATTTATCCGCTACCTTGTTAGAATCAGACCCTTACGGAAGATATGTTATGCTTGAACTTGGTTTATATGGCAAGAAAATTCTTATTGTGGGGTTGTATGCACCAAACCAGCAACAGGAGCAATTTTATAGGTTACTACATCAGAAAATAACTTTGTTGGATTATAGATCTGTGATTTTAATGGGAGACTGGAATGGTGTTTTAGATACACAAATGGACAAAAAAGGCTCTTCTACCTTTTTTAAACAGGCTAAATTACCTAAAGCCTTTTTTGATATGAAAGAAGATTGGGAATTGAGAGACTATTGGCGTGAACGTAATCAAGAAGAAAAGGATTTTACGTTTTTCTCAGATAGACACCAATCTTTCTCTAGAATTGACTTCTTTTTGATCACAACAGATTTATACAACAGGGTGAAGAATGTAAAAATTTTTCCTAGGACATTGTCCGATCATAGTCCAGTTTGGATGGAACTGTTTGTAGAGAAGGAAGATAGGAGATCCTGGAGGGTGAATGAGAATTTATTTAAACAAGAAAAAAATGTTCATAAATTAAAGGAATGTTTAAAGGAATATTTTACTTTAAATATGAACAAGGGAACATCAATGTCAATGGTCTGGGATGCAAGTAAAGCTTTTATGCGTGGTATTTTGATAAAAATGAATAATTTGCATAGACAGAAACAGACTCAGAAACGGAAAGACTTGGAAGAGGAGATTAAATTAAAAGAGAAACTTTTAATTTCAAATCCCTTAGATGAAAAGGTTAAAGGAGCTTTAAAATTGCTAAAAACACAATTTAACATGCTGATGGCTGATCAAGCTGCAACTAATTTGCTATTTATGAAACAAAATACATTTTGTAATGCTAATAAACCAGGGAGATGGTTGGCTTATCAGTTAAGAAAAAAACAGAAACAGAGGAATATAGATAAAATAAATTATAATGGTAAATTGGTTTATCAGAAAGAATTGATTAAGAAATCTTTTTTAGAATACTATCAAAAATTATATAAGGGTACTAATATTCAAATTACAGATATAAATAATTATTTAGGCAAAGTTAACTTTCCTAAATTAACAGAAGATCAGGAAAAAAAGATTAACGGTTTAATTACTAAGGAAGAAATTGTTACAGCTATTAAACAATTGAAATTGGGCAAAGCGCCGGGTACGGATGGGTTGACATCTATTTATTATAAAGCTTTAGTAGAAGAGATGACTCAACCGTTGTGTGAACTGTTTAATAATTTATTACAGGGGTTAGAGATCCCTCCATCCTGGCGTAATGCATTTATATCATTGATTCCAAAAGATAGTCAAGATCTTACTTTGCCTAAAAATTATAGGCCTATATCTCTTTTAAATGTGGATTATAAAATTTTTGCAAAAATTTTAGCTAACAGGCTTATGGGGATCTTGCAGCAGTTTATACATAGGGATCAATCGGGTTTTATAACTGGAAGGTATATGAAGAATAACGTTAGACAAATTATTAATTTATTAGAGTATTTAGAAAAGAATAACCAAGTCTCTGCAGGCCTGATATTTTTGGATGCTGAAAAAGCCTTTGATCAAGTGAATTGGCAGTTTATGCTGTGTTTAATCAAGGAGATGAATTTTGGACAAAATATATTACAAGTATTATCCAATATATATCAAAAACAGACTGCTCAAATTATTGTAAATGGGGGTTTGTCAGAGGCTTTTGTAATAGAAAAAGGAACAAGACAGGGATGCCCGTTGTCTCCGTTATTGTTTGTTTTAACACTGGAAATTTTGTTGATTAAAATTCGGGAGTCTCAAGAAATAAAAGGAATAGAAATTAATAAAAAAGAATATAAATTAAGAGCCTTTGCAGATGACTTGGTTGTTACTTTGTCTCAACCTGTTTCTTCGGTGGTGAAATTATTACAATTGATTCAACAATATGGACGTGTTTCTGGCTTTAAAATTAATAATAATAAGACCAAAATATTAGCTAAAAACATGACTAATGGTGATAAACAGGCTTTAGTTAACTTAACAGACTTTGAAATTGTTGATAAGGTAAAATATTTGGGGGTTACATTATCTGCTTCTAATGTAAAATTGTATAAAAATAATTATGAAAAGCTGTGGATGGAGGTACAGAAGGATTTAAAAAACTGGAATAATTTACAGTTATCCCTTATGGGCAGAATTGCAGTTATTAAAATGAATGTCCTGCCAAAGTTTATTTTTTTGTTTCAAATGTTACCTATCTTAAAGAACGAACGTAATTTAGATGAATGGCAAAAAGGTATTAATAAATTTGTTTGGGCAGGGAAAAAACCAAGGGTGAAACTTAAAATAATGCAAGATTTTCGTGAGAGAGGTGGACTCAAGGTACCAAATATGAAATTGTATTATGATGCTGTAGTATTGACATTGATTAGCGACTGGGTGAATTTAACAAATACAGAAATACTTCATTTGGAAGGCTGGGACCTATTTTTTGGATGGCATGCCTATTTAATATTTAATAAAAAAGTGGATTGGGTTTTTAAGTCTCATATTATAAGAAACTCTTTGCTAAGAGTGTGGAGAAAGTATTATAAAAGTGACTTCAAAATACCATTATGGGCTATACCTCGGCATGCCATAGAAGGTATAAGGAAAGGGGTAAATATGGACAAGGTCTCTTACGTACAGTTATTAAGATGGGATGGCCAAGACTGGCAGTTAAAATCTTTGGAAGAATTAACACATGAAAACTTAACTTATTCATGGTTCCAATATAGACAAATAGTGGATAGATGGAAGATGGATTGTAAAATGGGCTGGCTTAGAGAAGATGAAATTTTTTTAAAACAAGTAAGAGATCAAAGGCCAACCCATATTAAGAGAGTTTATGGGGTTTTAGTGGAATTAGATTCAGAACTTGAACTAGTTAAAGATTGTATGATTAAATGGGCACAGAATATTGGTGAAACGATTTCAATGGATACTTGGGAACTTATTTGGATAAGAAATGTTAAATTCACACAAGCGCAAAATTTAAGAGAGAATTTTTATAAGATGTTTTATAGATGGCACCTTGACCCAAAGAAAATGTCCATTATGTACCCTAATCTACAGCCGAAATGCTGGAGATGTGGATATTTGGATGCTACCTATTACCATATTTGGTGGACGTGTAAGCATATAAAAGCTTTTTGGATTAAGATATGGTGGAATATTCAAAGAATTTTTAAAAGGAGGGTAAAATTTACTCCGCAATTATTTTTACTAGGTATTGTTATTGACTGTGATGCTAAGGAGGTTATATTGATGTTAAATTTGATTACAGCCGCTAGGTTGTTAATAGGACAATATTGGAAGAAGGAATCTTTGCCTACTTTACAAGAATGGTTTCATAAAGTTTCGTATTTGGCAGAAATGGCAAAGATTTCGGCTTTCTTAAAGGAGCAATCTCAAGAAAAATTTTTTGCGGTATGGGAAAAATGGATAAATTTTATACAACATAATTTGGATATGGAAAAATATTATTTAGCCTTTTTATAATTTGTAATGATTGTTTTTTCTTTCTTTCTTTCTTCTTTTTCTTTTTTATATATATACATTTTTTATGTATTATTATTCATATATTTTTTTTTATATATATATATATGCTTTATTCTTCGTCTACTTTCTTCTTTCTTCTTTCTCTCTCTCTTTTCTCTTTTTATTTTTTTTTTTTTCTTTTTTAGTATATATTATTCATTTTAAAGTTTATGTTATCTATATTATTATTATATATATTATTATTGTGATTTTTATTATTATTATTAATTATTTTATAAATTGCAAATGTTATTTTTAAAATATTTGTTAAATAATCCTATATTCAGTTCTGGGAAGTCGGGGGGGGGGGTGGGGTGGTTGGGGAGGGGGGGGTGGATTTTTATTTGTAAAACTTTTGAAAAATTTCAATAAAAAAAAAAATTTATTCAATCTATTTTTATTTATTTATTAAATTTATATGTCACCTGTCTCATTCTGAGTGACTCTGGACTCAATGCTTGGATGTGCAGTTCATCTTTCCATTTGGTTATGCTGCCTCAGCAGTTTGGAAGACAAACTGGCTGCATTCACATAATAAAGTGAATGATACTCTCTAGTGAAACTAACCAAAACTACTCTGTTTGTATAATATCCTGTCCCCAAATAAGTTAACTATATTGAATTGATGGCCTAGTTCACACATTATGTTAAGGTATAGTGTAATTTGTTGGCCTTTACCTTAACTATTTAGCCTAAGCAATTTATGGTTTATCATGGGTGAGCCCAGACATTGTCTGATTTGAGCATCAGGTATTACACATGATCAGTGGTGGGATTCAAATATGTGAACAACCGGTTCTCTGTATGGATGTGAAGGCCATTCTGGGCCTGGGCAACAAAAAATTAACTACCAGTTCTGCTGAACTGGTGCGAACTGGCTGAATCCCACCACTGTATATGATCCAACTTATATTTAACTAGGCTTTAGCCAAACAATCTCTCCAAAGTGTAGGATTATAAGAATAATCCTTCTGGCCCAGGTAAAGATCCACCTTTCAATGTTTTCTGATATAATAAGTATATTAATCATTTTTATATAAGCATTTTTATTATAAATTTCCAAAAGCCTCTAGTGGTGGTGATATTGATTTATCATGCTGTATCAACTCAGTATTGACTGTTAACAACCATATAGATAGATTTTCCCCCAAGGTGAACTGCCCTAACCTGGACCTTTTTCATTAAGTTTCTTGACTTTAATTACTAGAGCTGGCACATCATTTTTATGTTCAGCTATAAAAATACTGCCATCAGCATAGTGCAAATTATTGATGTTTCGGCCTCCATACTAATTTTCTTTCAACCCAGCTTTGTTTGTGCTTGAAAAATGGAAAAATGGAAATCCCAGAACAGTGGAAGAATATAGTCAGCAAATTCATACAAAGTTTTTGTTTATTTTCTAAAAAGAAATTTTAGTTTTGGGGATGAAATTTTCATCTTCTTAAAAGTATAACCATTCCTTTAGAAACATTCACATTCACCATTTGTTCAATTCAATAATGAAAAAATAATGTGGAGGGATCTAGGAAACACCTGTCATTTTGCTCAAATTGCTCTTTTAAAAGAATTGCATCCTTTGCGTGAAAGTGAAAATTGTCATGAGCTTTAAAAGTTTGTTATACTGAAGCAGCAGTTCATGAAAGTTATTTTCTTGTACTCACCATTCACATAAGTAAAATAATCCATGGACAAATGGACATTGTAAATGAAATCAGGCATTCTACCTGTGTTTATATTGAGAAAGGTTTGTACTCAAATATAACTTTTCTCAAAATTATATATATGTATGGTATTTAATGTAATAATTAATACAACAAATTATCTATATTTTTCCTCTCTGTTTCTATTTAGGAGTGACTTCACTGTCTCTTCATCCTGCTTCTAACACACTAGATGTTAGAAATGGATTGACTCATGATACTACCCCAACAGACGTGTGCAAAGTTAGTTAATTTAATTGTTTATCACTAATTGTAAGATCCTCTTGCAGCCAATCAGATTTGACTCCCTCAAAGTCAAATGAAAACAATTGGCACTGCTTTTATTTTGAATTGGCATTTTCAGCCAGACTGACTTTGTGATAATGTCACTGTCAATGGGAAAAGAATTGGTTTCCCTAGAGTTTTACCTTGGGCAACTATTGCTGTCATATAAGTAGCAGTCATGGTATGTCAGCATCTCATCTGAATATGAACTTTTCTGTATAATGTCTATTTTTAAAAATTCTAAAATCAGTCCCCAAAGGAGGAGGTTCTCTGGAATTTATACTGGTAGTCCCTGACCATAACTGGGACTGGCACTAAGTAGAACAGCTGTTAAGTGAAATGTCACATGTCCATGCTGACTTACATCAGTTCCAGTTGCAGGTGTTAAGCAAATCACGAGTCATTAAGCATAATGTCATGTGACCATGACTTGCAAATTCCTGCTGATTTCCTCATTGACTTTGCTTGTTGGATGTCAACTGTGAACCTTGCAAATGGTGATTGCATGATCCCAAGTTGCTGTTTCTGTTATAAATGCACACTGGTTGTCAAGCATCCAAATTACAATCAAATTACCCTGGGCATGCTGTGGCTGGCCACAACTTCAAGGACTGGTCCTAAATTGTTCAGTGCTGCAATAGCTTTGAATGGTTGCTGAAAGAATGACTGGGATATGAGGATTATCTGTATTTATTAGATGCCTCATAATATCCGTTCTGCCTTAAAAAATTAAGCTTTTTTCTTTCTAATTAGGCAGACCCTCATTTTATGAAGAAGATTCCTGTTGGTGCCGAAGCTGCAAATGTTTTAATTGGAGAGGCAGATTTCTTGAAACAACCTATTGTTGCCTTCTTACGCTTATCACCAGCTGTTCTTCTTCCAGGCATGACTGAGGTTCCACTCCCTACCAGGTAAAATGTGGTAGTGATGACTGTATGTGTGTGTGTGTGTGTGTGTGTGTGTGTGTGTGTGTGTGTGTGTTGGGATAACTAATAGTACTGATACCTTCAAGTCAGTGTTGATTCTTAGTGACTGCAGCTATGTAGTTTTCTTGGCAGTGCTACAGAAGTGATGGTTTGCCATCTTTGGGGTTTCATTTTTTTTTAACCTTCTCAATCTACCTAACAGTAATTAGTGCTAATTTCACACTGCTTATCCACTACTAATATTATCTATCACCTTGATTATTACATTTGAGATTATGCTTGTAAATAATTTGTCCATGCCATTTAGAATTGTGTTCGTTGCAAACTTTGGAATGTTGCCTCCTCTCCCCACTGAGTCCAGGAAAAAAGAAATAGTCACCCATTTTAGTAATTTTGTAATCTAGACTGAAGCTTTTTTAAAAAAATCTACCATTTTTGCTGAAATAAAAATCCAACTTTTTCAGTAGAGCCAAGATAAGAAAAATTTAAACATTTATTTAGATGGCTGTGGATACTTCCTGTTCTTACACTATTAAATCCTTTTTAAAAAGCTATGCCTACTACAAGGCATCCTATTAGAGGATCCATAAATATTCATATTTCAGTATTAAATATAGGTAATCCTCAAGATATAATAGGCATTTAACAAAGGTTCGAAATTACAAGCAACAACTTCCAAAAGCTACTTATGACCTCATTTAAAAATTAGGACAGCAGCAGTTGGCCTGCGGTTGTTCACCCTGATCAACCACCAGTGCCCTCCCACCTCTCTCCCCCATCCCACCCCACCGGAAACCTGTAGTAATTGGGCCTCCTCCTCACACCCCCATTGTGCCCCAGTTTTAACTTCTGAAGCTCTCCAGACTTCATGTTATGAAGGGAGGGCACGTCATGACACCCTGGGCTGCGTTGTGGAGACCCAAATGTAGCGGTCATTTTGTCCCTGCCCACAAACAGGTGGGGACAAAATGATGGCCACCAGACAAACTACTTTGTTTTGCTACCTTAGGTCTGCACAGTGCTGCAGAAGCTTCTGAAGCTGCAGCACTGTGCAGAGCTTGTTAAGGCAGCAAAACAAAGCAGTGTGTCCCATGTGGCAATAACCCAAATGCATCTGCCATTTTGTCCCTGCCCACAAACTAGTGGGGACAAAATGATGGCCACCAGACAAACTGCTGCTTTTTGCTGCCTTAGAGAGCTCTCCACAGTGCTGAAGAAGCTTCTGAATTCTTCTGCAGCATTGTGCAGAGCTTGTGAAGGCAGCAAAATGAAGCAGTTTGTCCCCAGGCAGTGCAGCAGCAACCCAAATATGGCCACCATTTTGTCAGTGGGACAAAATGGTGGCTGCTTTCAGAACTGTGCCATGTGGCTATGCAAAGAAGAAAGTCATCCCAGTTCTCTGGAAGGCCTCAGGGCTCTTCAAAAGGTAAGTGGTGAGAAAGGGGTTTTGCTTGGGGAGGTGGGAATCAGGCTAAGGCCTGTGAGGACTCAGTGGAAGTGGGAAAAGACCCAAGAGGCAGGAAGTGGAGCATGAAGCATCTCAGGGTGGGTGATGCCTTGGGAGAGTATATTACATTGACGTACATTAGTGTTTATCTACATATACTGTATAGTACAAAGTTTTATGATTTTTTCCTAGATGTCATCCATATCTAGTAATTTCTGGAGGAGGAGATATGTAGCAAAACTAAGGTGACCAACTGTCCTCCTTTAGGGAGGACAGTCCTCCTTTTGTAAGTTCTGTCCTCCCTCAAAAAGTGTCCTCCTTCATGTCCTCCTTTTCAATATTTGAAGACTAATCTGCAGGGCTTTTTTTTTCCCTCATAGAACGCTCAGAACGGTGTTCCGGCACCTTTTTTTGATGTTTTTTTTTCAACTTTTGCATGAGCTGTTCTACTCCCACTATTAGCTTTCGAAAGCCAATAGGAATTGCTGCTGAGCGCGCCAAAACACCTGGCTGGTAAACTTTGCACATGCAAGTTGTCTGTATTATTGTTGCAATGAATAAAATGTTTCTTTTATTTACAATATTTTTTTCTTCAATATATCTGTGTCCTCCTTTTTATTGTAAAAAAGTTGGTCACCTTACAAAACACTAACAGGCATAGGAAAGGCATGTGTGTGCATGCAGAATGCCTATACACAGGAAAGTGAAGATTTCATGTTAATGCACATACATTGGGCATAACCTATGTACACTTTTCAGAAAACATATGCACTGATATATAGGAAGAAAGCATAGGTTTGTTTCTTGTAATGTGCTAGGAGTGCTCTCCCAGATAAATTATACAAAATCTTCCAGCTCAACTAGTGCCCAGTTAGAAAGACCCTTCCTTTTTGTTCCTATTCTGCTCAGGATTTTGTTTTGCATTGACTGAATCCAGAAAGGTATGTGATCTGAATGGAAAGGAGATAGGTTTACCTCCTACCTTCCCTCCCCCCCCCCAAAGTTGAAGATGACTTTATGGGCAAGAGACTGCATGTAGGCAAGACTTTAGTGTAAACAACACAGAGCTGAACAGAGCTTGATGGGTTTCAATAGGGAGTAATTTCATCTTCAGAGATTTTTAAAGCTGCATACCTGGAGAAAAGTTTCATTGTTCTGGAAGATCTTGGAAAGGCCTTTTCAAGACTTTTTCTTTTTTTTAATTGGACAGGGTCTGTCTCATTTAAATGAGACTTAGTTTCCCAATGGCTTAACATGTTTGATTTAGATTGCAAACATTTCTTTTTCTATTTCTCTTTTAATGACTAGGTTCTTGTTTATCTTGCTGGGCACAGTAGGGAAAGGACAGCAATATCATGAGATTGGAAGGTCAATGGCTACCCTCATGACTGATGAGGTAAGTGAAGTATGCATCATTTCACTCTATACAGCAGAGTTTCTTAACCTTTGCATGGCTGTCTGGGGAATTCTGGGAGTTGAAGTCCAGATTTCTTAAAGTTGTCAAGGTTGAGAAGCACTGTGAGCCCATTCACATTGCTTTGAATGAGCTGTACATAAAAGAACACCAACAGAGTCATAAAAAAGTTATAAAAGTCAGAAATAATGACCCACACACTCCAAATAAAGCCTTAGTAAACACATAGTAGAATTGTTTTTAGTGATGCACACTCCCCTTTTAATATTTGCATGACTTGGTTCGTGTATTGTAGTAATCCGTATTATGTGTGATTTAGCTTTCCATTCATATACTATCGTATATTCCGGTGTATAAGATGACTTTCGCAAGCGTTAAAATCGGCGCCGAAGTCAGGGGTCGTCTTATACGCCAAGTCGTCTTATACGCAGGAAATACTGATAGTTTCCGGCGTATAAGATGACTTTCTAGGCATGCGACTCGGTGCCGAAGATGGGGGTTGTCTTATACGCTGGGTCGCCTTATACGCCGGCATATACGTTATATAATCACAGCCAGCTTTGTTCTTGTTTTTAATGACCCATGGTTAGACAACTGTGGTTTAGGGTGACTGGTACACTCAGAAACGTGTATGATTCTGGTGGGAACTTATGCAAGGATGCTATTTCATACTATGTATCTATATATTGTTCCACATTCAAGGTAGATTATTTTAAAGTTTTGCTTGTTTACCAGAATAGTTGTCCAGACAAACAAAGATTCTGTTTAAGAGAATATAGTATATGGGGAAATTAGAATTGATTTAGCTATCGTGTGTAAGTAAATATCATGATTAATGCATTTTCTCTTGGGTCTCTTGTCTCTATAGGTTTTCCATGATGTTGCTTATAAAGCCAAGGATCGAAATGATCTTTTAGCTGGCATTGATGAGTTTCTAGATCAGGTGACTGTGCTGCCACCTGGGGAATGGGACCCATCAATCAGAATTGAGCCACCTAAAAGCGTTCCTTCCCAGGTAAGCTCAATAAAACAAAATGATAATATTTGTAAAATATCAAGTCTAATACGGGGGATACTATCTATAAATTAGATGGGCAGAATCACAGCACAATACGTTTGTCATTTATTGGCTGATACTTAAGGTTCCCTAGAGAGTTGTCTCAGCTTTTTGGCCTGCTGTAATTGCAAGGAAAGGGAAATGATCCTGCATGCCTATTGGAAGCTACGTCAACAATAAGGCAAGTGTGTGCAAATAAAATTGCAGGTAGTCCTTGACTTATGACCATAATTGAGCCCAAAATTTCTATTGCTAAGTGAGGCACTGTTAAGTGAACTTTGCCCCATTTTATGATGTTAAACTAGCTAGTCATGTTACGATCTTAACTTAAAGTAGCTAGTCATTTTATGTCACAAAAGGTGATCTCGTGGCCCTGGGACACTGCAACCATCATAAATGTGAATGAGTTGCCAAGTGTCCAAATTTTGATCATGTGACCCTGGGGATGCTGCAACGGTCGTGAGTGTGAAAAATTCTTATGTCATTTTTTTCAGTGCTGTTGTAATGTTGAACAGTCACTAAATGAATGATTGTAAATCGAGGACTACCTGTATGACATTTATACGGCTTTTGGTACACAGCAATGTTGCAACCACAAGATTAGGCTTAGCCTCCAATTTGATATTGTTGGATTTTCTTTATTTTTTTAAAAAGACCACTGTGTCTTTGACTGATTCAAAAGCCGGAAGAATCAAGTTAATTTGTCAGTTTTCTTTTTCATTAGAATAAGAGGAAGATGCCTGGAGCGCGAAAGTTATCTAATGGAAAACTTTGTGATGATGAAATGGAGGATCACATGGGGCCGGAGCTCCAGAGAACAGGAAAGTGAGTCCTGGGAGTTTTGTGTGGCTTCCCCTGAAGCAGCGGATAAGCAATCTTTTTACTAGCTAGTACTGCATTTTAAAAGGTATTTGATCTCCGTGGCCTGCAAGGGGCATGGCCAGTGGCATCAGTGGCATCAGTGCAATAGAGCGGTTCAAATTATTGACTAATTTGGGAGATGTTTCAAAAGGTTAAATGTCTCTAGCTTAAGATGCTGATTTTCTCTCTGGAATAATAATAATAAAAAAAAACATTTGCCCAATTCAGTCCTTATTATAAGGAGATAGATGGGTGGTTAAGGAGTGTGAAATATAAATAAATAAAGGAAACAACTTCTCCAAAATTTTAAGGCTTTCATTTTGACCTGTACTGCTACAGACTGCGCGCAAGAGTTTTTGCATGGTTGCGGAAGTAGTGTTTGTGGGCCGTGTACTGGCCAAACTTTTACTAAAAGAAATTTCCCCATCTTTCATTACAAAGGCTCTATAAATTCAGGGACACCTTATGAACTAGATACAGATAGTCCTCAACTTACAACCACAATTGGGACAGAGTTTCTGTTACTAATCAAGACAGTGGTTAAGTAATTCACGTCCGCTTTTACAATCTATTTTGCCATGGTTGCTGAGTGAATCACATTTAAGTGAGTGATGCTGTTGTTAAGCAAATTTGGCCTCCACATTGACTCTACTTGTCGAAAGCCACTTGAGAAGTGGTGATCACCTGGCCCTGGGATGCTACAATCATTATAAATACACGCCGGTTACAAAGTGCCCAAATTTTGATCACATGACCATGGGAATGCTGCGGGAGTTGTAGTTGTGGAGACCAGTCATCAGTCACTTTTTCAGTGCCATTGTAACTTTAAATAGTTGTATGTCTACGAATGGTTGTAAGTCTAGGACTACTTGTAGTAGATTTAGGATGGCGACATCTGGGAAACTTTTGAAGAATTGGTCCAGATCACTTTTGCTAGCACCAAGGACTATAATGAGAAAGCAAGCTTCTGGTAATATGGAACAGGGGAATCTCAGTTTGAATCTGATACAAGCCTATAAATCAGAATTGTGGACAAATAATGGGATGAATATGTCAAAGAGCTGCCACTCCACTTTCAATGTTATGTGTTGGGAAATGGCTTGTCTCCGGTCATGTTGTTGTATTTAACTCACTGCTGTGAATCCAACACCTCTTAGAAATTTCTGTCTTTGCTTTGCAGGCTCTTTGGTGGCTTGATCTTGGATATAAAACGGAAAGCTCCTTGGTACTGGAGCGACTATAGAGATGCTTTGAATTTGAAGTGTTTAGCTTCCTTTCTCTTCCTATATTGTGCCAGCATGTCTCCTGTGATCACCTTTGGGGGGCTGCTTGGAGAAGCAACAGACGGACACATAGTAAGAACATTTACCCTCTTCCTTTTATGTGTTATGAATAATTGTCAAGGTAGGTGACAACAAAACCTATGTTACAAAAGTTACAGTGGACATTTAACTTCACTGCTGGTCTGTATACTATTTTGCATTAGTTATATCACAGTTCCAAACTATTGGTGGTTTTTTTCCAGCAAGGTTTTAAGTGGGTAGTGATCCATTCACATTCACAGAATTTTACAAGGGCCTCAGATCTTCCTGAACTTTTTATGCTTTTCATCTTCCCTTTTTTCTTACAGGAAGATATTGGTGGAGCAGTTTCAGCGTGTCTTCTGATTAGTAGTACAAGGCACTCTTGACACAAAATTACCCCATTCATATTCTGTGTCCTGTTAATAGAATTTTAAACCACTCCTGCAGAATGTGGCCTTCAGATACTCATTTTTGATAGAAGGCATATTTCATAATTACTTTTTTGGAACAGGCGAATAAAATTAGTTATCTGGATATATTTCAACTCATCTTTCATATCCACAATTATATCCTGGACAGTTTTATTTGTTCATTCATTCATTCATTCATTCATCCATCCATCTCCACAGTGTTTATGGGTGGATTGCAGTTTTTAAGGGAAATTAATGTTCAGAACATAAATTAAAGAAAGGGAGCTATTTAGAACATTGATCTTCAGTAGAAGTTAATTTGAGAAGTGCCTTCTATTTCAGAAGATAAGCTGAATTTGCCAACTTTGTCATTTTTCTCAATGTGGATATGTGACATATGGCAAAAGTGCTGCTTTTCCCACATCACAACAGATCTCTCTCCTTTAATTAAAATAAAAGTGTGAAGGAGGGAGAAAGTTAGTTTAGATGCCCGTAAGTAGAGCTCAACTCCTGCCAACTGGAAGAACCAAAGCTTGTCACCTTGACCTGTCTTTAGTGATATCTCATTGAGAGAGGAAATTAAAGCAATTTAATTAGGTATCCCGTTTTCTGAATCCTAAAGAGAGTGCTGCATGTACTGTTAGTCTGACCCATTACGAGCTCTTCTCTTCTTTTGTTTGTGCTTAAACCTGCAGAGTGCTATGGAATCCTTGCTTGGAGCTTCGCTCACTGGAGTGGTCTACTCTCTCTTTGCTGGCCAGCCTCTCACCATCCTGGGAAGTACTGGACCAGTACTGGTTTTTGAGAAAATTTTATACAAGTTTTGCAAGTAAGGCTATGCATTTTTACAAGGGTTGATGATGGTGGTGATGATGAATCAAATTGAATAAAGTAACTAACCTATTTCTAACTGCTGGCCTCTCCATCCTCTTTTATAAAACAAAACAAAATATGAATACAGTTAGGCAGCAGTATTATAGGCTGGGACTCATTTGAATGCTTAGAAAGCCTGAAGTGCTAGTAGGGCAGAAAATGTGAAATTCTGATACGGTTATGATGCATGTAGTTGGATGTATTATACTGTATCTGAAGAGAAGTAGTGTCCCATCCCCTTCCACTTCCTAGCAATAGTTATGGTTAGTATTCTCAACCCAGATGCTAATTGTGAGCAGTTATTTCTCTCCTCCCTTCAGATTCAAACCCTGGCTCTGATGGATAACAACAGCTCCAGATCCAGAATAGTAGACAGAGGTAATCTAATCTGGAATGCTGGCAGATTCCTATTAAAAACATATGTGGCCAAAAATATTACAGGCTTTTAAAATGTGCCACATTGCCTGGGAGTTCCCTTATTATTTCTTCAATGGATTATTTCACTCATATTGTGTGAACTCCAATTCCTACTTAAATCATTGTGGATTTAATCAGAAGTTTTCATGGCTTGTGAGAAATAGGTTGAATGAAGAGAATGGATGAAGCGCTTCTTTATAATTTATCCAATTTTGAATTTGAAACTAATGAAGGATTTTTTTTAAAGCTTTGTGCTGATTCTAGGGTGGAAATCTTAGAATGGTTAGGCTATCAGCCATTACAGATAATCCTTGCTTACTGACCACTTGTTCAGTGACTGTTCAAAGTTACAACAGTACTGAACAAGGAAACTTAACCAGTCTTGAAGTTGTAGTTGTTGCTGCATCCCTGTAGTTATGTGATTCCTATTTGTGATCTTCATGACCAGCTTCTGACAAGCAAAAAGTCAATGGGGAATCCAGCAAAGAATTGCAAGTCACAGTCATGCAATGTTATGTTTAATGATGGGTGATTAGCTTAATGGCCACAGCTGATATAAGTCGAGCGTGGTCATCATCATAAATATGAATTAATTGCCAAGCGTCCGAATTTTGATCACGTGATCATGGGGATGCTGCAATGGTTGTAAGTGTGAAAAACAGCCATAAGTCACTTTTTTCATTTGCCGTTGTAAATTTGAATGGTTGCTAAATGAACTGTTGTAAGTCAAGGACTACCTGTATTGCCACTTTCTGTAGAAAGAATAGGAGTTGAGAAAAGATCTTGATCAATTAATGGCTAATGAAGCTTAACAATTTCTGCATTTCAATAGTTTTACAATTTTATGATCTGAATTATTTCAGCATGTAATGTTCCTTATTTCTTATCTTTGGCACATTTTTGCAGAGACTATAAGCTTTCTTATCTTGCTCTACGAACCTCCATTGGCCTGTGGACGACATTCATGTGCTTCTTGCTTGTGGCCACCGATGCTAGCTCTCTGATCTGCTACATCACTCGGTTTACAGAAGAAGCGTTTGCCTCTCTGATCTGTCTCATTTTCATTTTTGAGGCCATAGAGAAGCTGTTTAAGCTGGGAAGGACTTACCCATTTTACATGGATAGCAATCTGGACCATCTGACCTTGTATTAGTGAGTCGGTGTTTTTTTCTATTTCGAACAAAAAAATGGCTTACTGTACTTTGATTGCTTTGCTTCATATATATAAAAATATGCTTCATATATATAAATCCACCAACTGGTGTAAGATTCCTTATTGTGCAGAAATAGCAATAGTTCTTAGACTTATATACCATCCCCATACCTTCTTTGCATTCAAATATTGCAGAAACTGTGTCCCAGGTTTTATCTAAACTGTTCAACACCAATAAAACCTTCTGGGACTCAGGGAATTTAATCCCACGTTGTTCTGAGTCCAAAAATAAACTTTGAATTTTATTTAAATGCTGTTCCACAGATTCACCTGGTTGCAAACAGGCTCTGTAAAGTTTTCTTGACAATTGCACTATGTTGCAAGCAGAAACATTCACGTGCACAGCTCTCAATTTCAACCATATCTCCTTCGCAGTGTTTAAATTTGCAACATTTAGAAATTGTGCATCATCTAAATTCAAGATGAGATAAGCCAGCTTGATCATGGCTTTTCTGATCTGCAGCTGCAAATACTTGTGGTGGATTTACTACAATATATCACAGCTCTTTTGCTTTGAGCAAACATTCCATTTTAGCAGCCCACACAATGTAATTCTTGTGGCCCAAACGAGACACACAGCTTTCCTTAAATTCCATTGCAGCCATTCTGCTAATTCTGCCTTGTTCTTATACTTTCTAAACACAGGCAATTTCTTCCAGCTTTAAATTACAATGCAGTCCTTAGTAAGCTCTGGGCCCATAACCTGTTAGATAATTTTAATTTCTCTATTGGTGAAAAATGAATCAGAAGCACTCACAGTTGACTGCATTTAGCTGATTCAAATAACTTTATATTTATATAAAAATATTTACAATACCATTCTTCTTTACAGCAACATAACTCAATGAAGTCTTCTTACAGAGACAGACCAGAGACAAAACCTTGAGACTGGAAATCCAGCTCCTAACTCAATACTAATTTTGCACAGACTCAGTAGCCCTTTCTTTTCATTGGCTGACTGAGTTAACACATGACTCTTCCTGTTCATGAATATTCCAACAGCCCCCAACAATCTGGGTCTTCATTTTACCGATCTTGGAAGTTGAAAGGCTGGGTCAACCATGAGCCCTGTCAGGATTGAACTCCGGGCTGTGGGCAGACTTAGCCTATAATACTGCATTCTAACCAACAGAGCTTCCTAAATAAGAAATAAAGAAGGCAATTATCACCTAACAATAGTTACATAAGAGCTAATGTACAATAGGTTCACTGGAGCAGGTATAGAAACTCTAGTTAGAGCCTTGCAATGAAAACTTGAAATCGTATGTAGCATGAATGGGCAATTTATAGCTCTAGGTTGAAATCTCTTTTTGAGCTCCAAAAGTGAGAGGACTGCACAGGTTGTCCTGTATTTGTGATACCTTCTTGACTCACTCCTTGTCCTTCTTGAGCGAGGACACCTGGTGATAGCTTTTTTGCGTTTGCTTGACTAAGATCTTGCTTCTTCTGTATCATAAAGATTACAGCAAGAATGCTCTTTGGGGCTCAACAAAGATAAGTTGAGCTCCTTTTAAGAAAACACTGAGGGGAGCAGCAGCACAGTACATGTAATTAGTATATATGGTTCTATTGTCCGCACAATTTATTCTATAATTTGTGCAAGCCTGAGCAATGATTCTCTCACAGATTCCTTGATGTGTTGGAAGAGGCTCAATGTTTCCTTTGATATTGAGGGGATGACTTACGGAGGAAATAATTTAAATTTGGATAGAGTTGATTTGGTTAAAAGAGATGAGATTCTTCAGACAATTCCTATATTATTAAAACCAAGTTGTGCTTTCCTATAATTGTTGATTAATTATCTTTGATTAATAAAGATTGAAATACTTTTAAAAAGTGTGCAGTGTGTTAAAACATTTTGAATCCAACTGCCTCAAATGGGTCCCTCCTGGAATAGTTGTTATAAAACAACTGTTTTTACATTGACACAGGTTGTGATTGTTGTAGGGAAAATGGAAGGAGGAGACATTAGTATGCTGAATTTATTAAATAATGGCTAAATACAAATCAGAGCAAGTCAACTGAAACTTCAAAAAAGTGTTGGACCAGAGGATTGAGCTTTCAGAAGTAAACATGATTTTATGTGTGATGCTCATTAACCCTTTCCTGTGCCCACTAGCTGCAGATGTACAACTCCTACAAATCCCACTAATGATACCCTGATCTACTGGGACAACCAAAAGATTGATCCTTCAAAAGTTGCCTGGGCTAATCTCACTGTCTCCGTAAGTATATGAGCTTGATACTCTATTCCTGGTGGACAAAATGATTTCTGTGATAACATTATTCATTGATTAAAATAGAACATTAGTCTTTCTAAAAGAGATGAAGGATTACATACATTTCCTTTCCACAAAACCAGTGATGGAGGGAAGAAAAGTAATTTTGGATGGGAAGACCTGTGTATATTAGGAACTGGTAATAGGAATATTTTCTTGATTAAGTTCTTCTGGGGCTTCTTTTTTTTTAAAATATAAGGTGGCATATTAAGCAGAGACGTCTATTTAAAAAGCATTGAGCTTTTGCCCTCACAGGTTAGATTATGAGCCTGATTGGGTGTCAGAAATGGGATAGTGTAGAATTATGAGGGTGGCTGTTAGCTAGAGATCTCTGTGATGAGTCCTATTATTGCAAATCACTAGGAATAGACATGTGATGTTGACTGTATTTTATTTGATTTGCTTCAATATATTTAAACTTTTAAAGAGAGTAAATACATTCATGGAATAATTATCTAGGTACTTGTTACATTTGCTAAAGGAAACCCTAAAGTAACCAGATCCTTGGCCTAAATTCAGCACATTTTTCCTTTTCTTCCTGTTTATTTTGATAACTGAAGTTCTAAGGCTAAGCCATTAATGCTTTTTTTTTTTTTTTTTTTTTGGTCTTGAGTCAGTGAAAAAACTTGTAGACATTTGAAAAGTAGTAATTTCTGTATCCTTTCCACAGGAACAATTATTGGTTAACATTGACAAAACTAAGTTTTTAATTAAAATTGAAAACAGCTGTTCTGAAGTTGGCTGGGCATATATGTATTCTATTCTGCATATGTTTGTCAATTGCTATGTTGCTGATTATCCAAACAATAATTAAGCAATTACTTATAAAATGATTGGATTAGTGTGACATTTTATGCTTTTAATAAATGTCACTGCATAACATTTGTTGAACTATATAAGCTTCTGTGCTCTTATATTTGTTTCACACTTTGACATTAGGACTAATAAATCAGACAAATTCAATATGTCTACATGTACCTTTAAGTGGGATAGATTTTTTTTGTGAGCGATACTTTCACACTAATCAATTCTTCTTTTGGTTTTAATGTAGAGGATGTGAATATATAAGGGCAATTCGGAAATAAATCTCTGTTTGGTTATCAATGACAGACACTCACAGATACAGAACTTTTATTATACAAATTAGAAAACTACAACATTGCAATACTTTTTGACATAATTGCCATTCAAATTGAGGCACATCGTCATAACATCTTACAAGGTTTGAATTTCCTTAATAGTAGTTGCTCAGTGCCAAATCTGGGCTATGGTGTGTGTGTGTGTGTGTGTGTGTGTGTGTGTGTGTGATCAAAAACATCCCAACGGAACTGCTTCAAAAGTTCTTAGGTGTGTCTAGCGGTGTGCCGGTGAGCATTATTGTGAACCAACACTACACCGGAAGTAGTACCATAGAAAATCTGGCCAAATGTGAAGATGCAAAAGGAGTACTGCTAGTGAAGTTCATGGAGCGTGGTTCGACCATCAATTCAGAAGTCTACTGTGAAACATTACGAAAACTCAGACAAGTCATCCATAACAAATGTCAGGGCATGCTGACTTCTGGTGTGGTGTTGGTTCACAATAATTCTCGCCCGCACACCGCTAGACGCACCCAAGAACATTTGAAGCAGTTCCGTTGGGATGTTTTTGATCACCCCCCCATAATGGCGATTATGTCGAAAAGTAATGTAATGTAGTTTTCTAATGTGCATAATAAAAGTTCTGTATCTGCGAGTGTCTGTCATTGACAACCAAATGGAGGTTTATTTCCGAATTGCCCTCGTACCATATTTCATTTTAATTTCATTTTGAGTTCCACCCCTGATATGCTTTACTCTGATGCTAAATTTTAAACACTTCTTTTATGCATGCATTGACAACATTCTGGATTTTAAACTTAATATTTTCTCCAAAGCATTATTAAATGTGTACAATTGCATCTAAAAGTTCTTGTTGCTTGGGGACAGAACACTACATTTAACTGAAATTGAGATCTAATTTCAGTTCTTGTATGACGTTTGAGAATTAGGAGCCTTAATGTATTCAGATGTTTATTATAGTTTATAGCCCCATATCTTTGCTGAAGACACTGTACGTTTTGCTACTTTTTAATTTTTTTTTTGTCCAATCAGCAATGTCAGGAGATGCATGGAGAATTCATAGGATCTACATGTGGAGACAAAGGACCTCTTACCCCTGATGTTCTTTTGTGGTGCTTCATCTTATTCTTTACAACCTATATTTTGTCGAGCACACTGAAGAAATTTAGGAGCAGTACATATTTTCCCACAAAAGTAAGTAGATGCCAGCAGCTTAACACTAATTTGAAACCCTAACTAATTCCTACTGTCTGCTTTTCTCTATAATGGTGTCTAGCCAGATGGATTTCCTCAAATGCATAACTACCTCTAGGTGAGATGGGTGGCGGATAATGTCTGGGGGAAGAGCCAGGTTTTAAATGGTCTCTGGAAGGATAGAAGGATAGGAACCTGTCAGTTCTCAAGGGGGGAGAGTGTTCCATAAGGCAGAGTTTGCAATGGAAAATACATGCTTGTCGGAATCCATTAGATGGCAGGGTTTAAGAGAAGAGATTCAGAGTGTTTCCATCTGGTGGGATGCACAGATGTCCACAGGGAGAGATGATTCTGTAGATAACCTGGTTCCATGCCATGTAGGACTTTAAAAATAAAACAATAACCAGCATCTTAAATTGCACTTGGAAAAAAAAAACTGGGAGTAAGTACCGCTCACATAACGGGTGTCATATGGACAAACCTAGGAATGTCCAACACTGAGTTCCACTGCATTCTGGACCAGTTGTAACTTCCAGGTAGTCTTCAAGGGCAGCCTTATATTGAACATGTTGTAATAATCCAAATAGGAAGCAGCCAAGACATGAGTGATCATGAGGTAAGCCTCCTGGTTCAGGAAAGAGCACAGTTGGGCAGAAGATGAATCTATGAAAATCCCACCCCTTTCCGCCAGAGTTACCACCCTCTCATCAAACAGTAGATATAAGTCCAGAAGAATTCCCAAATTATACATCAGTTTTGTCCGATGAGTCAAAGATGACATATCTCCAGGCCCAAAAGGGCCAAAAATCAAAAGCCATTCCATCTTCCCAGGATTGAGTCAGAGTCAATTCCTCTCCATCCATATCTCAAAATAGCTTCAAGCACCTTTATAGCATCACCTGCTTGACCCAGGGTGAAGATATACAAGAGCATATTGATGATGTTGCAACCCATGCTGGCAAATTACTTCAATAAACAGTTTCATGCAGATGTTAAAACAGGACTGGAAAGAGCCCTGAACCCTGATGCATCCCACATTGCAGGGACCTCCCACTTCCAGTCCCAGAAGCTGGTTTCAGAAGGATACCCTGGTTGATCATACTGAAAATCTCTGAGAGATCCAGGAGGGCCAGAATGGTTGAATCTCCCTTGTCCCAAGTCCTCCAAGATAATCAGCAAGCATGACAATGTCATCTCGGTATTTTACGTGGGTCTGAATCCAGGCTGAAAAGGGCCCAGATAATCCATTCATGGCCCTAGTAGCTGAGCACTAATCACCCTTAACAAAGTGATGGGAAAGGGAAGGTTGAAGACTGGATGAAAGTTATTGTGAGCTGTTGGTCCAAGCATAGCCTCTTGAGAAAGGAATACCACTACTTCCCACAAAGAGGCATTGACCACCGCTTAGACCCAACCAGATGTCACCTCCCAGAAGGCCTTAACCAACAAGAATGACATGGATCCAGAACACAGATGGCAAACTCACAGCTGTGAGGACCCTTCCCACTTCCTCAAGACCTTCTGATATGAACTCCTCTCAGATAATAGGATGTGTCTCAGTCACTTCCAGCAGATATGCTCATCCACAGTCTAACTAGAGCAGTTAAACTTTGGCTGAGGAGAATGTTTCTCTTTGGTTCTAAGAAGAACATTCCTCCAAGTGGCCCTGCAAGAACTCGTGCTTCTCTCTACCAAGGAAGGACCTGATCACCCACAACAGGGCCACTGAGAGGCTATTTGCAGAACAATAAAGATAGAGAAGTATATTTCACAGCCCTTATTGCCTTAGGATAAGTCCTAATGAAGTTTCTTACCTTTGCTTGATTAACTTTTTATTTTCCTCCAGTGAAGCTCTAGGTATCTTTTGGTCATCTCTTGGAGATGGTAAACCAAAGTGGTCTATAAGATCCAAATCCACAGAGAATATGTACAGGTGCAACTAAATCCAACACCCTCCTCACCTGCTCATTTCAAGCCACAACAAGGGCATTAGCCAAGACATATGCCAGATCTTTGGGGAAAAAACCCAAGCTCCCTCTAAAACCACACTGGGATAAGCAGATCCCAGATGGCTATACTTATATTTTTAAACCTTGGGAGAGACTGTTTGATTAAAGCCAATTATATATAATTAAAAGATATTATTTGGCTAGGTTCAAATGAAACAGTGGCTATGTTTGATAAACCATAAATCATGACTTACCATCCATAGTGCCTAAGCCAAAATCTAAAATTAACTTCAATGTGCTTTAATCCAATGTGTGAAGCAGACCACCACAGCACTTCAAATTCTGTATGTGCCTAACAGACTGAAAATATTAGACACCTGCAATCAGTGTCATGCCCTCTCTACTAAATCTTCCCTTGAGCAAAGTGTGGGAAAAGGTTGGAAGAAAAGAACAGATGATGTTTAACTACATTTGTTTGAGAACTGGCTCCTTTGAAAACAGAAGATAGAATTTTTAGAATTAACATTTCTTAAAACCGCCCTGGCTTTTCCTGTGTTCCAAATTTTTCAGAACAGCTCATACGATCTCAGAATTGTAGAAGCTCTTGTGCAAGGAGTTCAAAGTCACTTTTGATTGCCTTACACAAGCCCTGAAATCTCATGACATTTATTTTGAGATTTGAGGAGCAATTATTCATCAGGTGGACAGCGCATCTGTCCAATGTCCAGCAGGCATCCTGGTTGGCAATATAAATATATATCCAACATTTGATTTATCTGGAATTGATTATTTAGGTATGTAGATCAAGTCCTATGCATACTAACTCTAATCCTGTTGAGACGTGTGGTTTTTTTTCCTCCCTCTTTAGATACGCTATGTGGTAGGTGATTTTGCTATTTTTATAACCATTGTTGTCATGGTCCTAATTGACTACTTCACTGGAATCCCATCACCAAAACTGAATGTCCCAGGTGCCTTCAAGGTAGGTACTTCACCTCATCTTGAATTCCTCTAAGTCAATGTTTCTCAACCTTGACAATTTTAAGGCATGTGGACTTCAACTCCCAGAATTCCACAGCCAGCATTGCTGGCTGTGGGATTCTGGGAGTTGAAGTCCACATGCCTTAAAATTGTCAAGGTTGAGAAACACTACTCTAAGTGCACGTAGTGGTATGGGGAAAACATCTCTTGCCTGAGTAACAGAGAATCCAAGGCGTGCCCTGTGTGGTTTCTCGTATCCTTTAGGATGTCCCACTTTGTGGCTAATTGTGTATGGGTGAAGGGCATTGAGGCTGCATGTTTGACTGACTGGGAACTGAGATCCTGTCTGTAACATTCGGGATATTCTGCACTTTGGTTCTGAAGCGGGAAAAGTACTTTAGAGTGGTGGGAATATAAGTGGGATACAACCCTGAGATTCTTGAGTTGCATTTAGCCCCTAAAAAGCTTGCATGTGACTCAGTGGCCAAAGGTCACCATAAAATTGGGGTTTTAATTGTGGTAATAGGGAAAGAAGGCTAACTTTATAGGGAATGATTGAAGTAAGAGTCTTTAAGGTGTTTAATTTAAATTAAACTAAATTTCACTTTTAATATGCAGGCTCTGTCTATTTCTTTCTTATAACCCCTTCTGCTTTTTAGAGTGAAACCTGTAGCATGTCACTCAAAATGCTCCGTGGGCTTGGCCCTAGAAATCATGTATAACCAACATTTTAACTCCCTACCAAGCAGGAATCATAGGTTTACATTCACAATTGAGACACATGTTCATCATCCAATGGCATTTCTGTATCATTGTCTAGAACAGCGGTTCTCAACCTGTGGGTCGGGACCCCATTTGGGGTCGAACGACCATTTCACGGGGGTTGCCAAACAATGCAGTCCGCCATTTTTTCCCCCTTTTCCTTAGCTGTGTTACTCCCTTTTATTCTATTGGCTTTTGAAAGCCAATAGAATAGACTCTCTTGAATAGAGTCTAATTCTATTAGCTTTCAAAAGCCAATAGGAATTGTCCAGGCTGTCTCTGCCCTGCTGAGCCCGCCAAAAGTCCCATTCTGCAAACGGTGCTGCACCAGTTGAGTGGTCCTCGACTTACGACCGATTGAGTAGTCTTTGACTTACGATCGGTTGGGGGTCGCGGCATTAAAAAGGTTGAGAACCACTGGTCTAGAAAGCCAGAAGAATTTCAGCTGAAACAAGAGCAGGTGGGGGGGCATACAAACCTGGCACAGTCTACTGTTGTATCTGTGTATTTTTTTTTTTTTCTACAGCCAACAAGAGATGACCGTGGATGGCTCATTAGCCCGATAGGCCCCAATCCCTGGTGGTCTGTGCTAGCAGCTATCATCCCAGCATTACTCTGTACTATACTGATATTTATGGACCAACAAATCACAGCACTTATTGTGAACAGGAAAGAACATAAACTTAAGGTAACAGAGCAGCAGGATAATTTGCCAAACTTTCCTTTCTGTGGCTGTGACGTGAGAAGTAAAATCACAGTGGAACAGCAGCATAATCCAGACTATGTGGAACTTTAGTTTGAGTAAAATCAGAAAGTTGTGCTATTTCAAACAGGTTTTTTTTATAGGTCTGACACAGTGAAATGTATCCCATTATAGTTATAATCCAGTGTAAACATACTGTACATGGGGGAAGGGGGAGGGAACCCATAGCATACAGTAGAGATTAAAACTTTAAATCTGTTCTTGAAATGGCAATCTGAAGTTCCTGTGGAATAACTTTATTTCCAGTTTTCTGAAACCTGGTGAGCCAGTTTTCCATTTCAAGTGGCAAATAACTTTTTCTAACTTTTGATGATTCTAGTAACCTTTTCTCTAGCACAGGGGTCTTCAAACTTGGTCCTTTTATGACACAGCATGCCTGGCTGAGGAATTCTGGGAGTTGAAGTCCACAAGTCATAAAAGGGCCACGTTTGAAGACCCCTGTTCTAGCACATATCCAGTGATTCAGAGTGAATGATAACAGGGTTTTAATTAACCTCTGCTAATGATTTCTATTTCCACAGAAAGGGTGTGGCTACCATCTGGACCTTCTCATGGTGGGCATCATGCTTGGTGTATGTTCAGTGATGGGGTTGCCTTGGTATGTTGCTGCCACCGTCATTTCCATCAGTCACGTGAACAGTCTTAGACTTGAGTCTACTGTAGCAGCTCCTGGGGAGCAACCTAAATTCCTGGGCATAATTGAACAAAGAGCAACTGGAGTGATGATCTTTGTACTAATGGGCCTCTCAGTCTTCATCACTAGTGTGTTAAAGGTAAAAGCATGGAAGAACATTCAAGGGTATGTCAGGGCAACCTCCTCTCCCTCTTTTAAATAGTCTTAGCTTTAATGGAGTTGTGTTGGCTTGAGACATCAACCTGGCCTCGAAAGACCCATTCTGAAAGGGCATATCTTTAGTAGCATTTATCAAAAACTACTTTTGACTTTCGCAAACCAAGTCAGGAGAAGATTTGAAGCCTATTCAAAGAAGTGGGCTTTAGTCCTGTTGACACCCCCCCCCCGAAGATATCAGCATCTGATACTCCTTTTATATACAGAAAACAAAGATATATCTTTCTGCATCATTTCTCAGAACAGTGAGCAAATTCTGCCCATGGGGTGGCAAGGCAATAGAGTTAATAACTGCTTTCCACATCTGGGTTTCAATTTTCTTATTTATTAGATTTCCCCCCCCACCCTTATTATTTTATAAGTAACTCAAAGCAGTGAATGTACATTAAGACTCCTTTCTGTTTCTATTTCCCCACCACCACCACCATCACTCTGTGAGGTGGTTGGGCTGAGAAAGAATGATTGGCCCAAAGTCACCCAGCTGACTTTCATGCCTAAGGTGGGGCTAGAAACACCACAGTCTCCTTGTTTCTAGGCCAGGGGTAGGCAACCTTGGCTCTTTTATGACTCGTGGACTTCAACTCCCAGAATTCCTGAGCCAGCCATGCTGGCTCAGGAATTCTGGGAGTTGAAGTCCACGAGTCATAAAAGAGCCAAGGTTGTCTACCCCTGGCCTAGACTTTCACCTTCACCACTACACCAAACTAGCTCTATTATATATAGCCATGGTATCCCAATGCCATAGAGGTAGTCCTTGGTTTACAACCATATATTTAGTGACAGCTCAAAGTTGCTCTGAAACAAATGTTTTAGAACTGGTCCTCATATTTACGATTATCGCAGCGTCTTTGTGGCCAGGTGATGATTCAGGTGCTGGGCAATTCTTATGCATTTATGGCAGTGGCAGCATCCCATGGTCACGTGATCATCATTTGCTATCTTCCCGGCCAAACTTCCGACAAGCAAAGTCAGTGGGGGAAGCCAGCAGGGATGGTTGCAAGTCATTGTCGTGTGATGTCTCACTTAACCAACCATAATGTTTTGCTAAATGACTGGGGCTAAAAAGGTCATAAAATCAATTGCCAACACATGATATCCCACTTAATGACCGCACTACTTAATGATTAATTTTCCAATCCCTAGGATGGTTGTAAGTCAAAGATTACCTGCAGAAAGCTCTGGCAGTGCATGTAGTGCTCCATTAATGATCTCATTGTTATGATTGTGTAGCATCCTGGATTCATTTTCATAAATATGCAGCAATTTGGGTTTGAAGGGGGAAAAGGTGTTTTGGCATAGTCATGGGTATGCATGGGTAAAGCTTGTGTTGTTGTGGTTGAAGACATCTGGATGATCCAAGGAAAAGAAACAGCTGCTTTAAGGATTTGGTGACTGTTGTATCGGTATGCAAGCATCACAGAATGTATCCACACATTTTGAAGCACCCTTCTTTCCCCCAATCCAAAGTGTAGCCCAGCCTGATAAAGATATGCAAATCCTTTAAAATTTAGAGATTCTGTAGAATCTCTTTAGTACGTGAAACAGAAAGTGCATGCCTGTTCCTATGGTGGTGATCTGGGAGAGCTTGCCAAGCAACTGCGTGCACCTGAAAAATGACTGGGTTACTTTAAATGTTCAAAAAGAGGTGCTTCATTATGTGCTCCTGCACATTCTGAAATATCTTGTTCACCATCCTATCATGCATGCATAGACATGCACATTTATATAAAGGCTAGGCATTGCAAGGTGGAAGGGAGAGCAAATGATGACATACACATTGTGATACAAAACCTGCTGTTTATGTATTTGTATCAGATATCAGGACATCAGGACAGAGATTGTATCCTAAAGTTGCTGCATATGTTGTCATTTTGACACAGTCTGTTAGAGATGCCTCTCTGTGCATATGTGTATATGCATACACGAGGTGGGAAAAAATACACAATGAAATCAGTTGTTGGTGAAATGTAAAAAGCTGTTGAAGTCTCTGTAACTTCCCAACAGCAGTGACTGGCATTATCAGTAGTCACCATCCAGTGAAATAACATAGTGAAACAGAAGAGCCATGCATAATAATAATAATAATAATAATAATAATAATAATAATAATAAAAAGTTGGAAGGGACCTTGGAGATACTCTAGTCCAACCCCCTGCTCAGGCAGGAAACCATATACCAGGGGTAGGCAACCTTGGCTCTTTTATGACTCTGTGGACTTCAGCTCCCAGAATTCCTGAGCCAGCATGGCTCAGCTTGGAAACCTCTCCCTTTCCCCTCAGCATGGCTGGCCCAGGAATTCTGGGAGTTGAAGTCCACGAGTCATAAAAGAACTAAGGTTGTCTATCCCTGCCCTATACCAATATCAGACAAATGGCTTTGTTCATGCCTGAGCAGGTAGACTAAAATGGTTCAGTGCCACAATTTTATCTTATCCTAAATTTCCCTTTAAAACCATTCTGTTGTTCATTTTATTTAGAAGCTTATCTATAGATACATTCTACAGGACAGGTGATCCTCAGCTTATAACCACAGTTATAAATTGTATATACAGTACCTCAGCTTATGACCACTATTGCTAGGCAAGGTAGTTGTTGAGTGAGCTGTGCCTGATTTCATGACCATTTTGCCACAATTGTTAAGCAAATACTATAGTTGTTAAGTGAATCATGTCATTAAGTGAAACCGGCTCCTCCCCCCCACCCCTCCCCAAAATTGACTTTGCTTATTGTAAGCCAGCTGGGAAGATCACAAATGGTGATCACAAGACCCTGGGGACACTGCAAACATTGTAAATACATACCAGTTGCCAAGCGCCTGAATTTTTATTGTGGGAATGCTGTGATGATTATAGGTGCAAGGACCAGTTATAATTCACTTTTTTTAGTGCTGTTGTAATTTTGAACGGCCCCTAAACAAATGGTTGTAAGTTGAGGACTATCTGTACCTTCAGTAAACCTCCACAGCCAAGAGAAACCTATAACTGTTAATGTGTGATTTTCTGCATTTAATTCCAAAATAAAATGTGTAAATGCAACATTATATCCCATGGCCCAGATTAAAGGCAGATTTGATACTAACATTAACTTTAATAAATCCTTGGCTATAAAGACCAAGAGTGACTATTTTGTTCATTCAAAATAAAAGTTATCACAATTGTTCAAAAACAATTATGACCCTTGGGGTTTAAACACAATAATACCCTATTCCAGTGATGGGAAACTTTTAGAGACCGAGTGCTCAAACTGCAACCCAAAACCCACTTATTTATCCCAAAGTGCCAACACGGCAATTTAATCTGAATACTGAGGTTTTAGTTTAGAAAAAACAACTCATAACAACTTTGTTATTGTGTCTTAAAAGAAAAACACAATAACAAAGCTTTTAATGATACAAACAATTTTTTACTGAAAGGTAAAAGTTTGCATTTGGCGTGCTTTTGAACAATTAATGTGATTTTTGCTGTTGTATGCATGCTGATAATTTGTCTAACCTTGGCTTATACTTTGTAAGTTTGAGAGCAACACATGCAGCACTCAGGTCATTTGTTAGTCTGTTTTTGATGTCAGATTTGATATAATTCAAAGCTGAAAACAGCACGCTCGCTCCTGAGGCTTATTTTGGCTAGGAAGGGGCTTGAGAAATGGCTTTTTCCTGCGAAAACTTAGCCAAAGAGCGAGGTGCACAAGCCCACAGAGAGAGCTCCGGGTGCCCCCTCTGGCACATGTGCCATAGGTTCGCCACCATTGCCCTATTCCGTATGTTCAGAATGCTAGCATGGAGAGCAAATTGTATCTCCTTTTCTCTGTCTCTGAAAACTATTTCTGAACTCTGTGATTCAAGAGTGCAGAAATTCACTAAGCCAGCGGCCCCCAACCTTTTGGGGGCCAGGGACCTGTTCTGTGGGAGAGAGGTTTTTCCCCAGACTGTTTGTGTGTGTGGGGGGGGGTTTCTCATGCTGCTTGCATCCCACGTGTGTGCAGATGGGCTTCGCTCACTTGTGTGGACTGGTTCCTGTTGGCTTAGGGACCCCTGTACTAAATCACCCCTGATAGGTGTCCATCAAGCTCCTGTCTAAAACTTTCCAGAAAGGAGAGTATACTGCTGTTCTTGACCTTTGCAGGACCCTGTCAATCACCACTCAACTGAACAACCACATTAAATTAGAGTTGCTTTGTGTGGTCGTGCCCCTTTTCACCAAGTAGAAAGGTTACATTTATGTGTGGTATTTCAAAGGCTGACTGTAGCGCAGAAAATAATAACAGTGTGGTTGCCAAAATGTACTAATTTTCCCCAGTATATTTAACAGTGATTGAATAGGGTTTTTTTTTAAAAAAAAAGATGTCATATTTATGGGGAGTTATAAGATAGATAAGATAAGATAAGATAAGATAACCTTTATTGTCATTTTTATACTGTGGGCACAATGGCACACATCAAAAATGAAATTTAGTTGCCCGCTCTCAAAGTGAAACACATACATGACACACACCTAAACATACTATGAACAACATATGTATAGACCCATATCCCTACATATACGTAGCAAATAAATATTAAATATTGCCCATCTTGAATATATAATGGAAGGAGGAAGCTTGAGAGTTCGCAAGGTTAATGCTGTATGGAATGAAACTCTGGCTGAATCCGGATGTTCTGCTTTGGATACCACAAAGCCTCCTCCCAGAAGATAACAAGGAAAACAGGTCGTGAAGAGGATATGTAGTGTCCCAGATAATCTTACGGACCCTGCTCAAGCAGCGCTTCTGTGCTATGTCCTGGATGGGAGGGAAGGAACTGCCAATGATCTTTTTGGCCATTCTCACTACTCTCTGCACCGCCTTCCTGTCTGAAGCAGTGATGCCTCCAAACCAGGCTGTGATGCTGTATGACAGGATGCTCTCGATTGTCCCTCTGTAGAAAGTTGTCAGGACAGGGGAAGGAAGATGTGCTTTTCTCATGCGGCGCAGAAAATGCAGGCGCTGCTGTGTCCGCTTCACCAGTTTCTCACTGTTGAGCGACCAAGTCAGCCTACTTGTTAGCTGCACACCCAGGAATTTGATACTGGTAACCATCTCTACAGGTGAATCATTTATGCACAGAGAAGTGTTGCTGTGCCTGCCTTTTCTGAAATCAACAATGATCTCTTTGGTTTTCCCGGTATTTAAAACTAGGCTGTTTTCCTTACAATCACAATTTCTGTTACTAAATGAGACAATTTTTAAGTGAGTTTTGCCCAATTTTATGACCTTTCTTGCCACAGTTGTTAAGTTGGTAACATGGTTGTTAAGTGAATCTGGCTTCCCCATTGACTTTGCTTTTCAGAAAGAAACAAAAATGATCACATGACCCTGGGATGCAGCAGCTGTCATAAATATGAGTCAGTTGCCAAGTGGCTGAATTTTGATCACGTGACCATGGGAATGCTACAACAGTTGTAACTGTGAAAAACGGTCATAAGTCACTTTTCCCAGTGCTTTTGTAACTTCAAACAGTCACTAAACTAACTGTTGTAAGCCGAGGATTACCTGTATTGTTAAACAAGATGGTATTATTTGTTTTAGTTATAAAGAATTTAGTGATATACCTAAATTCCATTCCATGTAGTACTTATTACATTCTTTTTCTTTTCAGTTTATACCTATGCCTGTTCTCTATGGAGTGTTTTTATATATGGGTGTTTCTTCTCTGAACGGAATACAGGTATTTATATATTTTTACATAGGCATACCACGGTTGAGAAAAGCACTTTGCATTTTGAACTGAGAAAACATACATTCCACCAGATTTGCCATAGTAAAAACATAGTCGGTCATGACCGACTCTAGGGCAAAGGTCCCCAACCTTTTGGGCACCAGGGACCGGTTCTGTGGAGAGAGGTTTTTCCACAGACCGGAGAGTGCGTGGTTTTGTGTGCTGCCTGCATCCCTTGCTTGTTTGTGTGGACTAGTTGCTGGTATGTTGCAGCCTGGTACTGGTCCACAGACCGGGGGTTGGGGACCCCTGCTCATTTCAGTTTCTTGGCTGAGGGGGCCAGCATGGTCTGAAGACAATTTCCGACAATAATTTTAACATTGTCCAAAGACAATACTGTGTAGTAGCTTTGCAAAAAATAGCAGAAATTTTGCTTTAAGTATGAAGGCCTTGCAGACTTACATTTCTCTATGGTTCAGTCCCTTGGGCTTCCATAAGATGAATCATTGATCTGTTGGGTTTTGATCTAGTAATTGTGGCCCAGACGTCACTAAGCTGGACAACAGAGGTTTGGATATTTGTTACATACTAGAGCAGTGGTTCTCAACCTGTGGGTCGGGACCCCATTTGGGGTCGAACAACCATTTCACAGGGGTTGCCAAACAACGCAGTCCGCCATTTTTTCCCCCCTTTTCCTTAGCTGTGCTACTCCCTTTTATTCTATTGGCTTTTGAAAGCCAATAGAATAGACTCTCTTGCATAGAGTCTAATTCTATTGGCTTTCAAAAGCCAATAGGAATTGTCCAGGCTGTCTCTGCCCTGCTGAGCCCGCCAAAAGTCCCATTCTGCAAACGGTGCTGCACCAGTTGAGTATTCCTCAACTTACGACCGGTTGAGTAGTCCTCGACTTACGACCGGTTGGGGGTCGCGGCATTAAAAAGGTTGAGAACCACTGTACTAGAGCCTGGGTCTCTGGGATGTTTGCCTGTTAATGGATCAGAGCACATAACCGTCACTTCTTCCCCATCACTCTCCGAGTAGGACATCATAAAGCCGTGAGATTTGGACCATTTTTCAGGTTTTTCTTTTTTTTTGTTTTTTGTTTTAAATATAATTTATTGCCAATGTTCTTACTGAAATCTTGGTGTAATGCCATCTCATGAAAAAGTTGGTGACTTCTATTTTAAAAGGATGCAGATATACTTTGTATGCCATCTCCTGAGAAGAGAGGATTCATTGGAAAAGACCCTGATGTTGGGAAAGATTGATGACAAAAGAAGAAAGGGAAGGGAGAGGATGAATGATTAAATAGTGTCGTTGACACAAGGAATGTGACTTTGGGAAAACTCTGGGAGATGGGAGGACAGGAGAGCTGACATACTATGGTCCATGGGGTCACAAAGAGTTGGACATGATGTAGTGACTGAACAACAACATACTTTGTATATTCTGTACTGTACCAGAATATGACACAATATATTTATTTCATGCTTGCTTGTGACCCCCAAAGTACATACATTTTCTTTTGTTGTAAATCTTTTCTATTAAGCACTACATTCCATCTTTCAACAGAAGATATTGGGGGCTGAAGGTCTGATCAATGGAATACAAAGCATATGCCTTATTTTGAGCTCAGCTGTTTCTTAAGAATTATAACATTTCAAAGTTTGAGTAATATCTTTAAATTATAAGCTGTGAGGATATGTCATTGTTTAAGGGCAGTATTTCTTAACCTTGACAACTTCAAAATGTGTGGACTTTCAGAATTCCCCAGCTAGTTGAAATCTATACATCTTAACATTGCGAGGTTGAGAAATATACTGTTTAAAAGTACATTACCACATATAAAATAAAGGATCCCTGGGAAACCACACAAACCGATTATATCAAAGTGCTTTTGCCATGGATGAAAATATATATGATTCCTGTTCATAGGATGCAGGTTTAGAATGATGTTTATTGGCTTTTGTATTGCTGATTAAAGCTCTTGTGTGAAAAATGCTCTTAACCTGTGTACTAGGTTGTGCAATAATTTCCTTATGGCAGCACATCCATTGTACAACTATCTGCCTTGCCTTCCCAGTCATCATGAACAAATTCAGGATGCTCCGTTGGAGCAATATAATTTTTAGAATGACTACTCTACTAATTGCATCTTTTTCAACACCTGCTGTTTTTGTTGTACTATTTTTCTAGTTTTTTGATCGCCTGAAGCTAATGGGAATGCCCAGCAAGCATCAGCCTGATTTCATTTACCTGCGACATGTCCCGCTGAGGAAAGTGTATCTCTTCACAATGATCCAACTGACCTGCCTGATCATTTTGTGGGTTGTCAAGGCATCTCCTGCAGCCATTATCTTTCCCATGATGGTAAAAATACTTAAGCTGGAAATGTCCATCTCTGTCATAAGGGCATGGGGAGGAAGGTCAGAATTATGTCTCAAAGGCATTAACCTGGGATCTGGTACTGTATGACATTTCCTAATTTTAAGAAGACATGATTTTTCTGAGAATCCTGAGTTGCAATGCTAAAGAAATATGTCGTTGGTTATATATTATACATATGTCAGAGAACATGTGAGTGACAATATTTTATTGTATTTATTTCTTTGTATCCTGCCTTGAATATTTTTACAAATAACTCAAGGCAACAAAAATATCAAACACACCTTCCTCTTCCCATTTTCCCCACAACAACAACCCTATGAGTGAGTTGGGATGAGAGAAAGTGATGGCCCAAGGTCACCCAGCTGGCTTTCATGGCTTAGGTGGGTCTTGAATTTGGGACCTCCTGCTTTATAGCCTGGTGCTTTAATTACTATATATTAGCTATTGCTGCTGGCTTAAGGGGAAAACATTAACAGTGGAACTATTTACAAACTGGGAATTAGGATAAAGAAGGCTTTTGTAGATTTGATGTAATATGCCATTTCACAATTCCATGTCCAATTGACATAATAGGTCAGTACTATCCATCATCTCTTCCTAAATTTCAGTGTTAATAGATATCTTGCTTGTATGCTTAATGGCTATGGTGGAGGTTCTCCCATGTGGGCTGTACAGGTAGTGCTCACTTACTGACCTCAACTAGGACCGGCAATCACTAAGCACCGTAGTCGTTAAATGAGATGTCACATGGCCACAACTTGTGATTTTACTTCTGTGTTCTCCCAATTCATTCTGCTTGTTGGAGTTGTGAAGTCCATGAATGGTGATCACATGGCTGCAGATGCTGTGATGGTCATAAATGAAAAGGGCTGAATGGTTGCTAAACAAGGCGGTTGGTAAGCGAGGACTACCTGTAGCGTGCTTGTTAACAGGAGCCTTTTTTTTTTAACCAGAAGAGTTGTGGTTTTAATCATGTGCTTGGAGTTAAAATATCTGATTTTCTCTCAATGTGATCATTTTTGTATGTCTACCAAATCGCTCCAAGATAATTAAATCCACTTTTTTTTTTGCATCCATTGTCCCTGATGAATTCTATATTATTTCTAACCTTTTCCTATCAGTTTCAGCAGTATCATAAAAGACCAGTGGCTGTGTTTATTTAACATTGGGAGAACAGCAGCCCAGAATTAGCATAAAAGCAAGCTTATTTGCCACAATGAAAACTTTTGGAAAAAGAGATCTTGATGATGCCTCGCTGGTTCTCTTTGGATTTCATTGTTTCTTGTGCTTATTATCTACTTTGCTTATTTCCAGTGAATTCTGCTGTCATCTCAGGAATGTTACTCTTTTTTTTCTTCCCCTGTCTCCTTCCTCTTTTCTCCCTCCCAAAGGTTTTAGCGCTGGTCTTTGTTCGGAAGGTCATGGATTTATGCTTTTCAAAGCGGGAACTCAGCTGGCTGGATGACCTCATGCCAGAAAGCAAGAAGAAAACATTAGAGGATGCTATCCAAAATGCAAAACAAGAAGACGTGAGTAGGCTTAAGCACACATACAAGTAGTCCTCGACTTGCGACCATTTGTTTAGTGACCATTTGAAGTTACAACAGCACTGAAAAAAGTGACTTATGACCGTTCTTCACATGTATGACTGTTGCAACATCCCCATGGTCATGTGATAAAAATTCACTTCACAACTGTCTCCCTTAGCAAAAGAAATTGTAGGCCCGTGGTGGCGAACAGGTGGCACGCGGAGCCCTCTCTGTGGGCACGTGCACTGTTGCCCCAGTCCTAGCCCTTCAGCTGGGTTTTATAAAACCTTTTCGCTTTGGGCCTCCGCTACCGTGTGCAAAAAAAAAAAAAAAGGTTCAATCAATCAATTAATTTCAACTTCTCGCAGGGAAAAAAAGATCTCGCAAAGTTGGAATTGATTGATTGAACTTTTTAGTCCCACCCAGTCTGCCATTACCACCGCAGCCACACACACCCAATGGGCCACGCCTACCCGGCACCCGATGATACATAAGTGCATTTTGGGCTGCAGTTTGGGCACTCGGTCTCTAAAAGGTTCGCCATCACTGTTTTAGGCTCAGTTGCGATTCTATGTTGAGGACTACCTGTACTTAGTACCAAGATATGTACGTGTGTGGGTGTGGCTGTGTTGTGTGTGTATGAAATTAAGTGTGCTTCAGCAGAGTTGAAAGGACGAGTCTTTAGTGATCCCTTTTTAAAGTTTTCCTCCGCTTAGCAGCTAAATGACTTTCCTATCTCTTCTCACTGATCTTTGTCAACATTTTTTATCCCTTTTGGACAAAGTTGAATAAAGTTTGCTGTCTTTACACCAGGGGTCTTCAAACTTGATCCTTTTGTGGACTTCAACTCCCAGAAGTCCTCAGCCAGTGTGCCTGGCTGAGGTATTCTGGGAATTGAAGTCCACAAGTCATAAAAGGGCCACGTTTGAAGACCCCTGCTTTACACGGTCTGGAATTCTGAAGAAAAAAGATACTATTTATTTTTATCTTGCCTTTATTTTCATAAATAGCTCAAGGCAGTGAACATACCTAATGCTCCTTTCTCCTGTTTTCTCCACTACAAAATACCCCTGGGAGGTGGGCTGGGCTGGGAAAGAGAGAGAGAGATTGGCCCAAGGTCACTCAGCTAAGACAGGGTTAGAACTCACAGTGTCCCGATTAGTAGTCTGGTGCTTTAAGCACTACACCAAACTGGTTCTCCTAATTTTTCAACATAAATGTGTGGTCCATTCAGTTCTTTACATACATGCAGATAGAATTGGCATGACAATTGCAGGTATTCTCCCTTCCAAAGGTTCATCCACACGTGGCCCTAACCAATAACGTGAATGTACCTTGCTATGTCCTCATGATGCTGTCTCCATCTCATCCTCAGCCCATAACTGATGTTTTCCATTTTTTCATGACACAGTTGTGGTTATATATGGATTCTGGCCCTTTGCCAGGAACTGTATTGAGTGATGATGTAAGCAGGGACAGAAACCTGTCCAACATTTACATCATTTGCTTTCAGGTTTCTGAACACTGTACTCCATGTCCCATTTTCCTGTGTGCTGCTGATCTAATGTGACCACTGGCTTCTGCAGGCAGCTCTCCAGTGCTTTGGGGAGACTAAGTCAGATCTTATCCAAACACCTTACTAACATAATCACCACTATGGTGAAACAGTGCAAGGCTGCTTTCAAGTCTTGCTTCTATGCTCTCATGAATGACCATGAGAGGGAGCATTAGACTTTTCTTTAAAAACAAGATTGGCTTTTTCTCCAGAAATATCACCAAGGAAAAACAGTTTTTAGCAGAAAAGGTTGCCCTCTTCTTCAGGTAGTAAAAGAGAGTATTTTCTACAGTTTTTAAATTGCTTGTTTTTACATACAGTTTCAGTCCTTTTTTTTCTTATGTTTCCATATCTTTTTTTTTTTTAATCTGCTGTATTGTGGGCCCAGACTTTTTCTACAGAGGTTTCTTGTTCCCTGGCCTCTCTGGATATGATCTTTTGCCATCTCCCTCTCTGTCTGTCTCTTTTGGGTGGCAATTGCTGTGGGTATTGTGGGCCCTAAGGTCAGGCTGGGCATAACTGTCTGGCTCTGGTGGTAACTTCTAGGAAAGAGATTCATGTCTTGGGCCATCATAGATAGAACATCACTTCCTCCAGGCCTGGGCTACGTAGGTGCTAAATAATTTGGAACATTTTAATATAGTAATGATGCAAGTCAGATAAAATAATATGTTCAGGGCATAATGCAGATCAGGCTACTCTGGTGGAAACCTGTTTCTTTATTGTCAGCAAATGTCATGAAAGTTGATAAATTACACTATATAACATGGTGAAAATGTTATCCAAAGGTAACCGTTATTGATTTGGTCATAGAAAACTTTGGTTGACATAGGTGCAGATTATTTTATCACAGTCTAAACCAAAATTTCTCTGTGTTAAAAAAGGAATCTCAGACGATGATGGAAGACCACACCTCAGCTTTAATTGAAATGTCTCCAATGACTTCAAATTACTTGGCAGTTCCAGGAAATTCAAAAAATGTACCAAAAATTGACATTAGGTAAAGAAAAAAAAAAAAGCTAAAAGCAATTATTACACTGTTGTTATTTGTGCTGTTGTTGCCGCTGGTGTTGCTATTTCAATTCTTCTAGTAACCTCTTTGGAAAGATACTGGAATATCCTTTGGGACAGGGGTCTTCAAACTTGACCCTTTTATGATTTGTGGACTTCAACTCCCAGAATTCCTCAGCCAGTGTGCCTGGCTAAGGAATTCTGGGAGTTGAAGTCCATAAATCATAAAAGGGCCAAGTTTGAAGATCCCTGCTTTGTCACATCATTTGAGTGCTATCAACCACGTTTACAACTGTGCTCATATGCAGACACTCATGGCTCCATCGCTGCCATTTTTTTAAGAGTAGCATCTTAAATAGTTTCCAGCTTTGTAAACTTAAATAGTTTCCAGCCTACTTGAGCTGTGTCCCACTTGTATGGGAAATGATATGGATTGTAACTGCTTGAATTTCTATTTCCAAAACTGAGTCCTTAAAAAGGACCAAGTTGGGATTCTCCCCCCCCCCAAGATCTTTAAAGATGTCCCCTTATTATTGTTGCTTACCGTGTAGCACCACCCTGCACCAGTTAACATCAGAATAGCATTCCTCGGGGGCTTCTCCTTCCATTTAAGATTGCCTCAGGCCTAGCGTCAGCCCCAATTCTGTCCTCTTCTTTTTTGAGGTTTTTAATTATTTAGCTGGAAGAAGGATTTCAAACTCAAAAGCTTGCAGCTGTTTTAAAACATTGTGCTGTTAAAGGAACTATTTCTGTAGATTGTTCTTATTCTGATTCTCTTCCCCCCCCCCAGCAATGCAGCTACTGTTATACTTTTTTTTAAAAAAAAAATCAAAACTATTTGTTTATTCTGCAGGTGCCCTTTCATGAGTAGTTCTTTAGTAGTTCATGAGTAGTTTTCTGTACTGAAAATAAGTTTCTTGAAACAAAGGATTGAATTTCTCCCACTCTTTCCCAAACACTTTGGAGTTTGAAGTACCATTGAAGAAAGTAACGTTTGTATTGAACTAACTGAACTTTCTATTCCAAAGTGGATACAGGTAGTCCGTGACTTAAAACCACTTGTTTAGTGACTGTTCAAAGTTACAACAGCATGAAAAAAAGTTCTAATGACCATTTTTTTTTTGCGCTTACTACCATTGCAGCATCCCCATGATCAAGTGATCAAAATTCAGAGGTTTGGCAACTGGTTCATATTTACGATGGCTGCAGTATCCCAGGGTCACATGATCACCTTTTGTGACCTTCTGACAAAATCAGTCGGGAAGCCAGATTCACTTAACAGCTATGTTGCTAATTTAACAACTGCAATTGTGGCAAGAAAGGTTGTAAAATGGGGCAAAATTTGCTTAACATCTGTCTCACTTTGCAACAGGAATTTTGGACTTAATTATGACTGTAAGTCAAGGACTACTTATATCTAATGAGGGTGGTATACAACTAAGAAAAAGGATAACAATATCAGAAAAACGGTGTTGCTATTCCTTGCCTCCACTCCCCCATAGAGGGGTATGTATGAACTATATTTGTTCATTGACAATCACTTTTAATATTTAAAAATTCTTGCATTCCACACTTCTGGCTTTTTAATTAGTATAGTCATGGCTTTGTTCATATAATCAGGGAAAAGGACAATTTTTCTAATCATAAAATATAATTCAGTGTTTTGAAAGAAACTGAATTATATGTGTTGTATTTGAAATAGTCCGTGATTAATTCCTATCTCATTTAAGCCAGGGGAATCAACTTTAAATACGAAGTTCTCTTAATGAAAATGTCATTGTAGGCCTGATCCTGCAGATATTAACATCTCAGAAGAAATGCCTAAAACAACTGTGTGGAAGACTCTCACCATGAACACAGAAAAACTCTGAAGTTAAAAGGAATAGGTATGGAAATTTTCTATAGGGCAATCTCAAATCACTACATGAAATCTTCAAGAAATGATAATGTCACCTAGTTTGGTAAGGAAACATCTGCAAGAAAACCACTAAGCTCAAAGAGCACCAAGGGCACTACAGTCTTCAAGGAAGATTATATAAATGGCATGCTGAAAATTGTTATCCACACCTCTCCAAATACCATAGCTTTCCTACATCTATTACTGTGAACTGAATATAATCAATGTATGCCCACAAAATCACCATACCATCTGTATAGCATGGCAAGTCAACAGTTGTATTATATATACTGTATAGATAGAGGAAGACCAGTCATTTGACTAATGATATAAACTTTAGGTCCAAAAGCAGATGTTTGCAACTATTTCTGTCCATTTTTTTCTTTTGACAACCTTGTAATCCCTTGCATCGGGGTGGAGTTGGGGCGACTGAACGGAGCTTGAGCATTTACTGACTGGGTGCCCTTCCTGACACCTGTGTAGAGTTCAGAACAGACAATTATTCACTGTGCCCAGAGAGAGAAATATCTGCCACTACTTAGGATCGAACTCACAGCCTTCTGATTGTGAGGCGAGGGTTCCATTTCTAGACTACTGTGCCACTTTAGACAGTTTGTATATGTCAAGGATATATTTGGACAACCATGATTATTATTTGCTGTTTCATTTGCTTACAAGTTGGGGTGGGGGAAAATAAAAGATCCAGGAAAATGTCTTCAGGGTATCCAGGACTAGTATTTCTAATGGCAATTTTCGATTTACAGCTTGGCCGTTTGGGACTTGGCTTGGGACAGGGAGCTTGCAGCCCATGAAGGTGACTCAGGGAAGAGCCAAGGTGTGCAGGCGAAGGAGAGAAAATACTTTTGCAATGGAAAAGGCGCAGACTAACTAACTGCCCTGATACTTCCTTCATACAAGTAACTGGGTTCATATTAAAGCCATTGAGAAGTGATTTGATTATCTTTTGTGTGCTTCAGTGGGCATTCTAATTATCTTTTGACCAGCCAGGTAATGAAAGTCTAGTAGTGTTAAAGACTCTCTTGTGTGCGCACACACATGTGCATATTTGCTGTATTACAGTTTCTAAGTAGTAGAGATTGCTGCCACTTTTTTTTTTTTTTTTTTGCCTTCCGGTGTGTGTGTTCAACAATTTCCACTTTGAATGTACAGCAACATTATGCCACAACTATTTTGAGTTTCTGTTTGGTTTTGGTTTATTGGGTGCTACTTAGAGATGTGGGTGTTGTTTGCAAAATCCAATAATAAAATGTAGCTGAGTTACCACACAAGCAATTGATAAAAGGTAACCCAATATTACAAATAAGTGGGAGAAATGTCTCTATGTTTCCCCCCATTTTTATTTCATAATCATGCTGCTTACATTCTTTTTTGGTTCCTTGTTTATATGGCAGCCAATCTTGTGAAGAGATTTTAAGGAAATGTGTATGTTGCTTTATTAATGTGATTTCATATTTAGGTGAATTCAGCCAAGCCATTGATCTCAGCAGTGCAAAGGGGAGGAAAAGGTGATTAATAGAAGAGTTGTCAGTGTCACTGTTTGCACTGTTTTGATGATTACTAGTTGCCAAGGTAATGTGTGGGCAAAAATAAAATAGATTTTGGACCTCAAGGTGTGTACAAACTAAGAAGTAGTGTAGTATGCTTAAGTGAAATGCAAACATCTACAGTATTATCTCTCTTCATCCATGTGATAAAATATATATCTGGCCTTGGGAATAGGAAGGGATGAATGAACTGTAAAGGGTGGTCATTCACAAAATATTACCCAGATGTGAGAAATAAGGAAACATGAGAAAGAAACTCAAAATAACGCACATATACAAACTAATTTTGCTCGTTATAAGATGTAGTACAAAGCAGCTCTGACAGTTTTCAAGATTCTGTTCTTTTTCTCTAGAATAATAAAGATAATTTCAAGTGGTCCTCAGTCTCATTTCCCAAAAAGTTCTAGTTATAATGACATAAGACAAATTATTTGGCAAAAGTGATTTCTCCCTTTCCACGCAGCCTGCTTGGTTGACAGGAAGAAGGGGAGAGAAAGAAGGAGAGAGAAGATATCAAGAAGTTAAAAACAAGAGATTAGAGTTGGAGAGAAAATAGATGACTTTAATCCCACAGAGACCTTGCTTCTTATCCCATCCACTAGCATCATGTGGGCTCCATAGTTTAACCTCCCTCGAAATATGATTGTGGACAGAAAAAGAGATTGTTCATTCCTGCCCTATAGTCCACTCTAAACCATTGCTTTTCCTTTGCTTGTTGTTGGTGGTGATAGAATATTTAATCTCACGTTTATAGTACTCAAAACAGCTTACAAAAAGAAGGACCAAAATGATAGATACAAAAGCACACTTTGCATACAGTCCTAAGGAAAACTGCTTTAAAGTAACCCTGCTGAACCCCTGTTGTTTAAGAGTTCACTGTGTTTTAGAGTGTGATCATCATGTTGAAATGGGGATTTATGTTTTTGGAGAATAAGATACATATTTTGCAGATTTTTTTAAAAGGACAGATGCATATCTATTTTTTTTACCATACAACAAATTGTACGCACTGTAGTACAGTTCCACTGAAGGCAATGGACAAAGTTAATGTGGATATTCTCTGCGTTAAAACATTTCAACCTGATGTGTTAAAGTTCAGTTCCCAAAATTCTTATCCAGTATCCTGGCATGTCACAATGTTAAGGAAGATTGCCCACACATAGTCGCCCGGGAGTAAGTCAGTTAGATTCAGCGTATCATTTCTGCGAAAGTGAAGCTAAAACTCATTGTAAATATTGGACAGTTAAGTATGCAGCAAAAAGTTTACTTTCTTTATGCATTTTAGCTCCAATAATTAAAAACTAAAGTGAAAAAAGCTGCAGGGATGAGCAATGTGATTGGCAATGAACCCCCCCCCCCCCGCATTTCCTCTAATAGCATAAATTGCTGCCTTTGTTAGGAACTGGGAGGTGCCATTTCCTGCAGAGAATTCTTACATGTTCCACTTTGGTGTGCAGTCTTGATGCAGCAAAATGACTCTTCATTGTGTCTTTTGTGATTCAGTGAGGCTAGCAAGGATTGTGAAAGCAAAGTTATATACACTTACATCCCAGGCTTCCATGTGGATTGGTATTTTTGGAAACCAAGCAGTCTCTGTGTTCCTTGTACTCTGTATTGTAGAAGTGTTGGCCAAGTCATCTTGTAAGCTCATCTCTTTGGTAGTTCATCTTTTAGGCTGCTTCACTATGGGAAATTTCAGATTTCAAATTCTTACAATGTCACTGCCAAATATAGAAAAGAATCAAGCAATTGGTTCTTGCTGATTGACGTGAGACAACATTATGACACGTGTTTCCAATCTTTTGAAGCCAGTAGGCATGTTTTATCTTCAGAAAGCATGTTTTGGGGGAAATTCACAAAATGGTCCATATGCATGTGTGGTTATTCACATGACCACTGCATGGAAATGACAAACCCTTCCATAAAAAATCTGCATCACGAAACAAATTTTGAGGTTTTTTAAATAAAAGCATTTAAATCGTGTCACATATTAAAATAAAGAAGATAATAATTAAAACAGTACTGATTCTCCTGCTTACCTAATCATAATTATAGAGAATAATAAAATAATGGCAATTTGAACAAAATTAAGTGAGAACTAAACAAATTTAAAACTTCAGGGGATGAATAACCTTGGGTTATGCAGGTATGATGACTGATGCTGCATACCATCTGCAAGTTTCCCATAAATTAGTTGCAGGTAGTTCTCGATTTATAACCATTCGTTTAATGACTGTTTGAAGTTACAATGGCACTGAAAAAAGTGACTTATGACCATTTTTCACACTTACAACTGTTGCAGCATCCCTGTGATCACACAATCAAAATTCAGGTGTTTGGCAACTGGTTCACATTTATGGTGGTTGCATTATCCCAGGATCGTATGATTATCTTTTGTGACCTTCTGACAAGCAAAGACAGTGGGGAAGCCAAATTGATTTAACAACCATGTTACTAATTTAACAACTGCAGTGATTAACAACTGTGGCAAGAAAGGTCATAAAATGGGGCAAAAGACACATAACAAAAGTCTTGCTTAGCAACAGAAATTTTGAGCTCAACTGCAGTCATAAGTCAAGGACTATTTGTATATATGAAGAGACAGTATTTTTCAAACGATCATTCCAGTGTCTTTCAGTAAGACCTTCAGTTTCTTTGATCAATTTCATTGCTGAAAAAAGGAAGTCACGGAAATTTGACCTTTGCAGCAGTGTCTCTCATCACCACCCAATTCTAAAACTCTTCATGAGTTTAATTTGGATGGTGATGAGAGACGCTGCCACTAAACACTGGTTTGTATTAGTATGAATTTTCATAGAGCAGTGGGAGAGAAGCAGTGCTAAATATAAAGGCAACAAATTACAAATGAATATACATTATTTTATTCTGCCTAACTTAATATAAAATAAAAATTATGACCAATTTATGGATGAAACCCATTTCATTATCAGATACAGTATAGTCAACCTGATAAAACAGTTTCAGTCGTTGGATGATTTGATGGATAATTTGAAAAAGAACCCAGTAGTACTTAATCAGTTGGGAAGGAAAAGCATCTTTCAAAAGGTTTATTGATCTGAGAAGACAACTCTACCCCACATCTCCTAGACTCAGGTCTGGGTCTTAGTTGTGGCAATGTATTTTATTTAATAATCGTAAAAGAAAATGCTTAGCTTTGTGCCTAAAAGTTCTGAAAGACTCTTTGGATAAGTTGGTAGACCTTGAGTAGGAAATAGCAGAGCAATACATATAGTCCTCACGAATAAACCACTCATTCAGCAATCATTCAAAACTAGAACAACATTGAAAAAGGATACTTGCAACTGGTCCTTGAAGTAGCAGCCATGCAGTATCCCTACAGTCATGTGATTGTGATTCAAGCACTTGGCAACCAGCAAACATTTATGATGATTGCAGTATCTGATGGTCACATTCTTGTCATTTATAACCTTCACAGCAGGCTTCAATGGGGAAGCCATTAGGAAGTGGCAACTCATGATATGATGTCATGTTTAACGATCCACAGTGCATCTCTTAATCACCACTAAATTGGGCACGGTCACATGACATTTACTTTACATCTGATACCAATAGAGTTGCCAATCCCAACTGCAGTTGGTAAATGAGGACCACTTGTATTAGGGGCTAAGAGGAGAAGGCAGAACGCAGCATCATGATAGAGTTCTGCAAGGTTATAGCTAAGGCAGAAAATACATTAACATTAATGTGTGGATTGTGGCAACTATTGGTTATTTACAGAGTACTGTTATATTAGTTGGTCAAGTAAAACACCAACTACCCTATATGCCGGCGTACAAGGCGACCCAGCGTATAAGACGACCCCCATCTTTATCACCAAGCCGCATTCCTAGAACGTCATCTTATACGCCGGAAACTACCAGTATTTCCGGCGTATAAGACGACTCGGCGTATAAGACGACCCCCGTCTTTGGCGCCGATTTTAGCGCTCGCGGAAGTCGCCTTATACGCCGGCATATACAGTATCTCAGTTAACACATGGCTAGTTTCATATCACAGAGCTAGTTTGATATAATAGATAAAGTATTAGGCTCGAAACCAGGAATCTGAATTCTAGTTCTGCCTAAGGCAGAAGCCAGCTGAGTGATTTGGGGCCAGTCATTTTCTCTCAGCCCTAGGAAGGAGGCACTGGCAAATCATTTCTGAAAAACCTTGCCAAGAAAATTGCAGGGACCTGTCCAGGTGATTTCAGATAGGACTGAATGGAAGAAAAAGACTCATTCTGAACAATCTGTTCTGGAATAATATTGAAAGGTGCCACAGATGGATCTGTGGAGCTATGCTTTATTCCAGGTACTTGGCATCATTCTGAATTAAAGCATACTGTAAACCTCAAGACTGGAAAAGGTTCCCAGTATTGAGAAATAAGCCTATTGTATCTTTCGCTGACATAATCTAGAGAAGATGCCCAATATCTATTGAGGAATAAAATATTTTTGGAAAAACAGGGGAATAAATATTTGTTTTGTAAATAGTACCCAGATGGATAGTTTTTCTATCCAGAGGGTTGACATCCATTTGGAGTAGTGGGAGGAAGGAGGCTAAAGTTCTGAACAGGACAGGACAGGGAAGATGACAGATTGCAAGGTGGAAAATTTACCTTTGTTGCCTCTGAATGTCTAATAGTTTACATGACCACAGCATAGTTTTTTTAAAAAAATATTCCAATCTTCTGCAGAGTGGACCAGAAAAATACAAATAAAGACTAGCTGGAAGTAGTAAATCCATATCATTCATTGGGGGCTAAGGGACTGTAGACTTTGTTCCAGTTTCTTCCAGAACATTCATGAGGTCTGCTCTTCATCCATTTTAGATTAATCTCCCACAAACTGGAAATCCTAAGATGATGGAACTGCAATTCCAACAGGCAGGGGGGTAAATAGGGAAAGATGATAACACACTCTGGGTTCAGTTGTTCAAGCATGTTGGCTATTTTTGAAAATTATGAAGAATTTCATAATCTTAACTGAAGAAGGAGGGGAATGCAAGAAAAGGTGCTGGCACATTTTTCTAGTGTTTTTTCTTCCTCCTATGACAACTACATGTAGAAATAGAGAAACTATTTTCTTTTTAGATATAAAAGAAAACAATATTTATTTTGTTGTAAGAAATGTAATTTAAAAAAAACCCACCCCATATTGTAAATAAATGTAATAATGGGGAGATGGATTCTTATTGGTTCTGTAGAAACCGAAATACATTTGCTAAAATTTTGCTCAAAATTGAGTTATCTAAATAAGTATAGTTTTGTTGTTTTATGGTTAAAAAATCACTAATTCTGCCTCATACTTCGTGTCTGTACAAACTCTGTCAGTAATGATAATACTCTGATGATTGAGAATTGTACCCATTGCTGAACTATATGTGAAACTTCAATATTAAAATATTATTCTAAATGTACTCTTTGTCATGTTATTTTCAGAAGACAGCGTTTCTGTTGAAACAGGTTTTAAAATTTTATAGTGCTTTCCCATTTTCTCATTTTTTAAAATTATTTTACTTGCATACTCAACATATTTTAAGATACTTATTTTTTTTAATCTGCATGCATGCCATGAATAAAGGAAGTCTTCAATGACCAAATAATGAGCTGATATGGAGAATATTACTATCTGCTTTAATTGTTCTCTGATTGGTGCATGTCATCTTTTTTTTTATTGTTTACAAGTTTCCAATGAACTGGGCTTCCTGCCTACTCAATGTTTTCATTTTGAAGGAAAACAGACCAATAGGTGCGTATGGATGGGTCATGTATATCAACATTCCCTAGTTAATATTTGGAGGAGGAGGAGGAGGAGGAGGAGGAGGAAATTGCACACATATATTGGGATCCAGAAATGAGTGTGAAAGTCATTATCTGTGTTTATCTGTGTAAGAAAATAAGAAAGAGGAAACAATACATGGTAGTAGTTTGCTATAGATGTCCAAACCAGGCAAAAGGACTGGATAATGCCTTCCCAGACAAGATTATAATAAGGTATGTTTAATATGACATTTATTGTATTATATTATATATATTATATTTAGCAACAAGGGAAAGAAGTATCTGTAATTCACTGAGTTGGAAACAACAGAAAACGAGCATCAGAATATCAGCAAAAGTTCTCATTGCTGGATGTGCAGATGGGAATGTCCAATTCCTATATTATCCTTTTAATTGTACCTGTAAAAGAGACAGAGTGATCAGGAAGACGCTGAGATGTTCCATAGAAATCACTTTGAACTACTGGGTGCATTTTAGAAAAATTACAATAATTATGAGAAATTATTATTCATTTGGCTTGACCAAAGCCATTTGGATCACTGTTTCTCCCTGTAATTATAGAATTGATGATTTAGGAGATTTGAGCATATTTCTCTGCATAGAAAGACTGGGACAACTATATCAGCTCTACACGTAGCTTTTGATTAATAACAACAATTGGGATTGGAATTGTTGCTAAGCAATGCAGTCATAAAGTATGATGTCATGTGACTGCACTGCTTACGGCAACTTTTGCAGACCAGGTTGCCATCTTTAAGCAAGAACTGTGTGGGTCATTAAGTTAGTAATGTGACCATGATCTGACCGGCTTCACTGTTGGGAAGCTGGCAGGGACTGTTGGAAATTGGGTCGATGCAACTGCAGCTCATTGCAACATTGTAATTGCATCCCAGATACCAAGCACCCAGATCACGATCACATGACCATGGGAATGGACAGAACTTTGAGGACCTGTCATAAGTAACACTCATTCAGTCCCATCACAAATTTGGTCACTGAATGAATGGAGGTAAGTTGAGGACTACTTGTATAAGATAGACCAGGCTAAGAAATGGACACCCTACAGAACAAATTCTGTCCCCCCCTTTATTAGAACAGCTATTAATAGCAGAATATTGCAACTACTCTGGCCTCATTTATTCTATCTTAATGAGAATGTGTGTGTGGGGGGCTATCTAGAGCATTTTTGTCCTGGGCTCACATTTTATTCATCTGATTCTTGTTAATAGCGGTTCTTCCTTCTGTCCTTCAAGGCTGAAACTTTTAGCTGTTTATCTGCCTTCATTCCCAGGTAAGGGAAGATATATTAGAAGACAAATCATGCATAGTACAGGTAGCCTTTGACTCACAACCATAATGGAGCCTGCCCATTATGGTCTCAAGTCATGACAGTCATTAAATGAGATGGCCATTTGATTGCCTCGCTTAATGAACCCATCCCTACTCTCCCTGATGCAGTTGTTAAATCGATCATGGGATGGCTTACAGGTGGGGAAGCCCTGGGTGGCCTAGCACAAGCCTGCAGGGACTTGGTGAGGAGGGAGAAAGTAGGCCAAAGCCTGTGGGCAGTGGCGGGATTCAAATATGTGAGCAACCAGCTCTCTGTGTGGATGCCGCTTCCAGAAGTCCATTCTGGGCCTGGGCAACAAAAAATTAGCTACCGGTTCTGCCAAACTGGGGCGAACTGGCTGGATCCCACTACTGCCTGCAGGGACCTGGTTGGGCAGGATGAGGCAAAAGATACGGTAAGTGGGAGAGGCTGCTGCAGTGTCTCTGTAGTTAGTTATAAGGCCAAATCACCATAAATGAATGGTTGCTAAGTAACCAGCCATAAACTGAGGACTGCCCATATGGAAAGTGCTGTTTATAAAGGCACTTTAGAAAGATCCAAAAAGGTTCATACACTTGTATTTTTTCTGATTTTTTCCCCAAAGAAAGTGAAGGTGGCCGTAGCTGACCTCCTGCCTCCGTTTCCTTCTCACAACCATCCTATGAAGGAAGTTTGGATGGAAGTGTGTAACTAGCTTTGGCTACTAGCATTCAGTGAGCTTCAAAGCTAGGCAAGGAATTCAGTTGAGGACTTCCCAGTCTTAGTCCATTGCTCCAAACTTGCACTTCTATCTTTTCCCAGAAAGAGAGAGGCTTTCAGATAGAACAGTGTTTTTCAACCTCAGCAGCTTTAAGGTGTGTGGAATTCAACCTCCCAAACTCCCAGAATTCTGAGATTGAGAAACACACATAGAAATGTGAACCTAAGCATCAAGATGCAGAATCATATTTTACCTAATGTTGCCTTACCTCAACCAGAAAGAGCCAGGTGGATAGCCTAAGAAGATGGGTTTTTCTTTAATGAACCGCTTTGTAGAACTGTAAAAAGAATGAGGCAAAGATTATGAGAGCCACAAAAATGTTGTGATCTTAAGCAGGTCTACTCTGAAGTAAGTCACACTGCATTCAGTGGAACTTAATTCCGGGTGGAAATCCAGAGAATTGCCTGCTGAAAGTGCTACATCTACTCTGAATAGCCAAAATAGAAAGGCTGATTCGTGGTGATACATATCGTCCTCAAAAAGATATTCAGAATATTATATATTGAAGAGCTGTCAGGAGGTCATAATCATTTTTGAGACTGGCTTCCTTAATGGGAAGGTTTATCTAGACAAGAGACTATTAAAAGATAAACAGTCTTCTGTCTTTTAGATATAGGTTTTTTTCTATCTATTCTGTCATTTGCAGAATAAGCTATGGATATTTATGGATGTCGACTTTGCAAAGCAGACCAGAGAGGAAATATGGCCATAATACAATAATTCTACATTATTGTAATGTTATATTAATAATAGCTCTTATTATTATATTAACAGAATCTTGCAAGTCTGAAAGTATATTCTCCCCCCATCACACACACACATACACATCCTCTTTACTGCTAAAGATACTAGGGAGAGTTACACATTCTTTTTGCAGGCTCTTTATATCTGATCTTTTCTTAGCCTGTGTCTTTTTGCCCAGTCTTCCAAAGCCATTCCCACATACCTTTACACTGTATCACATGTCGGGGGGGGGGGAATAGCTTGTTTGTATAGATTTGCATATATAAGCCCACACACATACCCACATATGTCCTCCTTTTGGATTATGCATTTGTGTCTTGTTTGGGGTTTTCCTGAGATATTAGGATTAATCAAATCAATCCTGGGGAAATTGGAGACTAGTCTATGAACAAATCAAGCTTTGATTAAAGGCATTGATTTGATTTTGGGGCTTTTGCTTCTCAAATCTGATGATCTTGTGAGGTGCTTGCCTGCAGCTCCCATTATTTTACACAAGAATTGAGAAGGCTTGGCAAGTAGTCTGTATTCTTGCATGCTGCATACACAGATAAAAACAGTATAGTGAGCAAGAGGAGAAAAGGTGAGAAGGGAATTAGATTGTACCGAAGAGTGGCCTGTATCTACAGTACAAATACAATCTAACAAACATCTAACTTAATAAAGATAAGGATTCCAGTGAACCAGTTACAGTGAGGAAAAGCTTTTTCATATGGCTATTAAACAACAGGCGGTCAGAAATCATAATTTTACCACAAACCATCCATTGACCAATCATTAGAATTGATCATCATCTATAAAATTCAATCATCATCTGCTTAAACACAAGAGATGATTTTCAAGAATCATTTTGCTTTGGACTCTTTATAATATTCCTTAGACACATCAGTCTTTATTTTGAAATGCATGGCGACTTAAAGGACATCCCTCACTACCTTTTGTATTGCCCAATTTAACTCCGCTGAATGTTCTTAGATATATTTGAATGCATTTAGAATCGCTTCTACCAAAAAAAAAAAAACTGAATTCTTATTTAAAAACCTAGAAGATGGTTGTCCCATGGAGGTTGGCAGTTTTGTTCAAGCTGCAGCTGATTGTCATACATATAGAGTCATTAAATATAATTAATTTTATCTAGGCTAATTACTCTCTTGACTCAGCCCTCAAGGTCTACCTGTCTTTCTCCTACAGTTCAACATTTTCTACCTGTAACGTTTGGCATTGATGAGCCAATGCACAAAATCTCTGGCCTTCATGTTGTCCAAATGTTCAGTAAAATCGCTGGTAAAAGTCCCTTCAGAATGGCGTTTGATGTCAGAAGTAAAGCTGTGGGCACTTTTCATGTTGTAAGACTGCTGCCACCTGAGTGAAAGCCAAGGATGAGTTGCATTATGCATTCTCCCCCCAAAAACAATACTTTTATTGCTTGCAATTGTATACCAATGACACATTTCTAATACTAGTGAAGCCACTGTCATGACTGAACACCCCTGTTCTAGTCTCAGAGCATGTGATGATAATTTTTTGTACATAGAATAAAACCACAAAGTAATATGATATAACAGATAAGCCAGCAATGACACTGATATAGTTTGAAATTGTCAATGGGTGTCATAGTGTCTTCAGTACTCTTGATTGTGCCCAGCAAGGACATTCATAGGGTGGATATGTGTGTCAAAAGGTAAAGGTGATCAAAGCCCTGCCTCTTTTTTATGTGTGCTACACACCCCTTGAAACACCATGGTGCCCACTGACTACCAACAGCAAAATAATATACTTTGAAAATTTTAAAAAATGGCTGAATTCGGTGTGCTTGCCAATTCTAATAAGATCTCACTAGCTATCATGGCTGTGGTTTCCTAGTTTTTTCATTGCCATGATTTTTCCAGTTTTAGTTCTGAATTTTGGGGTTGCGTTCCCTTGGACAGAAATGGTGTACAGTTGGGAGATTTTTCTAGAATTGCACCTCGCCCTTGAGGTGGATGCGGTGGGAAGGTCGTAACTCGGATTCATCTGTTACACTAATTGCAACTCTTCCTGAACCAGGAATGCCTCCTCATTGTTACTCAGTGGACTATTCCAATATGCCCTGCATGGAGCTGCTCCTGAAGACCACTCAGAAGTTGCATTTGGTCCAGAATGTGACGATGCAGATAGTGATGGGTATGCCTTGGTAGTCTTATGTAACACAGCTGTTTTGAAGAAAATGGAACCCAGGAAATATATCTTCTCTATCTCAGCATCTAACCCCTGGAATTGTATCTCTCCAGAGGTTTGTATACTCCCAACCATGCAAACCTTTAAATGGGCCTTGAAGACCTGTTTTTCCCCAGAATCTGGGGAAAAAGTAGGTAGAGTATGTGTGTTCCCCTAAGTGATATGGCGTCCATGGATTGGTGTATGCTCTTTTCCTTGCATTAAGTGCTGTATTTAACCTGCACAACACCTAGAGTCCTCAACTGAGTAGTCTTATAAATCTGATAGATTAAACAAACAAACCCTTTAATTTAGAATTTTTCACTGAGCATTTTTTAAAATATTTGTCTTCTTCCATCAAGTTATCTGAAATTACCCTATGATTCAACTCTCCTCTAAAGGTGTCATTGGTCTGTGACAAGACCCAAACTGCCATTTCTTTGGATATGTTGATTGGAATTGCTCAGAGATACAGTCAACACAACTGAAACAGACCAGTCAGTTATTAATAGAGTTTGAATAAGTTGGTTTTCAAAAAGAGGAAGTGATTGGCTGTCTTCTGTCTTCTACTGGCTTTTCTACCTTCCTCTTTAAAGCTTTCTATATTTAATACAGTATATCAACTGAAACAGAGACTAACAAGAGGATTATATCACATCATCTCAACCAGATTACAATATACCGATGAAAACAATGCCATGCAATGTATTTACATAAAATGAATGATAAAGAACAAGACAACAATAGAATTAGTTATAAAAAGAGAATGAAGTTGAACTCTACAGTTGGTTTGTGAAGAAGGATTATTAATATGTCCCTAAAAGTATGCTTTTATTTATATTTGTCCAGTTGTCACATTGCAACACTCCTGTTCATCCTTCTGTTAGTACATAGGATCTCCTTTTATTAAATTATTAAAACATTGTTAACATTTAATTGCCTTATATTTTATTGATCACAATGCAAAAGTTGTACATCTATTTCTACTAGTTTACAAAAACCAATTCTTGAAAAAGCCTCTGAACTTGCCTTCCTTGGAGTCTCATGGCACACATTTGGGCAAGTATGAAGCTAACTCTATATCTGAAATTATTCTCCAACATAAAATCCCTGAAAGTTCTGACTTATATGTCTGTAATAGGACCCTGATTTTGATTGTACTTGCTACCCTTTCAACCTTTCCCTTCCGTTCTCAACATAATTTTTGGCAGTCTCTTTACACTTTCACCTTTTCCTTCACTCCTTGTCCCATCCTATCTACTGCAGGGTATCCCATTGACCTTCCTTCCACTCCCTTCTCTCCTCTGTGCCTTTCTCAAATTTTGTTTTCCCCAAATTTAGGTTGCAGAAGATTTCTGTAGGAAGTTGGCAAACATTGAGCCTTCTGCAATTCTTCCCTCTCCCCATACACCCCCAACTCAAATCAAATATATTAAATGTTTTTTCATACCTAGACTCGTCCGTTGAATCCTTCAGGATCATTTCCCAGCTAACAGGGAGTAAAGCTACAATGACCGTGGCACAAATACAGATCCACCATATTTTCTTCATCAGATCTTCTGAAGCAAGTCAAACAAAAGCATGAAAAAGAATTGGACCACACTTTTAACTTTCCTACCAGTTTAGGACTGGATGCTCATAAGAAAACACAGTTCGAGCTTTTTATTATCCCAGAGATGAGTTGGAATTGTTCTTGCAAGCATTGAGCTTACAATCCCAGTTTTGTATACTCAAGTTTTTCAAGGTTAAGCAGAAAAATCCAAAATGGTTAAACTAAATTAGTTGGTCAGAAGCTGATTTGTGTTTGCATTATTTAGAGGAATTGGCAATTTCTAACACAGGAAGAACAATAATAAAATTCATCCTCCACAAAGAACGAAGGTGATCAGTTAAGATGGGAATCATTGCCCAGTGTACTCACATCTCCATTTTGCTCTTCTTTTACTATTTTTTTTTTTTAAATCTGTGACTGCAAAAGACACTGAAGCAGATTTGGCCACTGTCTTCTAAACACAGAGAGCTTTGAATTAGGTTAAAAACTTGTGAACAAAACCTGGGTTTTTTTTCAAATGGTTCCATTTAATATATGATTGTTTTATTGTAAAAATGTTTGTATTATTGTAATTCCCTTGATTGCTTAGGAAAAGAGGCACCCAATCTAATAAGCTGCATATCCATACATCATGAGAAATACCTTTCTCATATCACTGAAACAGATAGAACATCTCTTCAGCTCCTCATGCTTAGTAAGACCATTATTCACAAATCTGCCTTTAAACAGAATCAAGCAATGCAGAGGATTTCTAGTTAAACTGATAAATACAATGACATCTAAGAAATAGCTCATGTTTCTTACATTATTCCATCTAAGACAATCTCTCAGGACCTCAATGGACAACAAACAACATTCTTTTATTCTTGATTTAGTAGAAAAACTAGAATATGGTGGGAATAAGAGATTCTCCTCCAACCTTGTTTGAAAAATAGTTTTTTTTGACAACGATAATGCATACTTTCATGCTACAGGTAGTATGGAATGGGATGTGATGAAGCAAATCGTGCTTACCTTCTAAAAGATGAAAGTTTCTCCTTCAATCCTGTGTTCCTTTTCTTTGTATGAGCTGTTTTGTGGCTAAATGCTATTCTTACCAGTGCTTTTAAGCTTGTTAGTAGAATGTTAAGGGATGACAGGTAGGTCATTAGTGTTCCAAATTTTAGTTAGATAGGTCAGTTATGAATCATTCCTGGATGTCTCCTTGCTTTCTTCTTCTTCTACTTTATTAGTGGTTCCACACAGAAGATGAAACCAACCAACTCCTTCAAAATGTCTTGTGCAATTGGTGGAGAAAGAATGTCATGTGTTTTGTCCTATACAACATTATGTATTGTCCTATTAAAAAAATCCACCATCTTTCAGATATTAACTGAGCATAGGAAAAATATAGGCCTCCCTTACTCTATCTTGCATATATTTGGGGTTTGTATTTAAAAGCAACAGTTAGACAGTTGGGCTCCACCATTTGTTCATATTCACCCTGTGCTATATTAATCTATATACTCCTATCAACAATAAAAGGGGCCATCCATATACATTTGATGACATAACTTCTAAACTATAAAACCTTATGTTGTAAGGACTGGGCTGATATTGTTACAATAACATGAAAAATATTTTCATCTGAATTATTTTCCCTCCATGTAACCTTTATATTTTCTGGGGAAAAAGGACCAACTGATCTTCCAGTTAATGAAACATGGGTTCTCCTCTTATTCTCTGAATGGAGGCTCCATCCATCTTTTTTTTTGACCCCAAATATCTTTATGCAAACACAGACAACGAGCCAAGATTTTGAACAAAAATCTTCTGAAATCTGCTGAGGTTGCTGAAGTCTTGTGACATTTCAGCAAAGTTGGCCCAAATCTTGTAGAATTTCGTGAGGAAGACTGTGGAATTGTTGTAAGATTTTGTACAAGGACACTACAATAGTCTGAGCTCTATCTGAAAGTGTCTGGTGTTTGAAGAATCATGCCCTGCAAATCTGGTTGAAAAATGCAGGAAGAAAAGTACTTAAAACCTGAATGGCATTTTTTCCTTTGCTTCCTGTCCAGTTTGATTGGACATTGCCATATGAATATTACCAGTCATGATCTTATAATATGGATAACTCTTCTTCTCATTCTGAATGCAATTGATGTTCATGATATTCACTTCAGACTTTTCTCCTCCACTGAGTTTGTTTTAATATCATTTAAAAAGTATCTATTGGAGAACAAGAGACTCCTACTAATTAGGCACCTTCTAGGGTACACGTAAACTGACCTTCACAAATACAGATTCATTAGTGCGACCTTTGACAAACTGAACTTCCTATTAAGCTAATATTTTAGTGCATCATTGGGTGCCTCTGTTATGATTGCTGTCAAATTAAGCTGCAGTGTGATAACTTGGTTCTTGCAGATGTTAGGCATAATAGATATTAGAAGCTAATAAGTACAGTAATTCTGAGCTGACTATACTTTTTTCAAAGTAGAAATATGGAGAAGAGAATATTAGAAGCTAATAAGCAATTCTGTATTGACTATATATTTTCAAAATAGAAATATGGAGAAGAGACAGGGATAAGCTACTCCCAGCTAGGGATCAGTGAATCAATAAACATTTGACTGTACATGTAAATAATAAATATTCATCTTACACCCCCCCCAACCCTGCTGCCATGCAGAAGCAGATTAAAATCTTCTGGAAGATTTTTTTTTCCAATTAGTTTTGAAAGGTCTTTGGGAATTGTTTACACACCATTCCAGTTTTAAATTAATGCTGAATTTTGTTTTTATAATTTGTATTAATTATATTTTTATTTGAACCTTGGACATGTATTTTTAGCTGTTAAAGTTAATGATTGCAGTGGTCTAAAAACCAATAAATTAATATAGAAAAAAATACAATAACATCCCAAACTGGTGCTTTCAAAAATATATATAGTACAAGTGTCTATGTCTGTGTTTGTTTGCAGGAACTCCATTCTTGCAGAGCTTGTTGATATTCTGTTAAATTTAAAAGTACAAATGTTCTCACCAAATCTGCACCAAATAGAATCTAGGACAGGATTCTTTCTCTTTATCCCCATGGATTTTTAAATGCATTCATTTATTGCTGCCAAAATGATGACAGAGAAACAGAAAAAAAACCACACAAAGATACAATACACACATTGTCAAAGAAAAAATACCATAGTGTTTTCTAAGTAAAAAAATGCAACAAAAGAAAAACGATACACATTTTAGCTGTTAAAAGAATTACAATTCTACATATTGTTATCTAATGCAATTATTATTCAAGCACATATATATTTTAATGCATTTGTATTAACTAACATTTTATTATCCTGTTGTTTTTTCTATAAGTGAGTCCCATATTTCATTATATTGGTCCATACAAAGTCTAACATCTATAGGCAACATTCTGATAGGTGGCGGGCAATCTGATCTTCAGTCCATTGAGTGAAAGGTATCATTGCTTCTTGATCTTCTGAGTAAGGTCCAGTTTAGTCTTTATCCCCATATTGATTGAGCAGGGGGCTTGAGTAGGGGGCTGGACTAGAAGACCTCCAAGGTCCCTTCCAGCTCTGCTCTATTCTATTCTATTCTGTTCTATTCTATTCTATTCTATTCTATTCTATTCTATTCTATTCTATTCTATTCTATTCTGTTCTGTTCTATTCTATTCTGTTCTGTTCTATTCTATTCTATTCTATTCTATTCTATTTTGCATGCAGTGATCTTGATTTCAGTTTCAGAGCTTTCCAGTTTTAAGAGGTTGCAGATGATGAGGAACCATATCCTATGCTGAAGAATGTGATCAAGATTTCTTAGCTTGGAAGCTCCTCTAGATACAGATACTTCATTTCCCATGTTTCTTAGACAATATGAACAAAGCTGAGAATGCCGGGAATTGAAGTTCATTCATCTGGACAATACCAAGGTTGAGTAAGGTTGGTTGGTTGGGAGAGTTGCTGCAATAGATCAAATAACTAGTTTTGGGTTTACTACCGTTAAAACAGGACATGGACAATAAAAAGGAAGGAATTTAGATTAGGGAGGGACAAACTCTAGGGATAACAGTGTTGCAAAATCATTAAAAAAGTTAAAAGCCGAGGATCCTTTTTAAACTGCTGTCTTGTGTTTCTGTAGTAGACTATGTCACTTGAGCACAATGTACATACACTAGAAAAATGGCAGCATGCGCTACAATCATGTGAGCTATGTGCTTAAATTAAATCCACTTCCTACATTGCAGCTTTGCATCCTTCCCTTCTGAACCTATCACAGGTTCTTTTATGTATGACCAGGTTAGTGGGCTCCAATGTAGCCAATACAATCCCACCTGGTCTCTTGGCCACACAGCCACAAGTACTCAAAGGCTAGTACACACGACTTACTCTATCCCTCTTCCCTTTATTCTACCACAACTTCTGTTCTTCCACATCTTCTCTTTGCTAGCCCTGTTTCTGGAGAACAGTATCATTAAAGTAAATTAGCCTTAGGCTGCTTCAGGTCCCAAACAAATGCAAACCACCTTCCCTCTGACTCCCCCCCCCCCCCAGTCCCTGCTCAGATTTATAGACACCAGTTGCTGGGCTGGCTAGGGAGAGAGGTGTTAAAGGGACAGCACACCCACAGCCCAGGTGCTGGCCATTTTGCAGGAACTATGTCCTCTCACAGAACCATTCCAACTGACAGCATATTAAAAAGCAGAGACATCACCCTGCCAACAAAAGTATTTATAGTCAAAGCCGTGGTTTTCCCAGTTGCAATGTATGGCTGTGAAAGTTGGACCATAAGAAAGGCTCAGCGCCAAAGAATTGAGGCCTTTGAACTATGGTGTTGGAGAAGACTCCTGCGAGTCCCCTGGACTGCAAGGCGATCAAACCGGTCAGTCCTAGAAGAGATCAACCCTGACTGCTCTTTAGAAGGCCAGATCCTGAAGTTGAAACTCAAATACTTTGGCCACCTAATGAGAAGGAAGGACTCACTGGAGAAGAGCCCAATGCTGGGAAAAATTGAGGGCAATAAAAGAAGGGGATGACAGAGAATGAGGTGGCTGGATGGAGTCACTGAAGCAGTAGGCGTGAGCTTAAATGGACTCCAGAAGATGGTAGAGGACAGGAAGGCCTGGAGGAACGTTGTCCATGGGGTCACGATGGCTCGAACATGACTTTGCAACTAACAACAACAACAAAATAAAGGATACAATGAGGAAAAGATTAAACATGCATCTCCGCTGAGGAAGATGTGACATCTGTCTCAATAGTCCAAAGGCATTTCTCAGCTAAAGCAAGCAGCCTAAACAGTTTCTTTATATAACGGGCGTTCCTCAACTTATAACCCCCCACCCACCCACCCCGGGACCAGCATTTCTGTTCCTAAGCAAGGTGGTTATTAATGTGGCCAATTTTATGAGGTTTTTGCCAGACCTGTTAAGCAAATTAGTGCAGTGGTTTAGCAAATCCTGTAGTTATTATGTGATTCTAGCTTCCCCGTTGACTTTGCTTGTCAGAAGTCTGCTGAAAAGGTAGCAGATGGTAATCACTTGATTCTGGGATACTGCAACTATCATAAATACATGCTGGTTGCTAAACACCCAAATTTTGATTATGTGACTCTGGGGATACTGTCATGCTCGTAAGTGTGTGAGTCACTTTTTTCAATGCTACTATAACTTCAAATGGTTCCTAAAGGAATGGTTGTAAGACCTGCCTACTAGTAGAGGAACTGATAGCTTTCTTTCCCCACAAGGTGTCTCTCCAAACCAACAGTAGACTAGACCTCTGAAGCTAGGCAGAAAAAGTAAACATAAATATGAAAGTCTGTATATTAGATGAAGCCATCTCTCATTTTATAAATCCTTGCTGGGTAGTTATGACACAGGCTGAAGTTACTAGGGTGTGAGAAAGGGAAAGGTGGGGAATGACATGATTTTTTTTTTTTTTAAAAAAATCAATATACTTTTTATTCTGTGTTTGCTTGTTAGATTGATAGTCTCTCAAATATCCTACCTGGCCAGGTTTTTCTTTTCTTTTTGCTTTTTCTCCATATCTTCGTTGTTGTTCCTCGGTGGAAAGGCAGGATCAACATTCTAGCAAGACAGAAAGGCAGCCTATATATTTTTTTTAAAAAACCCAGAAGACAGAAACTCCTCCCCAGCCCCAGAAAAGTATGTTCTACTTTTGTAAAACATACTTAGATAGTTGGATGAAATCTTTTAAGAAATAATTAGATAACCCAATAAGGAAAGGAAGGGGCTGGCTGGATTCTGGATTTCCTCCCAACTTAAGAACATCTGTGTTCTGGGTCACATCACTAGGAAAGGGGGAGGACTGAGAAGGGGGAACTGGACATGGCATCAATCTGACTCACAGATGTCCTACCTTGTAATGGGGGAAGGACCTTAGGGAGAAGAGCCGTAACCAAGGGAACGGTTGGAGAAGAGGCAGCTTAGCTCACACAACAAATGTGGATGTGGCAAACATCTCAGAAGTGAATCTCCATATTTTCTTTGTCTGTAAAGGCATGGTGGGAGAGAAAAGTACTTCCAGAGTTGCAAGACCCTGTTAATATAACCTTACAATAAAGTAGAAATAGTCTATCCAGGTGGATTACCTCGGTAAACTGATATCAGCCCCCTCTCTCATATGATTTGTTGGGTGATACTTTTTTCTTCTTCTGGATTTGTTGTTCCTTTGCCACCTTTAGTTTGATTTAGTCCATTTTCAAGCTTGATCTTTCTTTGGCCCGTGTCTCCCCTTACACCAAATCTGGTCTTATTCTGTTTTCCAAGAGTGCTACTGACAGATAAGCAGATAGTAAATCAGTCTCTTGAGCCCCTATAACTAATTGCTTTCTAACATACTGTTGAGCTGGAAAGAATAAAAACTGAGACTAGGAGTATAAAATAACCTTTAATTAAAAGCTTCTTCAAGCCTTTTTTTTTTTTTTTTTTGCTGTGTTCCTTTTTCAGCCAGTGCTATTTCCAATATTTTTAAATACTGTTCAGCCAAATGAAAGCTACTTCCATGTTCTGCTGCAGGAAATCTTGCAACTAACAACAAAATGTGGATTAGCTTCTTGTGTTCATCCTGTTATCATTCTTGAAGAAAACAGAAACTAGGCTAATTTATTATAAATGTATTTTTTTCCCAATTTACAGTTTGCTCTCTGAGTGTTTTGGGCTCTATACAAACAGGGATCGGGTTGCATCTAACCCTGCAATCTACAAATTGCCTAATCCTGTAATAGATCATTTCTGTTTTCAATGGATGAATTGTTCTCTTAGTTATGGTAAATGGCATCAGTCATTCAGAACTATTTTTCTGATGTTTGCCCCTTGGAGAGGGAAGGACAGTAACCAATCCTGTCATATCCTTCTCTACAGTAACCAATCCTGTCACGTCAGGTAGCAATTTCCTGGTCTTACCTGATGGAGTAATCAATAGTTTCAGTGAAGCCTGAGGCTACTTGGCACTTATTAACTGGGAGTGGAAGACTGGTTGGAGGAAGATGGGAATGCCTAAGGCCATAAAGTAAGCAAGTGGTTGGGATGGAGGCAGAATATACAACCAACAGAGGATATAAGGTATGCAGAGAAGGCAGAATCATATGGCTTCTCTTTTGTGAAGTAGAGTGCGTTGAAGAATGAGTTAGGGGAAAGAACTGGCTTGCTCATTTGATTGGTTCTGTGGGAAGCCTACAGATTGACAAATGGGGGAGCACAGTAAAATCTTGAATCCTTCCAGCTTTCCTGGTGCTGCTTCCTCTTCCCTTTTGTATTCTGCCTCATGGGGCCCCATCTCTATCCATCAGTGTTCTCCTAATCTCACCCCTGAGACCACAGTCATGTGAATTTTTCATATCTGAGTCAGAATAAGGCCACCTTGGCTCTCTTTGAGGAGGCCTTTCATTTGTTAACAGCCTGTGCCTTTCCTTGGCATTCAAATAACTTGATGTATATTCAGGATTAAACGTCTTCATCCACAAACCAGTTTGGTTAGTTGATTAGTCTATCTGTCCTTTGTTTCACTATGCTTGATTGTGGTATTTCCTGGTATCAAAGTACTGTGAAAAATGTAAAAAAAAAAAAAAAAAAAACTGGCAGGAGTATAGCCAACACTCCAGAAGTAGGCTCAATATACAGAAGTATCTTGACAGACTTGAACATTGGGTGCTATCTAACAAAATGAAATTCAATGGTGAAAAAGTAAGGTTCTACATTTAGGCAAGAAAAACCAAATGCACAGATATAGTATAGGTGGTTCCTGGCTCAATAGTAGTAACTGTGAGAAGGATCTTGGAGTCCTAGTGGACAATCACTTAAATACGAGTGAGCAGTGTGCTGCAGTGCCAAAAAATCCAACTCAGTGCTAGGCTGCATTAACAAAGGGATAGAATCAAGATCATGTGATATGTTTGAGGGAAGTTAGCCCAGAGAAAGAAATATTAAAAAGGGCAGAAAAATATATTTTTCCTCAAAAGGACTTTTTAAAACCAAACCTGGCCCCAAATCTCTCTCTCTGTCCCAAGCAAGAGCTAGCCTCATACGAATGCAAATGTAAAACCATCAGGAAGGTTGGAGCCAGGGAACTCAAGACAAAGAAACTCTTAAGAGTCATTAGCCCAGCCTCAGGGAAGCAGGAGATGACTTTTGGGATATAATAGGACTAACCCATTACCATCAAGTATACCATAGAGGCACAAACTCAGGTCAGAATACGGGACACAGGAAATAGCCTCAAAGTTCATGCCACAGGAACAGGAAACTATTCCAAACAAAAGGCTAGAGGGGGTATAAAAAAACCCCAAGCCCATGTGCTCAGCCCTTCTCTCCTCTGCTCTTTCCTGAAGAACCATCTTTCTGCAATAAACTGTAACCTTCTTCCCAAAGCAGTCACCATGTTTGCTTACTTATTCCCGGCTTGGATGAACCAGATGAAGACTTTACTTCTAACTTGTTGATACCACTTTATAACACCTTGGTAAGGCCGCACTTGTAATACTGCATCCAGTTTTGGTCACCATGATGTGAAAAAGAAGTTGAGACTCTAGAAGGAGTATAGGGAAGAGCAACAAAGATGATTAAGGGACTGGAGGCTAAAACATATAAGGAACAATTGCTGGAATTGGGTGTGTTTAGTTGAATGAAGAGAAGGACTAGGGGTGACATGATAGCAATCTTCCAATATCTCAGGGGTTGCCACAAAGAAGAGGGAGTCAAGCTATTCTCCAAAGCACCTGAACGCAGGACAAGAAGCAAGGAATGGAAACTAACCAAAGAGAGAAGCAACCTAGAACTAAGGAGAAATTTCCTGACAGTTAGAACAATTAATCAGTGGAACAACCTGCCTCCAGAAGTTGTGAATGCTCCAACACTGGAAGTTTTTAAGAAGAGATGGAAGAACCATTTGTCTGAAATGATATATGATTTCCTGCCTGACCAGGGGGTTGGACTAGAAGACCTCCAAGGTCCCTTCCAACTCTATTATTCTATATTCTAAACAAACTCTGAGATGAATTCCTCTAAGCCTTATAGCTGGGATTATTGGATGTGGATTTGTAGCATTAAAACAGCTTTCCTCAACCTTGGAATCATCAGATGCTGTTATAGGCTAATTACCATTTTTAATAGCTAATATGGATAATGACAATGACTATGCAATTGTAAGCCCAACAGTAGCCAAGAATCATGGTGGGAAAAGGTTGTTTTAAAAGCTTTGGGGCAGTGAAACTAGACTGGGTGCCCAATCAGTTGACTTGCCCATCCTTTCCTTCTACCTCTTCTGGGAAAAAAAAAATCTTAACTGTATCCTTCAGAACTAGGAAGGAATCCATGATCTATATGTACTCTATGTGGTATTGTGTGCCAGGAAAGTCAAAGACAACACCCAAAAAGGGACAGGGTTTCTCTCCTACTTATCTTTTAGCTCCTGACTCTGCAGAACAATTCCCAACATAAACAAGAATAAGAAAGATCCTACTGGGCCAAACTAAATGTCCACCTATCACTGCATATCAAATAAAAAAAAAATTAGATACTTCCCTTTTCTCCTGCAACACACCTAGAGATATACTATATACCGTACAACAATTACAGTGGATGTTCTATAAAAATCTGGGCTTGGCTTATCTTCATGCCTATCCTTTATATAAATTTATCTACACTTTTTTTCTGATGAAATAACAACAACAAGGCTGGAAATCATCTCTACAATCTGTTATGGAAGAGAAATCCAAAAGTAAATAATGCATCATTTGATTGTTTCCTGTTGTGGTTATAAAACTACTCCTGCCAATCAATTAATCAATCAATTGTACAAGCTTTTCAGCCACAATAGGCTCCCTAAACAGAACTAAAATTGCACATAGTGTGATTTAATTAGGTGTCCCTCTATGTAAATGTGTGTGAGTATACAATATGGATTCCACATTTTTTCCCTCCAAAAGAACAGCTAGCTAGTTTGTCGTCAGTTACCTTAGACTGAAAAGTTTCACCCTCGGCTCCTAAACAGCTAAAATTTGAGAGCTGGAGATGAATTCAGGTGACTTATTATTTATTTAGCATATGGGGTGAGTTAACTCCACACCAGAAAGAAAGACAAGGGCATCCCGCAGCATCATCCAGGGCCTTCTCTCTCTACCAAAGTCATCTCACAAATGGGTGTCAGATCTGGGAAGGTCCAGTGCCAGCAGGGTTTTGACCGTCCACACGAAATGCTGGCTCATCTTCCCACTGAACTGGAACCTATTTATCTACTCACATATAACATGCTTTCAAATTGCTAGGTGGGCCAAACTGAGGCGAATGTTGGGAGCTCACCCCATCATGCAGTGCTAGGACTTGAACCGCTGGAGCAAAGATCACCTCCAGCATCATTAAGCCACTGAGCCACCATGCTTCTGATTCAGGAAAATAGACTTCATTTTTTTTTAAAAAAAATATTTTTTTAAAGGCCAATTTGAGCAATTTATGAAAGTGGTAAATTTTCTGGCATTGCAACTTTTTATCTATTTGTTAGGCAAAGCTTTCTCCTACTAACTTCAGATAATAAGTCGCCTTCTGTCAGAAGAATGAAATTCTTTTTTGGACTAAGGCTTGCCAACATACCGCAAAAGTGTCCTGGCGATCCAGGCAATCCTCAGTTTGATTTGAGTTAATTTAACTTTAATGAAAATCAAAATTCAATGAATTGAGGTGTAGTTTATATTATTATGCAACACGTCTCTTCTGGCAGATGAAAAATGACTGCCAATCACTTTGGGAGTGCTCAGAGAGCATTCCCATGGGTTTTGGGTGAGGTACAGTTTATGCATGCCTACTTTATATGATTAGGCTGTTGGTCCACCTAGGGCAGGCCTTCCACGGTTTCAAAAAGATCTCTGTGACACTTCTCCTAAAATGTATGAGAAGAATTTCTCAGTGTGATATAGAAATCCTGCAGTTTGAATCTGACAGCATGTTTAAGAAGGAGAACAAAGAGCTTATAGTTGGCTACACATCACATCAGGCCCATCTCTCATGCCAGCTAATGCCTCTTAATCCTCTGTGATTAAATGATATGGCTTTTCTTCTGACATATCTTGGGGATCTATTTCTGCAGTACATGAAGTAAGAATAACAACAGGAGTAAATGTCACATTAGCCCCCCCCTCCCAGATGGAAGGAGAGACATACCATTATGAACTGTAAAGTAAGTTCTTGTCCAGGTGGAGATTTCACAATTTTTATATCCAGAGTCTGATATGTTTAAGCCAATGGTTCTCAACCTTTCTAATGCCGCGACCCCATAATACAGTTCCCCATGTTGTGGTGACCCCCAACCACTTATACATCACCGGGTGCCAGGGGCGTGGCCAAAGAAAAGGGGGAAAAATGGCGGACAGCCTTGTTTGGCGACCTCCGTGAAATGGTCGTTCGACCCCAAATGGGGTCCCGACCCACAGGTTGAGAACCACTGGTTTAAGCTATGTGATTAAACAGGAGAAATTTCCCTATTTTCACACAATTGACCCATTCAATATGAGGATGTCCGGGTTGCAGTTAAAGTAAACACCAATAAAGCATGCTTT